TCTCGGCCTGTTCCGATACTTAAAGACAACGTGGGCTGCGCCACGGCAGCAATCTAGAAGGAACCAGTCAGCGTCAACGCATGAAGTGATGTTGAACGCTTGGGCCAATGCTTAGTTCGAAACGCGGATACCAGCTGAGGGCCATGCTTCAGCCCGCTGGCTGCAAGCCCCATGACTTCTTGCAGCCCGCAGCAGGGCGTTCGACACCACCGGCGCACCCCCGCAGGCACAAGCCAGGTCGGCAGTGTTGCTGGCTCAGGACGAAGCATATGCCTGCTCAAGTCTCGATGCTACTTCTGCTCCAGTTCCAAGTCCAGCTGACAGCCATCTGCTGAAGCCTGGCCATGCGAAAGAAGACTGGAGACGCCGGCGCACACATGTTGCCGGCCCAGGGACGCCATGGATGGCATGGATGCCTCAGGTTCACGCATGGATGGCCTTCTTCACTTTGAGCAAATGGAAGCTTTGCTTGGTTACTGCGTGGGCCGTTCGAGTCTGCATAGCATTGTCGGCCAAGCTCGACAACAACCCCAGCTGTCATAGAAATTCTCCTTCACAGCTCCATTGCAGCAGCGGACACATTCTGAGTGGCCAGCAACAGGCACCCTGGCAGCTGTGCACACAACACTGGGAGGACGCAAGATGTCTGAAGCTCAAGGGCTTGCATGACAAAACTTCCCTACAGCGGAATGAAGGTTTTGCCCCTGTCTGGCTCCATCCCCTCACATGGAAGTCACAGCGCAGAGCTCGAAAGGTCAAGTACTGCATTGGCTGATCGACAGCGAAAGGCTGCTTTTGGGGTCTGTCAAGCACATGCTGACGCACGCCGACTTGTCAATGGCAAAACCACTGCTCCCCAAAAGGGTTTGCGACCAGCACGAGCTGCCCCGGCCTCCCTCGACGAAATCCTGTTTTGAGGGTCAGTCAAGCACATATAATGTTGCACGCCGCCTTCTTTCGTGCCCCCGCGGTTCGGGCCGAAACCTCAAGCTTGGTTGGTGCCAGAAAGCTGTGCAAAGCTTAACTCGACCGAATCTGCAGCTTCCATGTCACTGGCAGGAGATGGCAGAAGCCACTGCCGTGACAAGCTTTCCGCAGAGGAAACGAACAGAACGAAAGGTTTTTCATCAACAATGGTCCACCGCTTTTGCCCAAAAGGGCTTGCGATCAGTGCGGGCTGCTTCAACCTCTTTTGGCGAAACGCCGCTTTGAGGGTCTGTTAAGCATGTGCTGCATATGCTGCTGTACGCAACCTTGTTTCTTGGCACCGTGCCAAACCTCAAGTTTGGCTGGTACCAGGAAGCCGTGTGAAGCTTAACCCGAATGAACCTGCAGCTTTCATGGCACGGGAAGGAGCTACTGCCATGGCAAGCTTTCAGCAGAGGAAACAAAGAAGAACGAAAGGTTCAAGAACGGTAACGCCACTGCTCCCCAAAAGGGTCTGCGATCAGCACGAGCTGCCCCGACCTCCCTCGACGAAATCCTGCTCTGAGTGTCAGGCCGCCTTCTTTCTGGGCATCGTGCCCCAGACCGAAAGCTCAACTTTGCGTGATGCCAAGAAGACGCGCAAAGCTTAACTCGACCGAACCTGCAGCTCCATGGCACCGCGGGCGGCTGCAATGACGAGCTTTCAGGTCTACCACTGCTGCCCAAAGGTCTTGCGATCAGTGCTTTACCTGCTCCGGCCTCCCTCTGCCAAATGCTCAACATGGCTGCCCAGCTCTTCCCCTGAGGCAACGGCTTACCTCTCTGAAGAATCTGGGCACACTCTCCCGTGACAACATCTTGGAAATTGATGCCTGATCGTGCGGACACGTTCGATTCCAAGATCAACATGTTGGCATGCCTAGCTTGCCCAAGTGCAATCTTTGGGGGGAGGGGGGATACAATTGCAGGTCTTCGGAGTGGCAAGCCCATGCTCAGGATGCGTTTCTGGAGGCTTTGTGGTGAAGAACCAGTGCAAGCCTCGCGGCCATGGCTGATCTACCGGAGCTGGCTTTATCCTGATGGTCATCTGCTTACAAGGCTCACGTCACAGGCATGGGCTCAGGCTTCAACGCCTAAAGTAATGGACAGCTTTGGATGCCACAGGAATTGCATACTTGAGGGTACCAGCTTCAGACTCCGTGACAAACCCGCGGGTGCGAGTGAAAAGTGGCACCCTGAGCTCGATGTTTCGCACTTCCTGGCAACAACGTGGGAGAACAGTTGCAGGCTCAGCGCAAAGCGGCAGCCATGCCAAGCGAAACTATGTACTCAGAGAGGGGTAGGTAGAAACTGGAGGGCACGAACAGTGAAATCCAGGAACCTTACAATGTTCAGATCACGCTGCCGCAGGCGGATCATGAAGGATCGTTTCAGTCCCGCACGTGTCGGTACACAGTAAGTAGGCTGAAAAGCAGCGTGAAAAGCAGCGCATGGAACAGAAGATGCTCTGGCCTTCGAGTCGAGGCAACTTTGCCGAAACATTTGTTTTGTAGCTTTCGGCAGAGGAAACGAATGGAACGAAAGGTTCTTCATCAAGAATGGTCTACCACTGCTGCCCAAAGGTTTTGCGAGCCGCTCCAGCCTCCCTTGGTAACATGCTGTTTTTGCATATGCTGCCGTGCACCGCCTTGTTTCAAGGCACTGGGCTACAGGCCGAAACCTCAAGTTTGGCTGGTACCAGGAAGCTTAACTCGACTGAGCCTGCAGCTTCCATGTCACGGGAAGGAGCAACTGCCATGACAAGCTTTCAGCAGAGGAAACAAAAAAGGACGAAAGGCTCTTGATCAAGATTTGGTCCACCACTGATGCCCGAAGGGGTTTGCCGTCAGTGCGAGCTGCTCCAGTATCCCTCGGCGAAATTTGCTTTGAGGGTCTGCCAAGCAAACGCTGCCGCATGCCGCCTTGTTGATTGGCAGTGTCCCCAAGGCTGAGACCTCAAGCTTGCGGGTGAAACGAAGCCGCGCAAAGCTTAAATCGATCGGACCTGAAGCTTCCATGTCACGAGAAGGGGCTGTTACAGTGACAAGCTTTCCGCATAGGAGAAGAGCAGAACGAAAGGTTCGTTATCATGAATTCGTCCACCACTGCTACCCAAAAGGGGTTGCGATCCCTCGGCGAAATGCTGCTTTGAGGGTCCGTCAAGCATATGCTGGCGTACGCCGCCTTGTTTCTTGGCACCGGGTTACAGGCCGAGACCTCAAGTTTGGCTGGTACCAGGAAGCCGTGCGAAGCTTAACTCGACCGAGCCTGCAGCTTCCATGCCACTGGAAGGAGCTACTGCCATGACAAGCTGTCGGTAGAGGAATCGAACAAAACGAAGGGTTCTTAATCAAGAGCGTTCCGCCACTGCTGCCCAAAAGGGTTTGCGATCAGTGCGAGCTGCCCCAACCTCCCTCGGCGAAGCGACTTTGAGGGTGAGTCAGGCATGTGTTGCAGCATGCCCACTGGTTAAAAACCTCTGACACTCCGCGCTGACTGATCGGATCTGCATGTTATGCGACAGTCCCACTCAAGCTGAACACACACCTTCTCACAACAAAAGAAGCTGCGCCGACTCGCCAGAGCAGAAGGAATGCCAGATGTTCAACACTCTCAGTTGCATCGACACGTGGACAGCACTCCAGAACTGAAAAGAACTCGGATGCCCTTCTGACCCGAGTCTAGATGCCGGCCTCCTGGCCCAGCTTCAAAGAACCCAGGCATCACCTTGACTTCTCGGCTATGCGTCTGCGCATTGGGAGCTCACAGCAGCGAGTTCGCAACTCGCGACATACATGGAGTTGGCAGCTACAGCTACTGACAAATAGCAGATCTTGCCTCAAGACTGGCAAAAGGTAGAAACACTGAGGAGGGCGGCAATGGAATTCGGGACTCTCTTGCCTTCAGGAAACACTGCCGCCTTGTGAAGTACGACCGGGTCGGATCTTTAACATCGATGTCAATGCCACAGGATAGTTTAGAGCAAGTCATGAAGGGATGCCATCGGCCATCTCAGCAGACTAGCGCGTGGCAAGGCTGGAAGGACACGCTTGCGCGCGCATGGCAGGGGAGAAGTGGCAAGTCATGAACCTCCAGGCCACGAGGTCCGACCATCAAACGGGATGCAACAATACGGGAGGCCATCGGCAAGAGCACCTGGCGAGAGCGCACAATAACAGCGACGTCCAAACAAGAAACACGTACGCGTCTACACGCCCAACAAGTCGCAGCGTTTGCTTGAAACGTCCAAGCATACACAGTCAGACAGCGGCATCAAACACAGAGAACTGAACTGACTAAAAACCATGCGCCAGCAAGGCCGCAAAACCCAATGCTCACGTTCGCTGACCTCGCCACCAGTCTGCATCGTCGCAAGCGCTGCCGTCAACCTCAGTCGGCTGCTCCAAGGGCCCAAAGCGACACACCCTTGGGATGTTCCCCCTTGTACTAACAGTCCTTCATAAGGATTATGACAGGGGTGCCAGAATTGCTAGTATAAGGGTGAACATCCCAAGAAACACCACTTAAGTCGGTATTTGATGGTTGCCTACGTCGGCCCCGTACTGAAAACACACATCGCATGCTCCGCTGCCGTGATTAACTCCCCAAGCAGCACCCCAGGGTTTCCTCAAAATCATGACGCAGAATTACATACTGTGCACTTGCAAAGCATTGTCCCGCTGGTAAAGCTCTGTTTATAAGGAACGGCTTGGTGGCATGCTTGCACCCGCGATGGAAGCAGGCAAGCGAAGCAAACAACAAACACATTTGCATGCAATAGGTGTGCACATTCTTAAACCAATCACCGGTCCTAGACCCGTCTTTGGACATCCAGACCTTCCGGTCGGCATGGTGCAGAAGTTGCCACTGCCCCTCAAAACCGAACCCATGTTTTAAAAAAACACAGGCGGGACAAACTTCGCAGCAAAAACAAAAAACACTTAACTTCGACAGGGCGATCCGGAATGCTGGCACTCAGCAAGCTGGTGCAATGCAGAAAGGGGAGAAAAAAGCAGGTTGAGACTTTCTGGTCGTTACATCGCGTTGCGCGAAGGAAGAACTGAAACAGAACCGTTGACGTGCAGCTCGGCAACTGGCGCCTCTTCGTCCTCATCGAAACACGTTCGTGCCGATGAGCTCGACGAGGCATCATGGTTGTCGCTGTCGGAAGCCCACTGCTTCTTCAGAGACAAACGCCGCGGCAGACACAAGGAAACATGAAGCGAGACACGCAAGCACGCAAACTCATTGGTGACCGCTGATGAGACAAGCGTTCTGGCGGGGCAAAAGAGGAGGTAGGTCCACAGATCCTAGAGATTGAAGCCACCAACGATGGGCCAAGAGATCTTTCAAAGAAAGCAGTGATATGAAATCTAAAATAAATGTTTCTGAAGGAGAGGGGAAGGTTCAGCGTGAGCAACCTGCCCCCAAAGTCCGGGGACGCATGTTTTGCTGTCAGCACGGCATGCGCGGATGCGGACCCTGCGGCGCTGCTCCTGGAAGGGGCAGAACTTGACCAGGGGGGTTTCCGAAATTAGGGGTACCCTGTTGGGGTCCTCATTATAAGGGCCTACTTTTTGAGGGTCTGTATTAGGGGTCCCTTCTTTTCGAAAACCCACACGTAGGAACCCGGGACCCGAATCATTCGCCTCGAGGGTTTCAGTGGTGCCTTTGTGCGAGTTCGAGTGTCGCACGGTAGTGCTACGTCTACTGAGATGCGACTTCACAGATCGAAGCTAGCAAGCCCGGTAGATTGACGACAGCCCTACCTCAAGCCAGAGTAGCAACTGTTCTATCAGCTGTGGTTCTGGTCATTGCAGTGGCAGGACGTACTGCAGCAGCATGTCTCACATCGTGCACATCGCGTCAAGGCCGACTGTCCTCGCCCGTCAACCACCGTGCCGATGCGTTGTCTGTGTCAACGGCAAAGGGCAAGAAGAAACGCCTGAAGTAACAATGCCGTATCTTGGATGACGGTTGAGGTGTCCAGCTTGCCATAGAATGCACAGCAAGACCAGGCTTGCTGAAGGCAACGATGTTGCCGCAACAGCATTGCGACCACCACCCGCCTCACTCCCACCACCACTGCGAACCCCGATACCGGAATCCCCAAACCCAAAACCGCCACACCTCTAAGCACCAAATATGACCTAACACACAAACCCTAAATCACCAAAAACCCTAAGCCCAGGCCACGATCCTGTTTCATATCCTAATTGCCCTACCCAAACGAATAGGTTTGGGGTTCTTAAGCTCATCTCGGAGCCCTCAACCCAAACCCCAAACCTTAAACCCTAAATCCCAAACCCTAAACCCTAAACCCCAAAACGCTCCTGGCCTTGCAAGGCCCGGTGCGGACCACCGGAGTTCGGCATGACTGAGGTCGACGGTCAGGTCCTGAAAGAGAGCGATGCCTTAAGAGGGACTATGATCTGACACACAAACCCAGGAGCGTTTTGGGGTTTAGGCTTAGGGTTTAGGGTTTAGGGTTTAGAGTTTAGGGTTTAGGATGTACACATATACACGTATACACGTAACACATATACACATATACACATTTACACATATACACATATACACATATACACATATACGCATATACACATATACACATATACACATATACACATATACACATATACACATATACACATATACACATATACACACACACATACACATATACACATATACACATATACACATATACACATATACACATATACATATATACACATATACACATATACACATATACACATATACACATATACACAAACACACATATACCCTTCTACACTTATACACTTATACACTTATACACTTTTTCACATATACACACATACACATAATTCGTTGTTTGTTCCCAGTCGCTTTACAGGCTTTTTGTTGTGGGATAAGGCTTTTCGGTTTTACCCGACGCTATACAGGGTTTTCGGACCTATGTCCTTCCATGGTTGAGTTGCCTTTACCACAGTTTCGACCCTTGCTGATCTGTACACATAGAAGAAGTGCAGATGGAGAGTATATACCCCACAAGGACACCCGATATGCACACTTACCAATATCCCTAAGAGACCTCCATGATCCACTCTCCACCCTACTTCGGATAGAGGCGTCCGGGTGCGTTCCTCCTTTCCTGCACTCTGGGATGAAAGGAACTCAATACACAAGACTGCGGGTTGGGGCTCTGAGATTTTGTTTCTGAAATCTAAACCCTAAGCCCTATACCCTAAACCCTAAACCCTCCTATTGTGGTGTTTTGGGTGGCATGCGAGCGACTCTGGGCGGCAAAAGCTCCTCAGAAGCTGTCTACGACCCAGGTCAAATTAGGGGCACCCCTTTGATACTCCAAATACATGACCAGGAATCATAGGGGATAGGATCAGGGGGACCCCGTGGGATATAGACCCTCTGAATAAGGTCCCTGTTTAAGAGAGCCAGAAGAGGGTTAAGAAGGGGTTTCCTTTTCAGGGTCCCCCTTATCCTACCTAGGAAATACATGGCCAAGAATAAAGTTTCGTCGCTCTTGACAAGACAAAGTTGACGGAGGACAGCGGAGTACTGCATCTTGGTTTTGTCCTAGCCTGGCCAGCGGAGGAATTAATCCACTGGAATAAACTTATACTATGTTTATTGTTCCGGAGGAGGACCCCGGCACTCTTGGAGTGCAGGAGTCTAAGGGGGAGAGGGTGTCTTCTGCTGTCTTCTTGTGAGTTGTTGTGAGTGCGACGAACTTTCGGCCTGCCGCAGTAGAAGAGAAGCCCCTTCAATGGACCCAAAAAAGGGAACCCCCATTTTCGGAAACCCCAGGTGTACCGGGCAAGAAGTTGCTTCGTGAGAGTGAGTGGTCCACGCATAAGGTTGAATACTTCACTAGCTTCACATGCTGCTCCAGTCCTCGGCGCAGGCTGGAGAATCAAGCTCGATAACCTCGCGAGCCAAAGCCCGGTCTGGCTGGCACGGGCATCTTGTCTTCCAATTTTGTTGAGAGATGCTTCAAGCTGAGTAGTGCAGTCTTCTCAAGTTGGGAAGGAACTGTTCCTTACGATTCAGTACACCGCCTGGCCAGCTGAGTACCGAGCAATCTCCAGGCGCCCATCTTGCAAAACCTTCACTGGGAGCTCCTGTGGCTGCCTGGCAGGGTTTTACGGCTTAGACTGCCCTAATTTTCGAATTTACGGGTGGGGTCCTTATTATACGGGAATCCTACTCTTTGGGGGTGTGTAACCGCGGAGATGCGCAGCGCAGACCGACGGCCGGTTGATATGAAGTTGTGACAGAGCTTGGATCAGGTGAGTAGATATCTATAGCCCACCGAACTTTGATGTCCTGTGTGCAGGGTCTTGAGAACAGTGCGCGACAGCAGTGTCCGGAACGTTGGATGATGTTCCATAATGGGGGGAGCGAGGATTTTTTTTGTCAATTTTTCTGGTTTTTTTTTGTGAATTTTCTTGCTTTTTCTTGCTTTTCTTGTGGTTTTCAGAACATGCCCTCCTGGTTCTGCCTGTCGTCCTCCTCTGGTGGGAATTCTTTTCTGTGCATTTTTTTGGTTTTTTGGTGAATTTTGCTGGTTTTCAGCTTCCGATGGCCTCTCAGCGGCACCGCGTGTCCGGAACAGGTCCAAATCTCAACGTGCTACAACAACACATTACGTCCAACCCTTCGTCCTTTTGCAACTCGCGCTTGGAGCGTCGGGGCGGCCATCGTTGGCCCCGACAGGACTCAAAAGCTAGTTAACGTCCGGGGCTGGTTCAAGAGGAACCTCGGATGCTTCAATCTGAAACTTTGCTTCGGTTTAGGGCTTACTGCGCATGTAGGCCGCAAACATTCTATCAGGATTTGCGGCTTATGGTGGACGGTTTGGGTCTCATTAGGCTCTACGGTTTGCGGGGTCAAGGTTGCTCCTCGTATCATTGCCCCTTCAGTCCGGAACTACGGCCTAGGGTTTAGGGTGTAGGGTGTGTTGCGGGAAGCGGGGGGTTGGGGGGTGCGCAGCCCCCCCATTTGCAAACACGATTCTCGCATGATGGGTTTCCGACAATGTGTGCATATGGCATATGCTTTGAGGCAAGCTTGCACAGCTTGAGAAAGCGGGGGGGTTGGGGGGGGGCGCAGCCCCCCCCATTTGCAAACACAATTCTCGCATGATGGGTTTCCGAAAATGTGACGATTCTCGCATGATGGGTTTCCGCAAAAGTGTGCATATGGCATATGCTTTGAGGCAAGCTTGCACGGCTTAAACAAAGCGGGGGGGGGGGGGGGGGTATTTCTTTCTTTCTTTCTTTGTCTTTCTTTCTTTCTCTTTCTTTCTTTCTTTCTTTCTTTCTTTCTTTATTTCTCTCTTTCTTTCTTTCTTTCTTTCTTTCTTTCTCTCTTTCTTTCTTTCTTTCTTTCTCTCTATCTTTCTTTATGTCTGTCTTGCTTTCCTTTCTTTCGGCCTTTCTTTCTTTAGTTCTTTCTTTCTTTCTGTCTTGCCTTCCTTTCTTTCTTTCTTTCCTTTCTTTCTTCCTTTCTTTCTTCCTTTCTTTCTTGATTTCTTTCTGTCTTGCTTTCCTTTCTTCCTTTCGTTCTTTCTTTCTTTCTTTCTTTCTTTCTTTCTTTCTCTCTTTCTCTCTTTCTTTCTTGCTTAAAAAAAGAAAAAACAAAAAAAACAGAAAAAAAACACCAAAAAAAAAAAAAAAAAAAAAAAAAAAAAAAAAAAAAAAAAAAAAAAAAAAAAAAAAAAAAAAAAAAAAAAAAAAAACACCCACCCTTCCATAATTTTCGCAGTGCAAGCAACCATAGTGCATCCAAGGGTCCATGTACAAACTGAGTCGGATGGCAATGGTAGTCGTTTCCTGGCACGCAGCCCAGCCACGAGTTGTGGAGGAGACACCAGCGGCAGCATGAATGTACGTGGCTGACATTCCAATGCATGTGTCCTGGCTGTACATGAGTCTGATATGCTCTGGTACGGAGGCATCCCACCAGCTCAAATGCTGGAAACCCCGTCAACCGTGAAGGCAAGGTTACATCTTCGAAAAAAATTCTCAACCCATACTGCCCATTCAAAGCGTTTGGTGAAACCGAGCTGGTGCAGGGCCAGGCCCGCTATCTTCTGTAACACGGCGTGGCTAAGGCAGTGGCCGGCAGAAGTAGACAAACGGTCTCTGCGATGCCTCTCCAGACAAGAGGTGCACCTGGCGTTCTGTCGCCCCTTTAATGCAAGGATGGCTGCAGATGCTCAAGGGAGGGCTTTGACATCACCAAGACTCATGGGTTCCCCCACTTCCCCCCTCTATACTACCCCCCTCCCCAGGTTCCCCCAGAATTAAGGCTATTGGATAAGTAAGCCGAGGTAGGGTTATTTAAGAAGGGAAACAAGGATCCATGTCTGAAAGGCACAAGCCGGGCACCTGCACTTCGAAAAGGCCGCCGCTTCGAAGCAAAGCTTGGCGCCTGGAGTTTGAATTCTAGGGAACTACTACTCAGACTGCCTCATACACTTATGATTCTTGAAGACTGAAATGCGCAACATCCCTCCTTGCACATTATCTCTGAAAAGGGTGCGAGCTCGAAAGGGTGCACATGTTGAAATTGCCGGTGTGGGCGCTCTAAACTGTCAAATTGCAACGACAGAAACGGATACTCATGTGTGGGTTGCTCCAAATTGCGGGGCTTTGGGGGTGTCCAGCACGGTACGTTTTTCTACAGGCACATACCGATGATGGCCCATGATTCGCATCAATCCCCATGCACCAGGCAACCTCTCAGCGCCCCAGGCGACCGACACCAGAAAGCCGTCCGGTTTCCTCGGTTGCAAGCCATGGAGCAACTGACCACATTAGACATGACCCACTCCTCGACACGGCCAACACCCCCCTGGCATCCCCTCGATTTCTTGAAGTGCCTATGCTGCCCTATAGATATTCCCCCTTATACCAACAGTCCTTAATGGGGACTATAGTACCCCCTACTATCATCCCTCTTGAGGACTGTTAGTATAAGGGGGAACATCCCCATTGGGTTTAGGGTTGAGGGTTTCAGAGTTGGGCAATGTGTTTCTGACAGCTCTGTTCTTTGAAGGCCAGGCATCAGAACTCGGTGCAAGGCGCGCAGTGCGGCTGTTCCACGTGCGTCCAGCACATCGTCCTGGAGTCAGGCAACTTGGCTTGGAGCAACCCGTTTGCATCCAGTTGCACGAAGGCAGAGCGTTTGATGCCAAAATCCGAACCTGTGCAACAGCTGCGGGAACACAGATCCACATGACACGATTCATCACACGAGTCTCAGAAAGGACATGAAGGAACAACGGACAGCTTGGTCAAACTTTACGCATCTTTGTGGAATAACCTGAGGCCCCCCCAAAACCCTAAACCCTAAACCCTAAACTGGAAATCAACATGCAGCACATCCTTGGACTGGCAAAGGATGGCGTCGAACCTCAGAGACAGGCGTGACACACGGGCGCCCTGAACTTGAGCGCACTTTATAGGGAAAGCTTATTGAGCCTTGGGGTGTATTAGGGAACCGTGGGTTATATGTATATATATGTATATAGAAAACAGATATATATATATATATATGCCCCATTGAACCCCGCTCCCGTAAGAACCCCATTAGCACTCCCCAGCTTGAAAACAGAAACCACAGAAGTAACACGGCCTCTGCAAGTCCTTAGAGTGAGATGCGCCCAAGGCACGTAAACTTCTCGAGTGCCACGTCAAAGGAAGCAGGCGCCAGCCTTGGGTCGAAGAAGGGTCGATCACACGGAGCCCGGCATTTTAGGCCCCAGGGCCCAGAAGTTGATGGCATCTAATGCTACTTCGGGTCGGGCCGTATCTGCTGAAGTGCTGGGCTCGTACAGGACATCCGCAGACTCCACTCTGGCCGCTTCATCCAGAATGCAACCATGCCACAGTACTGGTACGGCTAAGACAATGTCAGCTGGTCAAATGATGCTCGGTTTTTGTTGGACCCTTGCGAGGACATCTTGTGTTTTAAGGGGCATCCATGAAATGAGACCATCGTTGAGTTTTTAACCCAACCAGGGGAATTATAAACCCAGCCAGGGGCATTCTGATATGATTCGCGGCACCTAAATCCCTGCAGCTTCGACTCTGAACCTCCAAAACCCTGGAATCTACCCTGGGCTTAGGATTTGGGCTTGGTGCATCCCGGCGACTGAGACAAGTCTGTCAAATCCATCTGCTGCCACTGCACACCTCCCAGCAGTTGGGTGCGTCCGAACACACAGAAAACCCATTCTCAGCTGATTCAGAACAGTTGGGGGGCTTGTTCTTCTGAAGGAAGCCTCCTTGTACCGGTACTGTCAGACAGGACTCCTGATAAACATGCCCCGACCCCCCCTAAAAGAATATACATAGATATATATATATATATAGTGAAACGCTTAGATAATACTCTTGCTATCTTATAATCGTAACACAATAAAAACACAAACGCCCGGCTGCGGCTTCGTTCGACAGAGTGTGATGTGTCGCAAGGTTTGACGGGCAAAAGTGGTGCCCCTTTTCGGGTAAGGAACTGGCACGTCCACCCTCATATGAGCCTGCAAGGGGCCTATTCCACTCGAAACAGCCGGCCAGTAACCACGCCACATCATGCAGACGGAATTTCGTGATGAAAGACACGAATACCAAACCCTAAACCCTATAACCCAATATGCAGCATCTCGATCGGCTTGGGGGCGATGGACCAGGGGTAGCTCTCAGGCCATTCCGCGCAGACTCTGGGCGAATCTCTTGGTCAAGGCGTCTTCTGATTCAGCCGCGCGCAATAGCATACCATAATACAGAATGGTTCTTAATGATAGACACGCAAAAACAAGAATACACAATCATACCAGAATATAGAACACCCTCGCAAAGATTGCCAGGTCCCAGCGTTCCCCCCAGGGTTCCCGAAGCACCCGGCCCAGCCGAAACACCCCCTGCCCAGATGTCCAGGACTGGCTGTTGCTGGGTTTAGGGTTGAGGGTTTAGGGTTTAGGCTTTAGGCTTTAGGCTTTAGGCTTTAGGGTTTAGGGTTTAGGGTTTAGGGTTTAGGGTTTAGGGTTTAGGGTTTAAGGTTCAGGAGCATGAAAGCAGCGGCGCGACACAGTTTTAAAGCGATTTATGTGGGACTGTGGGTCGTCGAGACCTGGGCGCCATCCCAGAATGCTAGCTTTTTTGGCTCCTGCTGCTGTCGACTGGGCAAATCCGCCTTTGGCCCTGAGCTGCGAGGAGGCGCCCTGCTCCACAAGGCAGCCTTCGGTGATGTTCCTCTCTGCCCGTACTCTTCCAGCACCTATCTTCACGTCAGTCCTCCAGAGACACGTCGAAGGGGATGGGCTCCTGGTGCGCCAGAGTTACATGAGCCACATTGAGCTGCATGACTCCGCCGCCAGGCCGCAGCATCCATCTTCGACCACCACATACGAGCCGACCCCGCAGCTGTGCCGGGCAGAGTCCGGCAGGCACAAGGCGAATCCGCTTGCAGCACTGCTCACAATCTGCAGAGGGCCTCTGCTGCTGCAATACAACAACGGCTACGCCGTGTTCGTAGAGATGGCCTGCGCCTGCCCTGCACTTTATGCCACTCCCGATCATGATCACACTGAGCCAGAAATCCCACCAAGTAGATCCGTGGTCTGAATCATGACCAGGAAGCCATCCCATGCAGAACCTCCAAGTGTGCCATGCTACGGACTGACGAAAGCAACATAAACAACAACCTGAACAACAACAACTGAAGGTGCAGATCTCGATAGATCTTACGATTGAAAGCACAGCATAGCACAGCCACGCACCGCATCGCACTGCGCACCTCCACACCTCACGTCTTCTGCGACGCAAGGCCTGCACTCGCATGCACTTTTTTGGACTGCAAAAAAGTCATCCGGATTGCAGACAATGCAAACTCCCGTGCAGGGATCACGTGCTCTTGGGCAAAAACACCCCCGACACCACAGAGAAACGGACCGACCTGCGCGAACCCCCCTTTCGTTTGATATCGTTTGATAACACTGCGACGGACGTTCACCAAGCACTTTTTTTACATCATGGCACAAACTGTAATAATGGGGAAGATGTGCCAGCAAAACGTTTAAGTCGGCGGAATGGGAAATCCAACCAGAATACATGCCAAACACACTCTCCATCTCTCAGAATTATCTAGATGCAACTAATTTAAATTCCAATTGGCACAAACTTAGAAACGCTGTGCGGTAAGCACTACAAGATAAAGGTTTGGCAACAAATTCATGAGCACAATACGGCCAAAGAATACGGGCAAAGTTTCAGCACGCCATTGCTGATGACGTGAAAAGACACTCGTCCCTGCGAAACGATGCAAAGGGGACTACATCCAAAAAACACAGACGAAGACTGAAAGAAATGCAATATCAAAACCCCCAACAAGCGCCTTGCAACACCAAGCACGTTGGTTCTTGCAGCACCACTCGGCGACCCGTGATCATGTTGAGGTCCATGCATGTGATGCCCAATAGCCGGGGGTCCGCTGCCACTGGGTCATGTGCTGGTAGGCAGACTGGCCCGAGTTTTGTGTTTGTGACCGCGTCCTTGAAAGAAGGCTGGCAGATCTCCTGCCCCGTCGCGAAGTACTCATAGTTTCCAGCCATGATGAGGCTCAGATCCGATCCGTCCGGGATATCGCAGAAAATCCTACGGTTTTCGCAGGACAGTCGCTTCGTCACCGAGGTGTCGGCTCCTGAGTAGTGCGCTGAAACGCCATTGTTGAAGATCACAGCCGCGTAGCCCTTCCAGTCCAGCCAGCATATCCAGCACTGCTCCCGTCGCCTGCCAGGGTTTTTCGTTACTCACGCTCGCACACGGCAGGCCAGCTAAGGTTTTGCCTTTTGGGTTGTCAAGCGACTAGCCTTGATGTGTCGTAACAAGAACGAGACAAGCAAAGCTCTTACTAAACCCACCCCTGCTACGACTGGCTTTGGGAACCCCATGTAGTATGCGTAGTTCGCCCTGTGTTCGGGCCGTCGGGTTCCTGTGCTAAGCCTGAGTTTCGCACTGGTTAAAGTAATTAAGGTGGTCCACACATCTGGTTTTCTCTCTACTAGCTTGCAACTGATTCTGCAACCTCTGCCACGCCCAAGGAAGAACGCTTGCACCGTGCCTGCCGCTGCAGGAGCTGTGCATCCTCCTGCGCGTCAACGGCGTGGAGGCCCCTGACAGTGACAACTGTTCACGTAAAACGAGATCTGCATGCGGCTGCTTGCAGAGCTGAAGGCATAGGCTCTCATAGCGAGAACTCACTGAGAAGCCAACACACTCTTCCAAGCGAGGGCGCCCTCCACGGAAGAGATAAGGGTCCAACACATCGTCGAGGACATCTTCTGTGTCCTGCAGTCGAGAGCAAATTCAGCGCTCAGCTACTGAAAAAAAATTGACATCTTCTGGTCCGGAGGAAAGTCAGTTCTGGATGCAAATACAACAAGAAGCGGCTCCAGCTCCTTTTTGTATGTCTGCTCCGTCACGGAGCAGCACAAGAAAAGCCACCAAAAATCCATGGCCCCGATTCTGCGTCGTGACTGCGGAGCCGACACGCTGCAGTCAGCTTCAGCTCCTTTGCGTCCATGAGGAAATGCGACATCGAAGCAAGTCTGGCAAGCAGAGGAAATACGGGCAGAGAAAGAAAGAAAGAGAGAGAGAGAGACACAGGCACACACACACACACACACACATATATAGACAGAGACTGCAGCGAGACAGACCTTTGCCGGTCCATACATATATATATATATATATCTACCTATATATAAATGTAAATGCATATATATATATATATATATATATGTATATATATATATAATGAGCAAGAACAAGTGGACAGCGTGTTGCAGCCCTGCCTTCGCGCATCGCATCCCCGTCGGTGCTCAAAGCCGCGCGGTCCAACCAACGTTCTTCCATGAGCTTCACGACGACCTGCGTGGGATCCGCAGGAGTCCAGGTAGGAGGGGCATGCGGAGGTAGTGGTACACTGCAGTACAGGGTGTAGGGTTCAGGGTTTAAGGTTTAGGGATGAAGTATCCGACCTTGCTTACAACTGCACCGGGCATGGATATGTAAGAGCAAGTGCAACAATCTACATTAAGGATCTATTCCTGTGTCCCGGACATCGCTGAAATCGATGTTGAGGATGCTTCCTCAGCCACATTGCCGGACACTGCTTGTACCACGGCACGTACCGCCGCAGTTCGCGCTCTTCCATTGCAGCTGAAGCTACGAAAGCCGTCGCGCCACAAACCCTCGGTGACATTGCTCGTGCCGCAGCCTGACAGGCTTTCCGTCTCAACTTTTGCAAAAGAAACAAAAACCAAAACAAAAACAAAAACAAGTTCAAGATCTTTCAAGATCTCTAGGGCCTGCATGTAGCACTCTGACCCGGCTTCGATTGCTGAAGGGGAGGAGGGACAGCAGCGGTCGCAAATCCTCGAAAGGCGGAGCTGCGAGTGCTCTGCAGCAGCCATCATCATGAACCAGGGGTTTAGGGTTTAGGGTTTAGGGTTTAGGGTTTAGGGTTTAGGGTTTAGGGTTTAGGGTTTAGGGCATTGCAGTGTCTTTTGGGATGTGTCAAAGATCCATAGTTGACAGTCCAAGAACAGAACTGAGAAGCCCGACTAAAGAACTGACACGAAACTGCAAGCAATAAGGATGGCAAGGCCAACTGCCGGCTCCTCGTAGCCATGCAGCGTGTCGTACGCGCTCCTGCCGTGCAGATTTCGTGGCACGGAGAGAAGCTTCAACCCAGCGTTTAAAAAAAAAACAAAAATAAAACACCTGTCCCGCAATCACCTTCAGATTCTAACGGAGCCTGAGGAGTCTCGTAGTTCGTGGGCACCGCCCCAAGCCAGAGCCTGAAACCCGGTGATTCCTGGAGTGGAGAGTCCTCCGGTCATCGTAGAAGTCGTCCCAGTACTCAACAGAGTTTGGCGCGCAATCTGCTCCCGCCATGGCCCGGGGGTCTAAGGGGGTTTTAGGGTCTGGCCGGCTCGAGGTTTCCATGAAACTTGAATTTTTCAAAATGGTCATCGCCTTACACTTCCGGCTTTAATGTTAAACATGCAACTACCCGAGAAGCCCCCACAGATGTAGGTGAGGATGCTGGCGCAAAGTGACTCCAGCATAAGTTGCAGATAATGCTGTGCCGGGGAGCTTTGCCCCAGTTTGCTCAGCCAGCAAGCACTGCCAATGCCAACAAGCACGTCCAATGCCTTCAAAGATGCTTGTGGGATGAGCTCGACATATGTGCACTAAACCCTAAACCCTGAACCCTGAACCCTAAGCCCTAAACCCTAAACCCTAAGCCGTAAGCCCCAAGCCCTAAACCCTAAACCCTGCCACCAGCACGCAACCCAGATCGACCCTGAAGGGCCAAGAGCCGCACCAACAGTCCAAGCTAGACACAACTCCATGGAACACATGATTGATTTTCTATCTCAAGCACCCAGCTAAAAACAGTATCTAAAAAAATATCTGTCGTGCGTTCCCAGCATAATTTACTAAATAATTTTCTAGCAACGCAACAGAATTAGCATCTAAGTGGGTAGTAGGCTCATCTAATGGCAATAGATCTGGTTTCTGCAGCAATAACGTGCATGCCACACCTGTGTGCCTCTGTGTCTGTGTGTGTGCATTAGGTGAATGTTGCACTTTTGTGCACATTGGTGATTTCGGCGCATGTGTAGTGTCTGTTTGCTGCATGTTTCGCTTTGGCTTTCAGAGCGCTGGGATGCTGTGGCTTCCCTCGTGTTCTTGGAAGTGAGTTTGTAACCATCCCGAAACTCACACCAACCAAAACCGACTTTATTGTGGATGTTGGGTGAAGGGGACTTTGCCATTGGACCGCCAAGGTTGCACCCCTTGGTTGGGGTGAAGGGGATGAGAGAGCCGGCGAACTGTTCCAGATTGACTTCGAAGAATGCTGCGATGCTCCTTTCACTCCCGATCCGCCCGAGGATACCTTGCCACCCGCAAGAGTGCAATCATGAAAAGTCTCAGGCACGAAGACCGTCGACCGTTCAACTTGACTCAAGCTGCCATTGTTTCAGCTTCACTACAATCTACGAAGTACCTTGGCAACTTGGAGCACCAACGGAGCTCACGCGATGCATCGCCACGCACTCCACTGTCTCCCGTTCAATGCCGTGAGTCTTCTATGACGCATTCCGAGCGGATGTCACTCGAAAACTTCAGACCTGTCTGGAAGTAGGGTGTATCGACCTCCTCTTTCCACTGCAAACGTGGCTTTGCCATTCACGAGCTCCTGGGGCGCCCCATTAACCAGCATCGCTGGCCACGGACTTAATACTGAGCAGATTGAGGATCCGCCAAGAGAGCGAATCACGATTGCTCCGGCAGCACCATCTGTCCGGTTTGCAAAGACTTCAAACCCACCGATGGCCCGGAGTCGAAATGAGACGTCCGCAAGTGCACAACTGGGAAACACTCGGATGAAGCCTTCATGCGACTGCAGCAGCATCTCGTTCACATATGCAGTGCCACCCACGTTTTCCAAACCTGTGCCCCCGCAGCCTTCGACCATCCCATTCGGGTACATGCGGCACACTGGGTCGCTCTGATTGCTCAGATAAGCCTCCCAGGTGTCAAAGAGTTGCTTGGGACGCCAAGCCACGCGCGCGGCAGCGGCGAAGATGTGAACGAAGCTGTTGCCTTGCTTTCCACCCGGCCAGGCGGTGAAAAAGCGGTCGATGGAATTTCGCACCACGCGAAGGATGCCCAGGCTGCTGGACAACGTCACAGTCCCCAAGGGGAACGCGCTAAACTGCGCACCCCACGCCCCATCGGCACCTGCCCCTCCTGCATGGTCTACTATGACTTCGCGATTGCGAATTATCCTGCGAGGATATGCGGCGATGTCCCTGGCCATGGACCGCCACTACTGGACATGCGCCGGCCGCCCCAGTGAAGCTGCCATGTCTGCGGCTGCATCGAAGAATCCCGGAAGAATGGACAAGGTCACCGTGGGGTCTGGTTGATTCTGCCCATCCGGCGAGCAGAGCTCTTCCGCGCAATCCACGAGGTCGTGGAGCCGATCATCTTGGGTTTTCGTCAAGGCACAGTCCCAGAACTGTGCCAGGCCTTCAAACAACGGCAGAACTCGCGCGGCAAAGGCTGGATCGCTGGTGTAGCGCCAGTAGAGGATCAGGGGAAGTGCCGCAAAGATGCCCATCTGTCGCTGACCCATGTCCCCATTGTCGGCGGTGGTAACACCGTAGGGGAGAATGTGGCCCGGAAAGTAGACTGCGTTCGGGCATTGCGGAAATTGGCCTTGCGCCAGGACTTTGGCAGCAGGCAGGAAGTCCAGAATGGTTTGGATGTATGGTTCTAAGGTCTCCAAGTGATTCGAAGAGCAGGTGCCGTAGTAGGTGGCCTCTGCATTATAGTTCAAAGTGAGGTCACCCATCCAGTTAACCTGGTCGTCAGTGACAAATGGACCAAACAAGCCAGGACTGGCATCACCCATGGAAGAAATCCGCAGAATGTACTGACTCATGTACCAAAAGAACTCCGTGACCGGTGATGCCGGTATCCTTATGAAGGATTTGCTCCAAAATGCTGCCCACACCTCACGATGCGCAGCTTCCAGCTGCGACCAGCAGTGGGACGGCGGGCTCTTGGGCCTTGCGCCGAGCTTTATGGCCAGCATATCTAACGAGACAGCGGCGGCACCCCGCAGGACAAGCGTGCCCATGGAGCAGGGACCCTCCAGCCCTTCACAGCTCTCAGAGGCGTGGGCATTCGCCAGACTGCCAGTCCGAGCAATCAAGTGAAACTCTCGGACTTTATATCCCCGTGCCTGATACTCCCATCCATCTGCTCTCGACACCTGGAGCATCTCTGAGCTGGCAGCCGCAGAGGTCGGCAATCGGTCTGTCCCCGCTGCCTTTGGGTTGGGTGCACCACTACAGCCTGTATAGGTCCACACGCTGACGTCGACCTTTGCAGAGGGGCCGGTCAGGTTCACCAGAAGGACGTCCTCCGTGGCATGCACGAAAGCAGTCAACCTCACAAGTCCAGCTTCACCCAGGAGCATTGCAACGAAAGTGCCATTTCTTGGAAAAAGCCTCGGAACTCCAATGAGATGAGCACCTCGAAAACGCAATCGAAGTCCTCCCAGCGCTTTCCTGCCGCCTCGTGTGATGTCTGTGTATCCGCATGACGAGACATTGGAGGTGGGAGCTGCAAAAAACGAGTTGTGCCCCATGTGAAATGCAACTTCTGCAGCGACCGGGTGGCTGCCATTGAGGCCTGAGGAAAACGACACCACGGCACCCAAGCGGCCGTTGCCCAAGAGGGGGCCGTCAGGGACGCCAGGGGTGGGCACTTTCTGTGGTGGTTGCTTCCACGTCGCGACGATCCTGTCCACCGTTCTTGCCACAACAAGTGGAATTACCAGAAGAAGCCGATTAAAGATCATGACGGTATGCAAGTGCAGCTGACGCGTAGCTTGTACATAAGAGCGGCTCGAGCCTGGAATCCCCCCTGTTGCCAGGGGCCGCGAGCAAGAAACACACAATTCTGACATGCAACAAACATATATACATTTACGCGTTGTGGACATATCTAATGTTGCTTTGTAAGTTCCATTGATTCAACTTGAGTCTTCTCGTTCTTTTAGCCATCTACTTATGACAGAATTTTTCATATTTATACTTGTGTTTGGATTTATATTTCAGTACATACTACATAGAACAGGTACACATGCGCACAGACGATGTCGTCATTGAACAGCCATGCTTTCGCGCAGCAACGCATTCGGCCACCTTCAGATTCAGTGGCCTTGCACTGCGGTGAAACTCCGGCTCGCGGGAGGGTCTGGTCTGTTCTTCATGGAAAATCGTGGATTGTAGGGTATGTAAGGGGCAACATGAGGGGTATGTAAAGGTTTCCCATGCAACTTCCTTTAGAGCTGCTCATCGGGTCAAAGCCTATGAGAACAATTTCCTCCTAATGCTCGAATACAGGGCGGAGCAACCATCTGGTTCCAAGGTTCCAAACCCACAACGCAATCACATCATTGCGATAACAACACGAATAACACTACCAAGCAGCACAGTATAACTGCACCATAGCATAGTGTTGAAGAGTGGACTGGTAGTAGAGTCTAATTACTGTAGTAGAGGGGGGTTTCCGAAATTTGGGTACCTTTCTAGGGTCCTACTATGAAGGAATCCTACTATTTGGGGGTCTACATTAGGGGTCCCTTATTTATCGAAAAGCCCCCCAGCATAGTATTCATGCGTTTCAAGCTCCTGAGCCTCCCCCAAAGTCAGCCCTCCAGTTCCAGAGGGCCCCCTAGAGGGCGCGGCACGCCCTGCACCCGAATGGGCTTAGGGTTTGGGGTTTAGGGTTTAGGGTTTAGGGTTTGGGGTTTAGGGTTTGGGGTTTAGGGTTACTTTAGGGCTTGGGGTTTAGTTGGGGCTTAGGAAACTCAAGCCCCCAAAGCCCCAAAAAGCCCCAAAGCCCGCAAAAACAAGCTCTAAGAAACCCTAAAGCCCCGAACAAACATTTAAGAAACACTGAACTCCCTCCAGCCAAAAGAAACTTCAGAAACCCTAAGCCCCAAATCCCATTCCTCCACGCTCAGTACGAGATCGTCGTCCGGGCGTTGCGGGCCGACCTGAGCCCCAGACGCTTTAGGGTTGTGGGGTTTAGGGTTTAGGGTTTTAGGGTTTAGGGTTTAGGGTTTAGGGTTTAGGGTTCTAGGGTTTGGGATTCAGGGAGTGGGGTTTAGGGGTTCAGGGCTTTAGGAATCAGGGTTTGGGGTAGGGGTTTGGGGTTTGAGGGTTCGGGGTCTAGGGCTTAGCTTTGGGGTTTAGCGTTTGGCGTCTAGGGTTTGCGGGCGTTAGGGAACTTGCAGCATCCAGGGCTTTTCGCGCTTTTGGGATTTCAGGTCCTCAGTAAACTCCGCCGGGCGTAAGCTCGTGGCAGCGGGTTGGTACCGATGTGCATTATCTTGGACGGCTCCTTGCGGAGGAGCCACAATGTGCCGGTTGAGAATGTGATGCGCTAATTAAACCCTAATCCGCCGAGGCCTTGGGCCGTAGGTGTATGGGCAGCACAAAGCAAGCACCCCACCTCTAATCCCCTCCCCAACACCGCCAGACCACTTGCGCGCCCCTCGTTGCCCACTTTTTTGGCTGAAATGGGTACCCTCCCTAGCCAACGCGTGCGTGGAAGGCGACCGTGCATCAGGACTAGGGGGAGTTTGGGCTGGGCCACAGGCCCCCCCGTGTTGCAGAGATTCAGGGTTCCGTGGAACTCCACATTGGACATGCTCAAGGGGCTGCGCTGGGCCAGGCCGAGGCGGGTCGCGCAGCGTTAAAATTAAACCCTAACTAAACCCTAATGAAACCCTAATTAAACCCTAAACCCGAAATCCAACCATGGGCAGATGCCGGTGGCAGAGATCCATGTCAGCTGTTGCAAACCAGAATCTCCTTGTTGCAGGACAGGAAGACACGGGCCAGGTCGGAATACCCACCTGCGCAGCTCTCAAAGCTTCAACCCACGAGCCAACAGAAGGACAGAGGTACTTGCAAGACCATGACCGTGCAAGACGGGGCAGCAGAATGCATACACACGTCTGATGCACGTCCAATCAAAGGAGGGCGCCGTGAGTACGAGCTGCTTGGAACATCTCATACCTCAGCCCAAGAGTACTGCGCCTCATTGATGCAGAAAAGGCTGAACCCTATCACAGTACCACCATATGTCACAAGAGACGAGACAACTTTTTCGAGTTTCGGATCAGAGGGCCCTGAGCCAAGAACCCATGGGTGTTGAAGAAGCACTGCTTTGTCTCGTCAGGCGCGTACCTGGTATTGCAAACTAGCACGGCGATCCATTATCCAGCAAGGCACAGCCGGCAACTTCTCTCATCTGAATTGGAGAGTGAATCCAGTTCGAAGCTACGATAGATTCTTCAAGACATCTTAAAGATCCCAGCTGCCAATATGCTCAAAAACCGAGCTGATTTTGAATTACAGCAGCGCCCTCCAGGCACGGTCTTGCACAAAGCACTGGCTGCAAAGAGCGTTGCCCGCAAAATGAAGTGCGTGACACCAGGGCTCCAGCCACCCCTCCTCGATCTCGGCCAGAACTGCACGAGGCGAGCTGCTTGGGGCGCAGGATCGGGGACTGACTCGTGCAAAAATCTTAACCTCCATGAGTCGCCTGCTTTGGCTGCAAACAGCTCTGCGCACCCCCGCGCGTGCCCACTTTTTGCTCCTTTCCGGCATCTCGAAGCGCCAGCTATCAGCTTCGAATCGATTTGAGAAGGAAGGCTCTCACCGCGTCCACGACCTTCATGGTCACCTTGCCCAGACTTGCCGAGTCTTCCAGGAAGTCTCATGTGGAGAGCACTGTCAAAGCTTCTGACAAACTGGGCATGCAACAACCCTAAACCCTAAACCCTAAACCCTAAACCCTAAACCCTAAACCCTAAGCCGAAACATTCGGGGCTGTCGCCTCATGGCCACCCTCGAAGTTCACGAGCTCTGCGCGGCTGCCCGCACTCGTCAGCGCCTTCTCACACACCCATGGCCTCCCTGCACTGTGATGGGGAACTGGGGGTTTACGATATTAGGGGTACCTTCTTGGGGTCCTTATGAAAAAGGGGTCTATATTAGGGGTCCCTGATTATCGTAGAACCCCCGACTGGGCTTAAGAATCTGAATTGCATGGTCACCTGCTTCAGCTGTGTCTGCTCTTCAGAGCAGTCAAGAGAGCAATCGGCTGCTGCACTATTTAGAGATCCCGGCCTCGTGCACTTGGTGGACGCCATCCCTGGCAGGGTCTCCCCTCCACTCGCTCAGTTCAGCTGCTTAGGGGCCTAGGGCCTATTTCTCGTCACGAAGAAGGCATGCCCATTCTGTGAGCGTCCGATCACGGGATCGTAAGGTTCCCTTCAGCAGCTTGCCTGGGCGCGATGATATCCTGCAGGAGACAGTGGAGGCTGCTTTCTAGGGTGCGATGGCGATGAAAGCGATGAAAGCCCAAGAGCCCTTGTTAGGGCTTGAAGTTTCGGAACGTTGCAAGTGTGCATCGTGTGCTTGTCTTCTAGTGCTCCTTAGAAGCTGCACCGCTACACAGATCAGTGGCAGACCCAAGGCCCTCAAGCCCAAAGCCCAGACCTTTAATCACAAGCCCCCAAAACCATGCACTCCTAAAATTCCGAAACGGCAAGCGGCCTTGTGCTGCCCGGAATATTTTAGAAAGGCCGGGCACATGTCTTAGAACCAGCGGCCAGGCTTGTTTTTAAGCCAGTCTGTCGTTTGCTCACGTCACAAGCAGGCTGTTCCAAAGCAACTAGGACCCTTGGCAAGGTGAAGGCTGTGCTGACACGATTGCAAATGGGATGAGTCTTAGACGTTTTCGTGGGACAAAGCCTGCCCGCAACACGGCCTGTGCGCAGTCCGAAACCCTGGAGCTCAACTCACCCCTTCACGACTCTAAGTCACCCACGAGGATGCCAAAAACCCAACATTGGGTCCGCCAAGTGCCCAAGTCTCTCTTCGGGCTCCCCCCAGTCTCCTCGCTTCCGGAGGCCACAAGCGCCGGCGGCGGAGCATCCAGGGTTTTGGCCACTGGGGCCGCCACAGCGCCTGAAAGCGCAGGGGCTTCGGGCTTTTGAGGGTTCAGGACGTTTAGGACGAAGGGCTTTCTGGGTTTCAGGCCAAGGTCGAGGATTTGCAGGAGCGCGTGACTGGCTTGACTTTGGCTACTGCGATGTGCTTCACTGCGATGTGCTTCGGTCTGCCTGGTGGGCAGAGCAGGATGAGGCCCGATGGCTTTGCCTTTTTGGCAGCTGCCAGGGCCACGAGGGAGCCTGGCGACGGTGTCATTACATATCTGCTGCATAACGCAACATACTTCAGTTCATCGCCCCCAGACCCCATCCTTTCACATCCTTGCACATCCTTTCACATCCTTCACAGAGCTACAGTGCACCAACGCACCAATACGCCCCTGGTTGCGACTGTTGCACTGGGCCGTGCATGTGGGCCGGTGCTCACTGACGCATGCGCAAACGTTTACTCAGCAAAGCCGCGAGGCCATACTGCAGAACCACATAATCATTGTAAGAGTTGCTTAGTAGAAGGGTCGACGGGCCTGGTGGCCTGCCGGGAAAACTGGAACATCCACTGGATGGTCTTGGAGCACGGCTTATGGTTTTGCATGGTGAAACACCCTGTATCGCCCACCGAACAGTGCTGGCTTGAGGAGTGCTGTGTCCCCTCTGACTGGTGCTTGCAAGCGAAGCTTGGATCAAGAGATATCAAGAGTCCCAACTGCCAGGACAAGCATTCCTGCTTTGGTCACGGCAAGTCCCAGCATGGCCTTGGCAATTGGGACCTATATACCCTGCCTTGCGAGAAGCCGCCCAGCACGAGCTTGGCATCACCTTTCGCCGCTGCGGCACAGGCAGTGAGACCCTCTGCCGCCTGAGACCTCAATGCAAAGACGTTGCCGCACGGCCGAGCGAACATCCAGGATGGTTAGGTCCGGTGAGCTGGGCACCAGGCAGGCACTTCTCAATGTCCTTCTCCTTGACGCTCCTTGCAAAGCAATGATGCTGCAACTGTACTGTCGACTCGCTCATACAATTATGATGTAGGCAATGTAAGCATCAGCGAGGTTGTCATCAATACCCGAAGCACAACGACGCTAGCACAGAGTGCTACCGACACCATCACCGCCGTCATCACCACCAAGAACCAGCACGCAAATTTGTAGCTCATGTAGCTCTAGGATTGACTCGTGTATTCTTCAAGTCGTGGTGATGAAATCATGCAGCGGATTTCTTGCTTTTGTCGTCATACGACTTTGCACCCCCGTGTTCCGGGTTCCTGTAAACTGCAAAAGGCTTGAAGAACAGCTTTTGAGTCCCAAAACGGATGCCCTGATGGCATCGGGCCTTGGTAAACCTCACAGATTGGCGGGAGTGAGCATTGGAAGGTCGGGCCTGGGCACGGGGAGCAGATAAAGGGGTTTCCGTGAGGATGAAGCCGTGACTACCCTGGTTTCATTCGGCTTGGCTGGTTAGCTTTCACAGCTGACATACCGACGCGACAGAAGTTCCTTCTGTTTTAGTCGATTGCTACTAGCACGCGTATACCGCATGGAGCACGACGCGGGACGACTCCTTCGACTCATGGCTACAGCTGCCCCACCACAGCAGACGATCTTCAAGAACACCAACCTCGACCATCAATACCGGCGCCATCACGAACTACCATGAGGAATAGCTTTCAAAGCTGCAACTTGAGGGCACAGCACTCCGGCACCAGAAAACATAAGAACAGCAAAAGGAATAGATATGCATGTTATTGTCCACAGACCTCAAATGAGGATTATATGGTAGGCCACTAGTAACTACAGTAGCATACTCATCCAGTCACAGGGGTGTATACTCTTCCCCGCCGGTCCGGCTCCACCACTCGCGCAGTGGCTTGCGCCATTCATCAAGGTCTTCTCTCTGAGATTCATCGATTGGCTGGCCAACCTGCTGCAAGTTGTACTCGTGATCAGCAGAATGTGGGGGAAGCTTCGAGCGATGCAGATATGCTTCGCCGCAAGTGCCGCTAGGTGCTTCGCGAGAACACGGGAATGTGAATGCATGCTCAACACTGCCAGGAGCACATTCTCTACTATGTCCTCCTCTCGCGGCTGTGCACCTTGCATGTGTTGTCAGCTGCTTACAGTCTTACAGCACACAGATTTTCGAAACTCTCGGGCATGACTTGCAAGTACAGCTGCTCAGGAGCTGTACTGTCACACTGTCGCACATCATGGAAGTTCAGATTCACTGTGGAACGAAACGCACGAGTCTGCAGAGGATCCGGCTTTCACTGGGCGCTTCTGGCAGAACAACTCTCAGACCATCGGTACATAGTCGGTGAGCCAATCCGTACAGGTCATCACCCAGAACCTGTGGACACGCAGCAGGTGATGCTTCAAGAGACTCGGATGGTCAGCGCGAGGGAAGTCGCACGAGCACGGGCGCTCTGAAACTAGCAAAGCGAACATGCTTCCAGTAGAAGGGGATGGTCGAGAAGAGGGGTCCCTTGTCATCGTAAACCTAGTATACCCCAGAAGAGCTGGCTGAGAACATCATCCTCCGGCCTCAATACCATGAGCCAGCACGGCCACCAGTTTGGGAGGCTCTTGCATAGCATCTGGCTCCACCACAATACCTACAAGCCACACAATTACGCCAGCCGAGGTGTGTGAGACTCTGGTGTGCTGTGAGCCAACTAGGACAGCCTGTCGCACACTCTGGGCACATGAGCAGTCAACACAAGAGACTCTCCTGACGTTGCCCCCCGAAGCACTGCATACTGCACAGGCATTCCTTTATTGAGTGGGCAACATAAGACACACTCTCCTGATGGTCTTAGTTTTCGTGGGAAGCCTACATGGACATCTAGGAAGCGAGGCTCGCTTGCTGAAGCCATGCTCCCTTTAACCGTAGACTCACCCAACTTCGCGGGAGGCGCATCGGAGGTCGCCAAACCTCTCCAGCCGCTGCCGCACGCCCCCGGGAGAAGGCAATCGCTTCCCTGAAAGCCGGGAAAGCAATATCAGTCATGAAAAGATTACCTATTCCTAAACCAACCCACCGCCCCCCCTAAAAGCCATGATGTCAGTGCGGATTGTAACAGCACAGCACAAGCAGCCGCAGTTCGCACATCGCTGCACTGGATGCGCGGCTCGGTTCGGGGGTGAAAGGTCCAGGGTGTAGAGGGCCAAACCCCAAGAATACCTGAAGACGTCCTGAGGGAGGGAAGCCGCAAACTGGAGAAACCGATGTTGTCTGTAGGTGCTGTCCGTGCAAGTCCACTCATGCACGTATTTCTACCCGGAAAGAGCTCCCTCAATGTCCACCCTGAGCCTGAAACCCTAATCCCACAACCCCCCCTGAACGCCTGATGGCTCACAGGCGAGGTGGCCCACCGTTTGGAAAAAAGTGATGCAATCCATCTCCTTGGTGGACAACAGGTTAAGGTTTTGGGCTTTGTAAGGACCCCATGAGGCGTAGAACGCGAAGTGCGAACCACACTTAATGTTGTAGAGGATGTCCGAAATTCGATGCACTAAAGCCTCTTTGGCTGGCCCGAGCATCACTGGTCTTTGCAGTGTCGTAAAGGTGGTCAGGGATCCTCAGCAGTGGGGAGAAATCTCTCTGGGGCTGATGAGGCTTGGGATAGAAGAAGCGGAAGATAGCCTCAGACAGCTGTGATCTTCGCGACTTGAGGGATCTCACGTCCTGGACTGGACTTTCTTGTACTTGCTGGAGACAAGAAGAAAAAGCAGTCATACTCAGCCCACAATCAAACTAAGCACAGCAGCGCCCATCGCGACTCCGCAAGTCTGGCTGATCAGAGCACATCTGGTTTAGGGTCTAGGGTTTAGGGTTTAGGGTTTAGGGTTTAGGGTTTAGGGTTTAGGGTTTAGGGTTTAGGGTTAGGGTTTAGGGTTTAGGGTTTAGGGTTTAGGGTTTAGGGTTTAGGGTTTAGGGTTTAGGGTTTAGGGTTTAGGGTTTAGGGTTTAGGGTTTAGGGTTTAGGGTTTGGGGTTAGGGGTTAGGGTTTAGGGTTTAGGGTTTAGGGTTTAGGGTTTAGGGTTTAGGGTTTAGGGTTTAGGGTTTAGGGTTTAGGGTTTAGGGTTTAGGGTTTAGGCCCTGTTGAACAGGGCCTGTTCGGATGGGTTCGAAAGGTTTAGGCGCATGCGGGGCCCTTGTTTTCTCCAACCCGAAACCCTAAAGCCCTAAAAGCCTAGAAGCCGAAAACCCTAAAACCCTAAAACCCTAAAACCCTAAAACCCTAAAACCCTAAAACCCTAAAACCCTAAAACCCTAAAACCCTAAAACCCTGAAACCCTAAAGCCCTCAACCCTAACCCCTAAACCCTAAACCCTAAACCCTAAACCCCAGAAGAAGCTGGAGGCTTTTCAAGGGCAGGGAGGGGGGGAACTCGCCGTGTCGAAGGCCGAGCAGCTCAGGCCAAAAGTCTTTTCGAAGCTCGGGGCTGACGTGTTGTCGCATCAGAAACCTGACGCGACTTCTGGGTGGGGAGGAGGATTCCACGGTTCGTAGTAGGGTTTTTTTGGGTTTTTGGGGGTTTTGAGGGTGTTTAGGGCGTTTCGGTTTTCAGGGTTTTTAGGGTTTAGCGTGGGTTTAAGGAATGAGGGAATGAGGGCGCCCTGCTGAGAATCCCGTAATGCGGTGTAGAATATAGGGGAGGCAAGGTGCCGAATGTTCTCAAAGTTTGGGGCTGCTCCGTCCTTTGCCAGATCAATCTCAAACCTTCGGGCACTTCATGGGGGAGGGGGGGGTAGGTATCTATGAAACCTTAAGGGAAGCTTAGGGAGCCTTGGGGAGTAATGTAATTATTGGGGAGGTGTTAGGAACCTTGGGTTACAAACAACCTCAGGATGTATTGCATTTGGAAAACCACCCAAATACCAGACAGCAGTGGTGGGCGCTGTGGCGCAGATCCTTCCCCCCAAACTTTGAGGGGACCGCAGCCCGAAACCATCACACCCTCTACCCTACACCCTACACCGTACAACCCCCCAGGACCCCCAATAAGCACAGCAGAGACACTCAAAAAGCTGGTCCCGGCTGGCCCCTTCCTCGGCTGAACTTCTGGGGTTCAAGCCCAACCGCCCTCCCCTTGCGGTTGTCAGTATGGGACTCCGGCTTTAAGGGCTTTTGGGTTAGGGTTTAGGGTTTAGGGTTTGGGGTTGAGGGTTGAGGGTTTAGGGTTTAGGGTTTAGGGCTTAGGGCTTAGGGCTTAGGGCTTAGGGTTTAGGGTTTAGGGTTTAGGGTTTAGGGACATGGCAAAGAAGGCTCACACAGACCTCCTCGGCGAGGTGAAGGTTTCCGAAAAGGCGGCTCTTGGGAGAGGAGCTTCTGTGCTACGCTTTTGGGATGCTCCCCCTTATGCTAACAGGCCTGAATGGGGATTGTAATAGTGGGGTACTAAGCCATACTCTCTTTTGGTGACAGATGCACCGCGCTAGGCTTGTCTTTTCGCGCTGGTGCAGGTTTGAGTAGCATGCAGCTCCCACGAGAACAATCACATAGGTAATCAGACGCTCAAATCGCATCTCATGTTGGCTTCTGCCATTGCAGCACGACAGTCCCCTCCCCAAAGGCTCAGGTTTAGCTTGTCCCTGCCCATTGCTGCTCAGTATCGGTGCCGCCTTCGAGCGCACGGATGTTCGCACCACAGCCCTTGAACAAAAACTTCGTGTCCTCACCAGATCCACACAGGGGCACCACACAAGCTGCTTCCAGCGCCATTTTTTGCAGCAAAGATGCCCACGATTTCTTCTTCAAGGCATCCTGACACAAGCACACAAGCACAGCAGCGAGGCGCAGCGAGGCCCCTAAAGCCCCAGACTCTGAACCCTAAACCCCATGGCATGAAGGCCACCCTTAGCCTGAGCCCTCTCACACATTGTTGCAGGCACCGCCTTCGGAGGACAAACTAGGCACCGCCAGCCCAAGCCCAGCCCAAATCAAAAGGCCCCGAGGTGCTAAATCTCTCTGGGTAGATACGTCAATGTGGGCCCTGAAAAGGGGGGCCCCTCATATGCCCGTTATACCCGAGAAAATCCCAGGCCCATACTTCAGAACCCTTGGACCCATAACATAACCACCCTAAGAGAACCCTAAAGCCCTAAACACCCCTGAATAAGCACCTGAGGTGATTGGTTTCCGGAGCCGACATGAGACTGCCTTGGCAACTGTGTTGCCTTCAGCGTCCACCTCCACCAGCAAGTCCTTGGCTCAGATGCCGGCTTCTTGCACGGGTTTAGGGCTTTAGGGCGAAGCTTCAAAATGGGATTCAGGAGAGTTTATTGTTTGAGAGTTTAGGGTTTCAAGCTATAGGGTTGAGGGGCGGCGGATGCCAGAAGCGCAAGCGCAAGCGCGCGCTCGCGCGTTTCATGAGGCATGGTGACTCCAGCCTCGTTTTTGTTCACAGTGCTTTCATGGGTCGGGCACGTATGACCTCTGCGAGAAATCGCTGCTTCTTCTGCAAACTTGCTGAAAGCGCCGCATGTCCGCGCCTCGCAAAGGAGAGATGCGTGGTCAGGCGAAAAAAAGCGGCCGGGGTGTGTAGAGGCGCATCGAAGCCATGTTGGCATGCCGAGCTCGTGTTTTTGCAAGGCTTCTCCGAGCTTGGGGGATGCCATTAGCCCTCAGGAAGCTGTTCTGCTCCTTTCAAAAGCTTGCTCCCCGGGATCCCAGGGGGCCAGGACCCAGGGGGGGTCGCAGGGTTCCGGCAGGGGTTTTCAAGGGGGTTTGTGAAGGGGGTCCCAGCATTCCGGCTCTGTCTGATGGTCGCCGCCCACGGGGGAAAAGGCAATGTGGCAAGCGTGGACGTATTCACCCTTCGGGATGGAGGCTGCGAGACGTGGCCAGTTAAAATGCAACGTGCACACAACCCACTGTGCTCGGTCATCAGCGACAACGCAACACTTGGAAGCGTGCGAAGTGCATGAAACACTGTATGGGCGTGCCACAGAAAAAACAACAGAGGTCGGCCCGAACTCTGAAAGTGCGCGTGAACAGCCGAGGGTACAACTATGACAACAACGGCTGCATGTGTCTGACGTTCCTTGTGTAGCACCCCATTAGTTTATCGAGGCTCCTTGTCCTTGAGCTTCAGGCTGACCCAGCCTGCATCCGGACCTGGGCACGGGCGTTTCTAAACTCGGCCTGCGTATCAGACCTGTACGAAAGACGGTGGATTAAGAGAAATCCCCGGTGGCAGTACCTTCTGCTGTTTCGGGTGTGACCCAGTACAGCTTCTTTGGTGGGAGGTAAGCGGTTGCGAGACGTGTCGAAGGTTTTGCTTCCCAAATTTCCAAATGCAGCCCGAAGCGCAAGTCCACAAAAGCCTATCGTAGACCTTTTGGTGGTATGTGCGTATGCGCAAGCACCCAAGGTACCCAAGGCTTACACTTGCAGCAACACTCAAGCATCCTATAAACATCCCTAGGCCCCGTGCAACCCTACTCGCAACTTCCGGTGCTGGCCTTTGCCAGAGACAAGCTCGAAGTTCAGCCGGTCGCCCTCAAGCTTCAGCTCCTGCGTGCGGATGCTGTCGCAAGTCTTGTGGCAAGTCGCAGGCACGTCACTTGAATGTATGTGACAGCATCACAGACCACTCAAGCCTGCTTTTGGCATCTGCGGATTGGCGAAGCTCTGGGTTGCTAATGCTGCTAGTGGCAAGCTAGTTCCCGCCACTTGTTCGCTCAGAGACCCCAGCGGCCGCTGTTGAGGGCACCAGCCGTGCTGTCAAGGTCCCAGCTGCCCTGGGGTCCCACATAGCCCTCGGGGAAGAGCGGGAAGAGCGGACCCTTGACAACCAGGTTGTGGTGGATCATGCCGGAGATGGCCAGCATGGCCAGGCGTCCATTGCTCAGCTCCTTCACCATCAGGTCCTCGGCCTTGGCCTTGTCTGTCGGGAGGAATCTTTTGCCAAAGTTCAGGTCACCAGGCGCTCGGCTGGCCCCATCTCCTTCGAACATATCCAGCATCGTGATCTTGCCTCCGTAGGTTGAGCTCTCAATGTAGCCGCACAGGAAGAGCAGCACTCCGGTGGCATTCAGGGGGGCAGTGTAGACGGCCTGCAGAGCATCCTCCGCCCCATCGAAGCCTGGCAGCTGCCAGTACTGCTCCGCAACGAAACCAATGGTTGCGAGCATGCACACACGGCCGTGCTTCAGCTCGGCCTCACGAAGCCACCTGACGTCAATGAGCTCAGCGAAGCCAACAGGATCGAACTCAGCCTCGCCCCCCACCAGCCCCTCCAGGTTTTTCGGCTTGGGCAGGAAGGGCAGGCTCTTGCTGGAGGAGGCCTGGCGAAGGGTTCGGCCCACGCGCTGTGGGGCCACTGCCCCGCAGAAGGAGCCGCTCCTGGCCTCGTCCTTTCGAGGCAAAGCGGAGATGGCCGCGTCGAAGAAAGGCCACTGCTCCTGGGTGAGAACGGCAGACGTCACAATGCCGGAGTACGCAAGCATGGCCAAGCGGCCGTTGCGAAGCTCCTTCACCTGCATCTCGTACTGGCCTTTCGCATCGCTGGGGTAGAATCCCCGCAGGCCGAAGTCTCCAGGCTTGCGGTCCGTCTTGCCCTCGCGCATGTTGACGTACGCGAAGAGCCCAAGGACCTCCAGGAGACCGCACCAAATCAGGATCTGGGGCATGCCGCCGAACTTGACCATGGCGTCATGAGCCTCAATGGTTGAAACCTGGAAGGCATCGCCGGGCACTCGATATCCGAGGTCCGTGGTGATCCACCCGACGGTAGCGAGCATTGCAACACGCCCGTGCTTGAGTTCTGCCTCACGCAACCAGCCAATCTCGAAGGCCAAGGAAAAGCCCATGGGGTCAAAGCCCTCCTCCTCTCCCGGAATGCCCTCCAAGGCTGGGGACATTGGGAGGAAAGGGACCGCGGCGCTCATCTTGTAGCCGGCCTGCCTAGCCACCGTGCTCCGCTGGCTCTGGCTGCGCCCGGCAAGGGAACCGGCGGCTGGGGAAACAGAGGAGCTCAGTGCGCAGGTGGATTCCTTCTGGGCATAGAGCCAGGGAAAGCCATTGCCGGTCAAGGTCGCCTGCGTGATGGCTCCACCGAAGGCCAGCATGGCAAGGCGCCCGTTCTTCAGCTCCTTCAGCTTCATCTCCTTCACCTTTGCGGGGTCATCTGGAAGGAAGCTGGTGCCGAGCTGATAGTCGCCAGCATTCTCGAGGGTCAAGCCGGGCTTGTTGGAGACGTTGCAGGTCTTGGCGAAGGTGGTCAACATCTCAATGACCTGAGTTCTTCCGGGTTCTTCGCAAAGTCCTACTGTATGTCCTATGCAGCTGCCCTTCCCCGCTTGTCGATTGTCCTCCTACCTTTCCGACCCTTTCGCAGCTTTACATGTCGAATGCAGGCGTTTCATGTGCATCGCCTGCTACTGGCTGCGGGATACTCTCCTATGAAACACTTCTGGCTGAGACGGGGACGCCGCAGAAAGCGTACACCTGGAACAGGGGGCCTGCGTTGTTTTCCGTGCCAAAGAAGTCATTTGCGTTGATAAGGAAGGGGAACGGAGGATTGCCTGCGCAGGCGTTGTGAGCCTCTACGACAGTCTTGGCCGCATAGCAAGGGTGAGATCCAGGGATGCGCACGATGTCAGGCACGACCAAGCCCACAAAAGCCAACATGGCGATCCTCATCAGGGGCCAGGCATCATTCGCACGTGCACATGGGTGGCCTTGTAATATTCTGGAACTACTGTAGTGCTACACACACGAGTGACAGCAAAGGGCACACAAAGGCAGCGGTCCTGCCGTGCTTGAGCTCAGCCTCTCGGAACCAAGGCAGGTACTTCTCGCACTTGACAGACAGGCCCAGTGGGTCAAAGTTGAAGTCCTGACCCGAGAAGGCGGACTCACCACCGATCAGGCCACCTGCGAAGGGCTTCTCGTCAGTGACGCCCGTGGCTTCGGCACGTCGCACCACGTTTGCCCGGCTACGGCGTCCGCTGGCTGCCAGGGCCAGAGCCGCGGTGCCTACAGCGGTGGCGGCCGCTGCATGGCCCATCGTGCTCGACTTCTCGCTGGCCTCGGTCGCTCCGCGCAGCTGTGGGGCTGCGGGGGACGCCGAGGGTGCAACGAAGGCATTGACAGCAGCAGGCGCCCAAAGGGACGCCGCGCCAATGGCGCCCAGGGTCAGGCCCATGGAAGCAGTGGGCTTGGATGCCATGCTCTCTTGGGGTTCAAAAAATGTAGAGGCAGGGCTGAGCCAAACTGCTTAGCGGCCTCGGCACGGGAACTCCAGACCACAGCTCTCTTGGATAAAGCTTGATCGCTCTTTGCTCCACTTTAAACCTGAGATTCACCTAAACCTGCTCGAGCAGGTGCTCCCCGCCTTGACAAGAGCTCCCGTCGCCAGACGGTCGCCCAGCTGCTCCGATGTCAGCTTCTGGCCGCTGCGCACCACGATGCCGCCGGCACTGCCACCTCACCCCCCCCCCGGCCCCGGCCCCCCCCCCCCCCCGCGACATGAATGGAAGTGGGGGCCTTCAGCAACTTTGCATGACTTTCGCATCTTCAGCCATCCCTTCATGGCAGCATCGGAGTGGGTTTGCTGCGTCTGTGGCACGTTGCAGGTGGATCTTTGAGGCCAACATCAGCTCATGCTACGGCATGTTTCTGATCATTGGATCAGCATTCGTACTTTGGCGCCGAGCGATGTTGGGTAGAAGCTTTTCAAGTCTAGTTGTTAATATGCGGCGGGCCTCCCACCACTTTCCATTGCCTGGTCAGTCCATGCTAGCATGACTCCGAAAACAAACAACAGGAGGTGCAACAGCGGATGGAACAGCCCGGCACGCTGGATGAAATCAACAGTGACTTAGTGTTGTAGTCAAGCCAACATGGTGCCCTCAGAGAAAGACCCTCCACCTGGACAGGGTAGTCCCGCCTGGGAGCCATGTGGAACAGCTCGAAGCTTGGTCAGGAAAGCCGCAAAAGTGATGTTGAGACTGGTACTCTGTGTTCTAGAGGTGTCTTTTCGGGGTGCATAGTACATCAGATGATGATATCACGGACACCAACTGTTCGTGTTGAGAGAAAGCATGCCACCAGCATGACTCTGCTGCTTCAAGACCAGCAGAGGAGTAGTGGCTTGGACCACACGCAGCTGCAGACCACATGGGGGTTCCTTTTGTAAGTATAGCATTGATTATGGTATGCAGGGGGTAGGATAGGGGATCCCTAAAAGGCAACGCCCGGCTAGATGTTGAGCTCGCCCTCCAGTTCATCCCCACTCCCTAAGCCCTCAACCGTGTCCCGAAACCCAAACCACAAACCCCAAAGCCGAAACCCCGTGCCCTTCCTTGTTTGAGGAGAAACAGCCGACGCCCCCCCCCCCCCCCCCCCGCCCCCCCGGCCTTCTTTGTCTGGCTTGGGCGGGCCGGAGACATGGGGCCGATCTGTGAGGGATGAGACATCCCATCTTCGACCACAGCTGCACTCCGACAGTTGAGAAACACACCATGAATGCAGTTTGCTTAAGGGCTTTAAGGTTCAAAGCTCACGCCTTAGGGGTTGACACCTCAATTCAGGGAATGTTCTTGAGGATTTCCATTAAGTTTCAATCAACATTGCTTGATTGGGAGGCAACGTGGACTACGCCGACTATCTTCTCTTGATGGCATTCCCAAGGCCCCCTGCGCCCCCTGGTTCCTAGTAGGGAAGGAGGGAATGGGCGCCCTACATATACCCTGTAAGGGATTCTTTAGGGCCCTAATTCCCTCATTCCCTACCAAGAACCAGCCTGGCCTTCGGCGCCTCGCATGATTTTGGCTTGCCTCAGGCTGCGCTTAGCTGATGTCAGTGCTTGGAGGTTTATAGGGTGTATATATAGGGTTTAGGGTGTAGGGCTTTAGGGTTTCTAGGGTTTCGAAGGTTGATAGGGTTTAGGGTTTAGGGCTGAGAGGGTCCCGGGCTTCGCTTGCTGGGAGTGCTAACAGCACCAGACATGGCCCTATGACATGCTTAAGAACCCAAGAACCCCCCCCAAAAAAAAAAAAAAAAAATGGAATTATATATAAAATAAATATATTGCCCTTCTTTTTTTTTTGGGGGGGGGGCTTCTTAAGCAATTAGTCGGGCCTGCTCATGTCATGCCCTCGTCCGTTTTGGGGTGGTGTGAGACTCTGAGATGCAGGCGAGATCATGGACTTCTGGCTCTTCAGCGTCTTCAAGCTGTGTGACGAGGACGGCTTTGAGAAGGTGGGCTTCATGCCATTCATGGCCGGTTCTGGCAGACACACGCTCGGCAGGTTTTTGAAGGGCAAGAAGCCTAAACCCTGAACCCTTGGGTGAAACCCTAAACCCTAAACCCTAAACCCTTAAGCTCAATTCTAGGAAGGTCATGTGCCTGAATGCCAAGGGCTTGCACATCAACTCGGCATGTCAGGCCTATGTAGCCCATGGCCTTCGTCTTTCTGCACCTTGTCACACTGCAGTTTAGGGTTTAGGGTTCAGGGTTTAGGGTTTAGGGTGTTGGGTGTAGGGTTTAGGGCATCGGCCATGATGAAGATGGAAAAGCAATGGGAGCTGACTTTTGGGAGTTTCTTAACCTTGGATACTGTTTGCAGGTTTACAACACAAACTTCAAAAACAAGGATCCAAAAAAAAACAGACAGGCGCAATTTCCTAGTCTTGCAGCCTTTATCGTCCGCACGGGATACGGGTGCACACACCAACAATCACACAAACACTCAGCTACAAGACATGGGCTGTGGCGTAGAGTGGCTGTTGAGCAAGTCCCCACAGGTTCGGCACTTCAACCTGGCGACAAACACTGCTTCATTTTGGTGATGCCAGAATCTAGACTGACATGCCAAATGAGAATGACGAATCCCATAATTGTTCGGACCTTTTGTAACTTTGAAACGATGGCGGCAGCACAGGGTAGAAGACTTCTCAACAACAATAACGATAGCGACGAGACTAATGCTGCAATATGAAAGGACGGCTTTGCAGCATGCCTGACGTACAGGCGGGTGACGCCGATGTCGCCGATGGAATGCTGACAAGTCGTCAGGGCATGTCAACCACTGAATAACAAGGTCATGCGCTGCTTAACTTCGTGGGCCTACATTTTTGCCCCACGGCTGCGCAGTATTGAGCGGCAGGCAGTATTGATCGGAAAGTGGCAAGCCCAAACAGAGAACTGGGCTTCTGGCAACTCCCGGAATGCCGGCAGCCCTGAGTGCTTTGCTTCTTCTCTCGCTCTGTCCGGTCGGGAAATGTCAAAAAAAAACTTCAGTTCATGTTGACTTCATGTGCTAGAGCATTGGTTCGGACAGGTTTTGCACTCAGCAGGCTCCTCTGGCATCATCATGGGACGGCGTACAACATACCACGCTGCTGCTCAAACCCTCAGGGCCCGGCATGTCTTGCAGCACTCGCATGGTAGCCATGGAGCGCGAATCTAGAGAATCCTTCCACAGCGAGAATATGGGGGAGCTGACCTGAATTGTAGGGGACCCCTTCTAGGGTCTCTGCTCGTGCTTCTTACAAGCCTTTTAGAGCTGAGGGTACCCAGGGCCCTCATGTTTCAACCCCACCCGTTTTGGGACATCCTGACAAAGGTCCTGAGTGGTCAGCAGCCGCATGTTGTCTGTCAACTGCACCTGTCAAGCAGCACAAATTCCTGAGACACGTGCGTCGCATGACATTCTGAGACCGATACACAGATGGAGCCGCGCACGGAGTCACAGACAGACGAGCAAAAAAGTATCCAACCACTATGTTTCTTGTATGGTCTGAGTCGGGACTGCACCTCGTCTTACGTTTATGCGTATTCTAGCGGACCGGATCAACGAACTCCGACTCGAAGGGCAGGTCATAAATACAATTGGCGGCCAAGCTCCTAAGGACGGCGGGCTTTGGGATGCTTTACGGCTTACGGGCTTTTATGTCAACCCTATTTGAAAAATCGCCCCTTCAGTGGTGAGGTATGGGATCCCGTGCCCAAACTGGCAAAGGGATGTCCCAACCTCACCCATATTGAGGACAGCGTCCGCACAAGCTCCACAAACCCGAGGCCTTGGAACCTGAGCCCCAAACCACACCCTTAACCCGCAGCAGCCTGCTCCCCCCCCCCCCCAATTTTGTCTGCCAAGTCACCTTCCCGCTCTCGGCATAGGAAAGCTCGTAGGCGGTCATGGGGAGCATCAGCTTCTCGTAAATCTTGGCAAGGCATGGCATGGGCTGCACCCCTCGAATTGCTAGGAGTAACGCCCCCGGTAGGGCGCCTTAGGGGTTTCCAGGGTTTTAGGAGGTCTAAGGATTGCAAAGGAAGAAAGCTTCAAGGCTCACGACAATCCACATCCCTGCTCGACAGCATCAAGGGTTTTGCATGTGCCGTCTTGGAGAAGCCCCCCCTGGGTAGCCAACCCACTTCTTCAGGTCGTACACCGTGTGCAGACCATTGAAGCAGCGGCAAAACCCCTCGTCATGCATGACACCATGTCAGAATGGCAGGGTGTTGGGTAGCGAAGTAAGTAGGGCAGCATCTCGCAAAGGAAGGACATGGATGTCGGACGGAGTTCGCTTGAGCGACATCTAAAGCATCAGCGAGCCTCGTTCGTGTGGGATGATCGTAGCTCGGCGTACACGGTGTATGCAGAGCACGGCAACCGAATAGACCTGTCTGAGAATAGGGCTGGAGCTAAGAATAGCTGGGAAGATGCTTTTGCACGCAGCTTGCCAGGAGTGGACTCTGAATTTTCACCGCTGCCTTCTCAATTTGGCCAAGGTGCGTTGTGTTGAAGATTTTCTCGAAGCCCAGACGGAAGCCAGCTATTCTCCTCAGCAGCTCTGAGCCCTAAGCCCTGTATACTGAAGCCATTGAAGCCGCACCCTAGGCATTCCTTCCTGCGGTGCAGGCCGTTATTCTTGAAGTGTAGACGCCGCTGTTCAGCTAGACCAACTAGAGCTGGGTGTTTAATACCCCTACACCAGGGCATCGACCTTACACCATACAGGGCTCCTGACTATGAGCTGAGGCACATGCCAGTGCCTTATTGCGTTACCTGGGAACTGCGCATGCTGCGCACTTCATTCTCAGGCAGTCGCCGTCGAACAGGTTCCTCCTCTTCAGAGGCCTGCGGGCCGCCAGCTTGCTACTCTGCCTACCACTTGCGGAACGGCAGAGTTTTACGTGGGCTGGTAGTTGTGGCATGTGCTATTGTGGTTGCCGTTGTCGTTGCCTTGTTGCAACTTTGCAGTTTATGAAAGAGTCAAAGAGTCTGGTCCCTGTTCCTGTCTATGGTGTGGACCATGTCAGAACTACTATGGCGACGATCATTCACCCCATCTTCGATGAATGCGATGAGCACGATGAAGACGATAATGATGACGTTCATCCACGACTCAAGCGTATCTCCATTGGGCATCTTGTGGAACATTCCGGGACAGCAGCGAGTTTTGAGAGGAACATGCTGTGTGTTGAAGGCCTTCCGACAGCCCGACCGAGTATTGACCGTTGAGCTCCAGGGCTCGTTCCCTCTGACATACAACATTGCCAAGCCTCACCACTTGGCCGGCGACCTGATCTCGGTCCGTCCTGTGTGGCGCGCAAGACCCCCTGGTTCTTTGTCCCAAGACAGATGTTCAGTTTCCAGATCCACGGAACAAAGACTGACTGACACCTAATAACAGCAGCTTGCGAGCCTTCTTGCGGGGAAACTTGTGACCTCGCCATCTGTCCAGCTTCGTTGAGCAAGCACTCTACGGCTACAGCCTCCTGTCTCCAAGAACCGGTACGTATCTGATAACGTTGCTGACACGCGATGCAATGACCTACGCGCATCTCCGAGTGAATGCGCAAAGCCTCAGTCGTTGACAGACGGCGAGACAATGACAGTTTACGCTTTAGGGTACCGAACGGGACCCGAAAACCCCCAAGCCTAAACCCCAAACCCTGAACCCTCAGACAAGGTAGAACTCAGTGCCCCCGCGCAGCGCCGACACCCGCTCGGCTTCGTAGGGCGAGTCGAAGAAGCGAGCCTGCGCTCTGGGCTTCTTCGCAGTTCTTCGAAGGGTTTAGGGTTCAGGGTTCAGGGTTCAGGGTTCAGGGTTCAGGGTTTAGGTTTAGGGTTTAGGGTTTAGGGTTTCGGGTTTAGGGTTTAGGGTTTAGGGTTTAGGGTTTAGGGTTTAGGGTTTAGGGTTTAGGGTTTAGGGTTTAGGGTTTAGGGTTTAGGGTTTAGGGTTTAGGGTTTAGTCGTAACCTATACAATCCCTGAAAGGCTTTTCTAGCAGGATTATGCACCCAAATCCGGCAAATGCCTACTCAGAACAACTGGTGAGGTCTCGGAATCGCGGGGCCATGTCAGAGATGAAAGTTGCACGCAGCCAAAACCCAAAACAAATATGCGAGCCACTCTTCCAACGTGTGATCCCTGAACCAAGATGCCTGTACCCGAAACCCTGATAGATTTAAGGGGCTAAGGAACCGTAAACCCTAAACCCAAAACCCCAAACCTAAATCCTAAACCCTAAATCCTGAACCCTAACAAACCTCTAAACCCCGAGACACCTCTGCTTCGGCTCGCAGCTTCTCGTGCCGGTCCCCGGGATCTTCGCCACCGGAGTAGGCCGAGCGGCCATACCTGCGGGGGCTTGAGGGTCAGAGGGTTAGAGGAGGCTTCGAGGGTTTAGAGGGCGAGAGGATCAGGAGTGTTTCGAGGGTGTTTAGAGGGTGCTAGAGGGTCCTAGCGGGTGTTAGAGGGCTAGAGGGTGTCACGGGTCGGAGGGTGCTAGAGGGTTGGAAGGTTGTTAGGGTGATAGATCAGAAATCACATGAGATCATGAAGCTCACACACGCTCGCTGGCCGTCCTGGCCTCGATTCGGCTCCGCGGGCCGTCTGAGCTCCGTCTGTCAGTACAGACCTGAGCGCCAAGTTCGGGGCTTGAATTCAGGGTTTCGGCTTTCTTCAGGGTTCTAGGGTCTACCCACAGCTCTTTCTACCCCTCAAAGGAGATACCACGACTCAGACCGATGATTCAAGGTGTCTTCCCCTGCAGAGCGCCTGACGAAAGAGATCATGAGTTGCTCCGGGCTGAGTCGACTCACTGCTTAAGGCTGCGTCCGTTGCTCTGCTAGAGTTTACTATTCAGGGGCTCTCCAGCTCTTTTCGGGCTCATATCGGGGTCAAAATATGGGGCTCATAGGCATCGTAGGCCTGATAGGTTTAGGGCCAGGGTTCCATCAACGCCTGGCAGCCAGCGGACGCGTCTAAGCTGGCACCGTGTGTGATGCTGTGAGTCCACGACTTCCCAGTGGATTCCAATACGCCTCTCTTGCCGGGCTCCTCAGCCGGCCTGCGCACGAGGCTGTGTACACTAAGGCTCGATCGGGGCACCTCACGGCCAAGTTGGGAGTTTTGGGTTTGGGGTTCCACAATACATCTCCGGCGTCCGAAGGTGCAAGAATGATACTCGCGGCGAGTGGGTTCTAGACAAGCCCCCACACCGCGGCGCACTTCTCCTGAACTCCAAAATGGAAAACTAAGCCCTAATTAAACCCTAAGCCCTACACGCTACACCCTGGACCCTAAAGCCAAAACCCTAAACCCTAAACCCTGCACCCTACACCCTAAACCCTAAACCCTAAACCCTAAGCCCTAAGCCCTAAGCCCTAAGCCCTAAGCCCTAAGCCTTAAGCCCTAAGCCCTAAAGCATAAGCTTGCTGGGGGGAGCCTCGGCTCTTCTGAGGCCATCGCCCGGGCGGCCTCACCAGGGGGGGGCGGGTAGCTTGCGGTCAGAGTGGTATAGGGTTTAGGGTTTAGGGTTTAGGGTTTAGGGTTTAAGGTTTAGGGTTTAGGGTTTAGGGTTTAGGGTTTAGGGTTTAGGGTTTAGGGTTTAGGGTTTAGGGTTTAGCGGTGCCATCTACGCGATGTGTGGGAGGGTAAGGTAGGGCACCTTGAGCTTCGAGGTGATAGTAGCAGCAGGGCCAGGGGCTTCGGTTTTAGGGTATAGTGCGGGGATCAAATCCCCTACTGAAAAGAAGCCCCTTAGCATCGGGAATGCTGACTCTCGGCTTCTCCGTCTGGAGACGGCACAGGCACACTCGCGCAAGCACATGCCCAACGAAAGCCAATGCCAAACCTCAAATCCCCCAAGCCCACATTGTTTAAGCCCCAAGCCCCAACAGCCTCTATGCCCTGAACCCGAGAAACAGGAAGCCCTCAACCTTATCCCGAAGCCAGCCTGCGTCCAGAACCCACCGTGGCTGGCAGGAACTAACTTTGGGCCAGAGGCAGGTGAAGGAAGGGTTCAGGGTTTAGGGTTTCGGGATCAATCGCAGGTCGGCCAGTCTGTCGAAGAGCACAGGCATTCTGATGAACAATCTGCATGGCACCCCTTTTCCCGCGGCACGGTCCCACGCTTCCTTGGTCACAGGCTCGATGGGCTTTGCATCAGAGCACGCAATTCCGCCATCGATCAGCTCTCGGCTTTCTCGGTGACCTCCTGGCTACGGGCCCCACGACAGATGGGCGGCTCTTGGTTGCCCACTTCGGCGTGTTGCGTCCACTCTAGGTCTGGCTCTGGCGCGGAGATCCAGACGGCTTGCGGCCGAGGGTCGTCGTCGCTGTCGCTGTCCAAGCCTCAGAAACTTGAGAGTTCAAGAAACCCGCGAACTTCTATGCAACAAAACTAAAGATCGGAGGTGGCTGAGTGTGCTGCCCAACCTCCGGCAGAGCTCACGATACTTCGGGTTCAACCTTTGTGCATACTCAACTGCTGTTGAAGCCATACTGAAGACACCCTTATCTTGCACTGCGCGGTGCCCTGTGGCATAGCTACGGCAAGGCACAGCAGCCACTGACGGGAGACCGAGGAGTGTCCTTTCACCAGCGCAAAGTCCTAACCGCGCGGCTCTGAATGTTGGGCATGTTGGCTACAAGGGGGCCTTGGCTTCGAAAACAAGACCCCGAGTTTGGGAGCGGCTTCCGGTTCTTCAGGCGGCTGCCTGATTTTCAGGCGGCCCCTGTGCGGCCTGAGAAGAGCTGTGAACTCTCTGACCGGTGCCTCTCAAGGCGAGAACCTCTGGCGCCCTGTGAATCCCGTGCCAAAGGTGCAAGAGAGGTTTTCTGAGGAGCACAAAAATCATGGCCAAGATCGTCGAAATGCGTGTGTCTTTGTGAGCAATATGCGGGAGGGCTCAGAGGAGGAGAGATGAGGGCAGTGGACATGCTTGTACCGGAACTTCGATGAGCTTCGCTCTAAGCTCTCTGTGTCGAGGTGGGTCCTGTGTACCAGGCAATTGGTTCCTGTCCAAGCAAAGTCGCCCTTGGGAACTTGAATTCATCGTGCTGGAGAGGACAGCATGCATGGGGAAAACCTGCACGCTAATTCGAAGGCGTGCAGGAGCGCTGGTCTGCAATAACCTGAGAAGCCATTGCGGAAGGATCCGGGTGCCAACGCTCCTGCACCGGAAGACGGCTCGACACCGCTCTGCTCTAACACAGCAACTGCCCCAGGTTTCCGCGTCATTCGTAGCCGCGCCGAGGCCGAGATCCTCACATAGGACAAAGCAGAGCACATCTCTTAGCCTGCCTTCGATTGTGTATCCACGCCTGCTCCGGTTCGTTCGCCGCCTCTCGCGTGGCCTCGCACGCATGGCTTGCGCTTCGGGGTTTAGAGGGCTTGGGGTTCCAGGGGTTCAATTTGGGTTTTGGGTGTAGGGGCCCAGTCCGCGTTGCAAAAGCTCGTTTGCTTGCAAAAGTACAGTTTCCTCAAAGGGACGCAAGTAAAAAGATCATGACGGCCGAGCTCGAAGCCTCGTCGTGGTTCGCGAAGACCTTCTGCTCTCTCTGATCCTGAGCTTTGCTTTGCTCGTGTGTAGTAGAAAGAATCAGTCGCAGTAACCGAAGAAATATTTCTTGTAGTAGTAGTCGTGGTAGTGGTAGTGGTAGTGGTAGTGGTAGTGGTAGTGGTAGTAGTAGTAGTGGTAGTGGTAGTGGTAGTAGTAGTAGTAGTAGTAGTAGTAGTAGTAGTAGTAGTAGTAGTAGTAGTAGCAGTAGCAGTAGCAATAGCAGTAGCAGTAGCAGAAGCAGTAGTAATAGTTGTAGTAGTAGTAGTAGTAGTAGTAGTAGTAGTAGCAGTAGCAGTAGCAGTAGCAGTAGCAGTAGCCGTAGCAGTAGCAGTAGCAGTAGTAGTAGTAGTAGTAGTAGTAGTAGTAGTAGTAGTAGTAGTAGTAGTAGTAGTAGTAGTAGTAGTAGTATGTAGTAGTATGTAGTTGTAGTAGTAGTAGTAGTAGTAGTAGTAGTAGTAGTAGTAGTAGTAGTAGTAGTAGTAGTAGTAGTAGTAGTAGCAGAAGCAGAAGAAGTAGTAGTAGTAGCAGCAGTAGTAGTAGTAGTAGTAGCAGTAGTAGTAGAAGTAATAGTAGTAGTAGTAGTAGTAGTAGTAGTAGCAGTAACAGCAGCAGCAGCAACAGTAGCAGCAGTGACAGTAGTAGCAGTAGTGGCAGTAGTGGCAGTAGTAGTGGTGGCAGTGGCAGTAGCAGAAGTGACAGTGGCAGTGGGGTGGCGGTGGCGGTGGCGGTGGTGGTATCGGTGTGGCGGTGTGGCGGTGCGGCGGCGTGGCGGCGTGGCGGCGTGGCGGCGTGGCGGCGTGGCGGCGTGGCGGCGTGGCGGCGTGGCGGCGCGTGGCGGCGTGGCGGCGTTGGGTGCGTGGGCGTGGCGCGTCGTGGCGGCGTGGGCGGCGGCATGGCGGCGTGGCGGCGGGGTGGCGGTGTGGCGGTGGTGGTGGTGGCGGTGGTGGCGGTGGTGGGTAGCGGTGGTAGCGGTGGTAGTGGTGGGGTGGTGCAGTGGTGTGCGGTGGTATGGTAGTGTGGGGTAGTGGTGGTGGTGGTGTGTGGTGGTTAGTGGTGGTCGTGGTGGTAGTGGTGGTAGTGGTGGTCGTGGTGGTAGTGGTGGTAGTGGTGGTAGTGGTGGTAGTGGTGGTAGTGGTGGTAGTGGTGGTAGTGGTGGTAGTGGTGGTAGTGGTGGTAGTGGTGGGGGTGGTGGTAGCGGTGGTCGTGGTGGTCGTGGTGGTCGTGGTGGTCGTGGTGGTAGTGGTGGTCGTGGTGGTAGCGGTGGTAGCGGTGGTCGTGGTGGTCGTGGTGGTAGTGGTGGTAGTGGTGGTAGTGGTGGTAGTGGTGGTAGTGGTGGTAGTGGTGGTAGTGGTGGTAGTGGTGGTAGTGGTGGGGGTGGTGGTAGCGGTGGTCGTGGTGGTCGTGGTGGTCGTGGTGGTGGTGGTCGTGGTGGTCGTGGTGGTAGTGGTGGTAGTGGTGGTAGTGGTGGTAGTGGTGGTAGTGGTGGTAGTGGTGGTAGTGGTGGTAGTGGTGGTAGTGGTGGTAGTGGTGGTAGTCGTGGGGGTGGTGGTGGTGGTCGTGGTCGTGGTCGTGGTGGCGGTGGCGGTGGCGGTGGCGGTGGCGGTGGTGGTAGTAGCAGTACGGGTAGGAGTAGCAAGTGGCAAGAGTAGCAGTCGTAGTAGTGGTAGCAGCGGCGGTGGTGACAATGCAAGTTCACCGCAGGCGCAAGCTTCACGCGCCACCTGCTTTCCCCCCTGGTCTCAACAAAGCCATCCCTAAAGACCCATTAAGAGACACCCTAAACCCTAAACCCTAAACCCGAAACCCTAAGGGGCTGGGTTTTTTTTTCCGTAGTTTTTTTTCCGTTTTTTTTTGTAGTTTTTTTCCGGCCGTCTGGCCCGCTGGTCGGGAACCTCTTGGCTTCCCCCCTCTGTCGAGGGGGTACTGAGCCCTCCCACCGCGACAAGGTGGGTTCCCGTTGTTCAGGGTTAAGGGTTAAGGGTTTAGGGTTTAGGGTTTAGGGTGTAGGGTGTAGGGTTTAGGGTTTAGGGTTTAGGGTTTAGGGTTTAGGGTTTAGGGTTTAGGGTTTAGCTCAAAAAAGCGGGGGGTTGGGGGGGGGGGGCGCAGCCCAAGCCGGGGGGGGTTAGGGGGGGGCGCAGTCCCCCCCCCCATTTGCAAACTCAATGCTTGCATGATGAGTTTGCTTGCATGATGGGTTTCAAGATTCACATGCTTTGAAAGAAGCTAAAAAGCGGGGGGGGTTGGGTTTAGGGTTTAGGGTTTAGGGTTTAGAGTGTTTAGGGCTTAGGGCTTAGGGGTTTAGGGTTAAAGGTTTAGGGTTTAGGGTTTAAGGTGTTTAGGGTTTAGGGTGTTTAGGGTTTAGGGTTTAGGGTTTAGGGTGTTTAGGGTTTAGGGTTTAGGGTTTAGGGCTTAGGGTGTTTAGGGTTTAGGGTGTTTAGGGTTTAGGGTGTTTAGGGTTTAGGGTGTTTAGGGTTTAGGGTGTTTAGGGTTTAGGGTGTTTAGGGTTTAGGGTGTTTAGGGTTTAGGGTGTTCAGGGTTTAGGGTGTTTAGGGCTTAGGGCTTAGGGGTTTAGGGTTTAGGGTTTAGGGTTTAGGGTGTTTAGGGTTTAGGGTGTTTAGGGTTTAGGGTGTTTAGGGTTTAGGGTGTTTAGGGTTTAGGGTGTTTAGGGTTTAGGGTTTAGGGTTAGGGTTTAGGGCTTAGGGATGATGAGCCTGCTTGCATGATGGGTTTCAAGATTCACATGCTTTGAAAGAAGCTAAAAAGCGGGGGGGTTGGGTTTAGGGTGTAGGGTGTAGGGTTTAGGGTTTAGGTTTTAGGGTTTAGCTTAAAAAAGCGGGGGGGGGGGGGGTTGGGGTTGGGGGGGGGGGGGGTTGGGGGGGGGGGGGGTGGTGGGGGGGGGGGTTGGGGGGGGGGGGGGGTTGGGAGGGGGGGGGGGGTTGGGGGGGGGGGGGGGTTGGGGGGGGGGGGGGGGGGTCGCAAGCCCAAGCGGAGGGGGGTGGGGGTTGGGGGGGGGCGGCAGAGGGGGTGGGGGGGGGCGCAGCCCCCCCCCCCATTTGCAAACTCAATGCTTGCATGATGAATTTGCTTGCATGATGGGTTTCAAGATTCACATGCTTTGCAAGAAGCTAAAAAGCGGAGGGGGGTTGGGTTTAGGGTTTAGGGTTTAGGGTTTAGGGTTTAGGGTTTAGGGTTTGGGGTTTGGGGTTTGGGGTTTGGGGTTTAGGGTTTAGGGTTTAGGGTTTAGGGTTTAGGGTTTAGGGTTTAGGGTTTAGGGTTTAGGGTGTATAGAAGGGAAGCTCGCTGGTGCTAAAAGCACCCGGGCCGCTCGCTTGCGTTAGCATGTAGTCCCACCCCAACCACCCAAACTATTCTCATTTAGGGTTTAGGGTTCACCCCCCAAACCCCCCTCAAGGGGGGCTTTCTTGCTTTTACAGAGAAAGAGCAGGGCGGGGTCTCCCGAGCTTCATGGAGCCTGTCAGTGACTCGTAGGCTTCTTGGAGCTTTCACGGAGTAAAATGGAAGGTGCCCAAAACCATCAAGTGCAATACCAAAAACCCACATTTTCGGGCTTGAAAGGGCAGCAAAAACGGTCGGGGGCAGCAGGGCCTCGGCCGGCCCTGCTTTTTGAAATGGAAAACCGTCGATTTTCTTACGCGTCTGGGCAAATGAGACCCTGTCAGCTCAGGCCCCAGGAGGCCCCTCTGGGAGGCCGGAAATCGACGGCTCTGGGTGGTCTCTCGTTTTCTGGATTTTTGACCAAAACCGAGCCTTCACCGGCTTCGGGATTTCAAGTTTTTCAAGGTTCTTCAAGGTTTTTCAGCGTTTTTATGTTTTTTTTATAGTGTTTATGTTTTTCAGGATATTTCAGAGTTTGTAACCCTCAATTCTGATGGAGGGCCGCCCCCGCGACCTTTTCACAGCCTAGTTTTGGTCAAGGGGGGGTTGTGTTTTTCAATTTTAAAGGCAAAATAGTCTTCTGAGACCCCCCCTAGCCTCAAACTCCGACCCCCCCTTGAAAGGGAAAGTTTGCCTCCAAAAACACCCCAAATGAGGGGGACCCCAGGATCGGCCCGGGTCCCAGTTAAAAATGCGATTTTTTAGTACTGAAATCGACGGCTCTGGGTGGTCTCTCGTTTTCTGGATTTTTGACCAAAACCGAGCGGGGTTTCAGGAGGTCCGGGAACCCTTGGGAGGGGGTGTCAGGGGGGTCTCAGGGGGGTCCCAAGGGGGTCCCGGGGGGGGGGTCCCAGGTTGCAGTCGCAAGGGAGGTCCCCAAAAGGTTTTCAGGGGGGTCCTAGGGGTCCCAGGCCCCAAAAACAACGATCGGAGGCAAAATCTAGGTCTGAGGCGTAGCCAGTCACTGCCGTCTCGTCTACCGGGAGGCTTTACCCTCCCTCACCGTTCTGTGGAGACGCTCGGTCGGGGACCTCGGTCGAAGCCTCGAGCGCCCATGCATATGGACAGCGGCGCTCTCGGCAGTTTAGGGTTTAGGGTTTAGGGTTTAGGGTTTAGGGTTTAGGGTTTAGGGTTTAGGGTTTAGGGTTTAGCTTAAAAAAGCGGGGGGGTTGGGGGGGGGGCGCAGCCCAAGCGGGGGGGGGGGTTCCCCAGCTGTTTGCTTGCTTGCTTGGTTGCCCACTTGCTTGCCCACTTGCTAGCTGGCTGGCTTGCCTGCTTGATTGCTGGCTTGTTTGCTTGCTTGCTTGCTTGCTGGCCCGCTTGCTCGCTTGCTTGCTTGCTTGCTTGGTTGCTTGCTTGCTTGCTTGCTTGATTGCTTGCTTGCTGGTACCGTTGCTTGTTTTCCTTGCTTGCTTGCTGGCTCGCTTGCTTACTTGCTTGCTTGCTTGCTGGGCCAGACGGCCGGAAAAAAACTACAAAAAAAAACGGAAAAAAACTACGGAAAAAATACCGCCACCAAACCCTAAACCCTAAACCCTAAACCCACCTAAGTGCCCGGGCGATGTGTCGGCTCGCGCGATGCCCTGCGAAAGTCCTGAGGAAGGACGTTCAGGGTTCGGAGTTTAGGGTTCAAAGCAAAGCCCCCTTTCTCCCACACGTGAGGACATTGCCAAGCTCGATCCTCATCATGCAGCGGTGCCTTGCCCCAGCGTTGGGGCTCTAGGGAAGTCCGTGCATCTGCCTGGGAGGAAACATGACCGAAAACTCTATGGGCAAAACCTGAATTAAGCCCGCAAAGCCTTTGGAACCCTTTCGACCTTGTCAACCCTACAAACCCAAAGCTCTCTATTCGTAGGGCTGACAAGGCTGTAAACAGCTTACCCTGCAGCATGAACAAAGCCGGCCAACCCTGCCTCAACTGACCGCGAAAGCGCCTAACATGCAAGTTGGGAGTGGGGGGGGTTTGTAGACTTGGGCCCCCTGGCTGATTGGTTTAGGGTTTGGGGTTTCGGTTTTACAATCGAACCCCTTGTCTTGAAAATAGCACATGAAGAAGAGGACCTCCATCTGCAGCTCCGCTGCAGGCTCCGGGGTAAAGAGGCTCCGCCGGCTCTCCCTGGCATCCGCTGGAAAGAGGCTCCGCCGGCTCTCCCTGAGGGTCACAAACGGACGCCGAACCCTGCGTTGGTTTCTCAAAACCGAGGCCTTTCGTCGAAGTCTACGGGTGGGCTTTTGCTTTCGTTTAATGGTTGCTGGGAACATGATGAGCTTCGTGTGTCTACGTGCCAGCAACCTAGAAACGGATTCTCGGAAAGAGGAGTGGGGAGGGGCCAAGGAGAAAACTGAAAACTGGAGTGAGCCTTATACATGAACAGACATGTATAGTACATGTTGCATATTACAAGAAAACATATATATATATATATGTATATATCATACAAAGGTTCTGACAAGGAGATCCCTGAGCTCCTATACGCATGCACTTGTATGTCCCCCAACGCTGTCGACCTCAAAGACTGAAACTTGAAGCCTCACTCCAGTCCCGGTTCCAACAGTCTGCAAGCTGCGTGGCCTGTCCGCTTAAACGCTTCAAACAGTTTAAGCCGTTTGGGCCTGTCCGTTTAAACCCTTTATACAACTTAAATCGCGTCAATGGTCTGCTCTGTTCAATATCGGGTGTTCAAATGCTCCGAAACCCTGGTTCTGATTGTTTTCAAGTCTTCAAGCGTTTAAACTTTAAACGTGTTTGGCTACGCTGCCTCGTGCGCCGACTTCGAGGGTGGCTAGCCTCCAAGTCCTGCCATTGCGGAGGACATGCTTGGAGCACGGCGAAAAGTATGAGAGCAGTCATGCCTCACACCTTGCGCGACACTTGTGAGGCGCAGTCGGTCCTGGCTAGGTCGCTCGGTGCGTCGGGAGCCAGGAAAAGCCAGAGGGGCCTCCTTTCAATTCATCTCACGATCCCAAAGCCGGCGCGCAGGAACCCCAGATGCAAGCAGCACGGCAGGGAGAGGGGCTAGGGTCGGGTCTGCTTACGACTGAAGTGCCCCCAAAACAACAGCTCCTCTGCCACGATCCGTCGCATCTCGGCTGCATGTTGGGAGGAAGGCTCCTCGGTCGGAACTCGGTGTTGAGCCCCCGCAAGCTAAAAGAGAAGATCCCATTCGGGTTTCGCAGGCTTTTGATGGGTTTATGTACGGTTTTGCATGCGAGGCTTTTGGCTCATTTCACGTTCCGGCAGTGTGAAGTTTACTTACTTGTTTTGTATTTTTTGGGGGGTCGTAAGCAAACCCACGGCTCGGGCGTCTCGGATCAAACTGCAGTCGAGCCACACGTCTGCGTTGGCTTGGCCTGGAAGAGCCAGCGAAGAAATCGTCCCTCATTACATTATATGTGGTTATGCTGCTGTTGTTGTAACTGCTGTTATCGTTGCTGTTTATGCTATCGCAATGAAGTGTTGTTACGTAAGTGTTTTTTTGGCATTGTTATCAATATCGGTACTGTTTGGTGAAGACTATTGCTGCTGTTGCTGTTTGTATTTCTATTGCTGTTGCTGCTGCTGTTACGATTGTTGTTGCGATTGCTATTGCCATGGCTGTTGCTGTTGCTGTTCTTGCAGTCATTGCTGCTGTCGTCCTTTTATTGGTGACGTCGTGCATGTCGTGCATGTCGTACATGTTGTACATGTTGTAGATGCTGTACATATTGTCTATGTTGTGTATGCTGCCCATGCTGTCGATGCTGTCGATTCTTTGTCGTACTTTTGTGTACGTTGCATTCGCCGTGCTTGTTGAAGCCTGACTGTCTAACTGTCTACTGTCTGACTGTCGGTTTTTCAGCTTGTGCCCCATCGTTGATGGGATCGTTTCGGCGCGGTAGACCGTCAAATACAGCTGAGCTGGCCGTGTTTGTCGTATTGGCTGTATTTGTTGTATGTTTTGCACTTGTTATACTTGCGTTACTTGTCTTCTTTGCTGTGTTGTACTTATGCGTTTGTTGTGTTTATTGTATTTGCTGTCTTTGCTGTGTTTTTTGTATTTGTTGTTATTTGTTGTGTTTTGTTGTTATTTGTTGTTGTTTGTTGCCATTTGTTGTTATTTGTTGCATTTGTTGTAGTCGTATCTGCTGTATTTGTTGTGCATTTGTTGTAGTTGTTGTATTTGTTGTGTTTTTGTTGTGTATTTGTTGTAGTTGCTGTTTTCTTGTTGTATGTGTTGTATGTGTTGTATTTGTTGTATTGTTGCTGTGGTTGTGGTGGTTGTGGTAATTGTGGTGGTTGTGGTGGTTGTGGTGGTTGTGGTGCTTGTGGCGCTTGTGGTTGTGGCGCTTGTGGTGGTTGTGGTGGGTGTGGTGGTTGTGTGCTTGTGGTGCTTGTGGTGGTTGTGGTTGTTGTTGGCTGTTGTTGCTGTTGTTGCTGTTTCTTCTCTTAGCTGTTGGTGGTTGTTGCTGTTTGTTGGTTGTTTGCTGGTTGGTGTTGATTTTGATGTTGGCTGGTGTTGGTTGGTGTCGGTTGGTGTCGGTTGGTGTTGGTTGGTGTTGGTTGGTAGTGGTTGGTGTTGGTTGGTGTTGGTTGCTGTTGGTTGGTTGGTCTTGGTTGCTGTTGGTTGCTGTTGGTTGCTGTTGGTTGCTGTTGGTTGCTGTTGGTTGGTGTTGGTTGTTGGTTGTTGTTGGATGTTGTTGGTTGCTGTTGGTTGTCGCTGGTTGTCGTTGGTTGTATTGATTGTTGTTTTGTTGGTTGATATTGGTTGTATTGTTTGATGTCTGCTGGTTGTTTGTTTTTGAATGTTGTATGGGTTTTGCCGTTGTTTGTTTTTGGTAGTTTGCGCATGCTTGTTGCTTTAGAATTGTTGCGTGTTGCTTGTTGTTACAATCTGGTTGTTGCTGTGTGCTGCTTGTTGTTTGTTGGTTCTGGCGGTGGTGCAATTATTGTTCTTCGTATCGTTAGTGTTCTTGTTACTATCAGCACCAATCCTTCTGCTAGTGCACGTACGAGTACGGGTACTAGTACTACCTAACAGAAGCCCTAAGCCCTGGCTTAGGGCCGCTGATTAGCCATTCTGCCTGGGAAAGGCCGGAGGAAGCTCATCTCTGGATTCAAAGGCCCTTTCCTGAGCTGGCTGTCAGCAAGCACAGGAAGCATTCAAGACAAACCTGTGGCAACTCGGGAAAGTCTGCTGACAATAAAAATAACAACAATAATAATTAATAGCAATCATAATAACAAGAAGAAGACGAAGAAGAATAATAGTAATATGAATAATGATGACAATAATAAATGCCCAGGTGTCACGTGGCTTGCGGAACTCAGTCTCGCGTCTGGAGAAGCGCGCATCAGGGCCTAGCCCCGCTGAGCAAGATGCCGAAGAAGGATGTGAAGATCGGGGTTACGGGTCAGTGAGGGTTTAGGGTTTAGGTTTAGGGTGGAGGGTTTAGGGTTTAGGGCTTAGGGTTCAGGGTTTAGGGTTGACAACTCCCCTACCCGAAGGCATGCCTTGTCCGAAGTCGGAGCGACGTGGTGTCCTCAAAACAACCGCCATCATGGCACAAAGCACCCAGTCACGACAACAAACTGCAGCTACATACTACCGTTACTTTGCTATAATTACAAGGGAATCGACACCATGATTTGTGCCATCATTGTGACTAAGGAGTACATACATTGACAACGACCACGCTCGAGCTTATTGTCCCTGCCATTGCCTGGAGTCTGGATCTACTTCCTCTTGGAGATGCTTCCTGTCATGTCAGAGGCATTCGGGCACCTGTTCCTCATCTTGTTGCAGTAACAAGCGCAGATTGGATTTGACCCCTTGTTTTGTCCATCCCCTCCTCGTGCTTACACGATCACCACGGTCAACACGGTCACCACGGTCGCCATGGTCACCCCGGTCACCACGGTCACCACGCAGTGGCGCCGATGCATCTTCACGAGACACGCTGTCCGCCAAGCCTGAACAAGCTGCCGACGCTTGCGCGGGATTGGCAAACTGCCACATCCCCCCCCCTCCCCGGTCCGAAAATAAAACCAAACTAGCCCTTGCCTGAGGTTCGCTCGGGCGCTTGAAAACCATCTGACTGGGGCACGTCGCTCTGAAACGTCGGGCTTTGCCTGCAAAGCGCGAGCTGGCCAATTGCCATGTGTCGCAAGCTCAGCTGTGGCACAAGCGCCTCTCTGCGTCGCTGGGCCCTCTATCCAGGGCCTCTCACCAGGCATCAGCAAACAGGTTCCTTGAAGGTTTTCTGCAACGGTCTTGCGGGTCGGGCTCTGTTGGGAGCCTGCTCTTTGAGCAGGTCGTCCATTTTTAGGCCCGCAACGGCATCACCTGGGCTCAGTGCTCTCCGTCTGGTCGGGAGCGGAAGGGCGTGAAGCTGAGCGGCTAATGGAGCCAGGAGAGGCAACAAGTAGGTTGGGCGGCGGAGTCCTGGGTCAGGCGGTGTGTGTAAGGCATGAACAAAGAGAATGCCACACATCGGCAAATCGAGCAGCAAGCGCCAGCACAAGGCCAGATGCTCTGAAACTGCTATTATTGATGCTGGAAATCGCGCCAATCTAGCGCCGTGTCCAATTGCAGGCCAGCGGCTTGTCCTCAGGTTCGGAACCTCATCAGGGAAACTTAGAGCTCCTAGGTGGGCATTCCATTCCTAGCATCATGTGACTACCGTATGCCATCAAACCCGGTTCCCCTCAAGCAATTCGATGCTGCAGGCAGCCTTACATCCTAAGGTCACAAGCCCTGCCGCACCTCCGATCTAAAGGGTCTGGGCTTGTGGTTGAGATGGTCGCTCTTGGGGTTCAAGCTTCCAGCTTCGTGAAGGGCTTCTGGGGTTGGGGGCTCCTCAAGTTTCGGGCTTTGGGGGGAGGTCGGGTTCGCCCGAGGTTGGTGTGAGTTTCATGGTGGGTCTCATGGCATGCTTCTTGTGGGACAGCAGGTCCCTTAGAATGCCGTATGAGGGCATCTTTCAACTTCAACACGTGTCCCCTTGTTCCCCTTGTGACCCACTTTCGATGTGTTCTGCCGCAACCCAACATGCAAAAAAAACAAGCACCTGGAACTCCAACGTCCAACTCCTGGGCCCCTGCCCCTGCCAACCGTTGTATGTCTACGTATATCTGCCGAGGTCCCCAAAAAAGAGGGAGGGTGTTGCGACAGAGTGAGGCGCAACGACCCGAAAGCCGAAGCCCATGGAATCCGAGGCCGGGGCTCTCTATGCCCGCAACGTCGGGCAAGGACCTGCAGGAAAAGGGAGCTTCAGGGGTCCATATTACCGAACCCCGTTGAACAAAATACCCAAGACACCGAACACGTTCGGAAAAAACTTCGCAGGCTACGAGGCAAAGAGGAAGGATTGGCTGTGGTCAAGGGCTACTGTCCCATTGCTGCGGCACAACAGCCAGTGGCCATAAACGTAACAGGGGCGATAGAAGTCACAATCGCAATAAGAGCAAAACAAAACCCACAAAGCAGCAAGCAACCTACAATCAAAACTGTCGAAGCCATGGCACCAGGGAAACAAGGATACCATCACCAAGAGGCGGGGTCAAAACAAAACAACAAGGCATGGAACACGTGTATGGATTTCAAGAACTGTGCTGACGGTACAAGTTGTACATATGTAAATGAACAAGGAACCCACATGCAGCACTTCCAACAACTGCGTCTTTGGGTCGCGCAATCTATCATAATGGATTTCTTGGTGTGAAGCTTTCCAACTGTTAGTTCGAATGTCTACTGTCTGCTAGAATGGTAAAGTGGGAACTGGGCTGCTGTAGCACATCAACCTGCTGCAAGATGCTTGCGGTTCACCTTCCAGCCTACATGCATAGTCACTGAGCCGCCGGCCTCAGATCATTCACTGGAAGCAGACTAGCTACGGTCACCTGCGGCGGAAGGCTGACCTGACCGAAGCAACGATATCAGCTGCTGGCTGCAAACTCCATGGCTCTTGCTTGCTATTGCTTTGCCAAGCACAGTAGCTACCAGAATAAAAACAATTATAATAAGAATAATAGTTACAATCAGAATACTAGTAGTAATAGTAATAAGAATAGTAACAATGATGATAGGAACAAGAAGAATTATGGCTACCCAAACATGGCAAAGTACTCTCTCAGCCTCCGCTGGCTCCTCCAGCTCCCCAGCCTCCGCCTGCAAAGAGATTTGGCAAACATGGTGGGGGGTGGAGGGACACCGTAAACTCTGCCTCCCACAGTCTCTCCCGTTGCTGGAGTCACGATGCCGATCGTGGTTTGGGGCAGGAAGGGGCCTCCTCATCTTCCTCCTCCTCTTCCTCCTCAAATCCGAGGAGCGCCGCGCAAGCGCGGCAGGACCTGCGTCAACGATGAGATGCACACCCAAGCGCATCGCAGTCCGAATGCGACACTGCATGTTTTCCCGAAAACATTGCCAGCTTTTCGCCACGGACTGCGTTTCTGGCTGGTACTGGACACTCGCCACTTCTGTGGTAGAAACCGACAACGCAGCCTCAGAAGCCCTAGGTGCACCCGGAGCACTCCACAGGAGTCTGCAGCTTTGCGCTGCTGCCACTCCACGTCAATCCAACATAAGTAAGATGCCTCCTCTGATGTGGAAAGGAACGGCAGAAGTGCTCAGATGAAGCATCTTCTGGGACGAGTTCGAACCGTCCCCATCTCCACTGTAGAATGGGACAGCCCCGGTGGCCGGGCACCTCCACTACGGCAAATTGTGCAATCGCCACTGAGTCCACCCCATTCGCTTGCAGGAACGGGCAAAGCCAAGCACCTTCGCAGCTCTCCATATGAGCACTTCAGATAGAAAAAAAAAGTGCCGGCAGTAGATGCAGGCAACTGCACGAGGCGCGCACAATACCTGCACACGCCTGAGCACTCTTAGCGAAGGCTCTCTTGCAACCACAGCTGCCCGTCGTTCTTGCTCTGCGAAGCTTCGCTGCTGAAACAAAAAGCTCAGGTACTCATACTGAGACGGCATACGGACGCCATCCACGGTCTAGGGCCAGGGTTCACGTACAACGTCCCGGAAACTCAAGAGAAGCGAATGGCAAGTCGGACTGCCTTCGTGCAGCGCCTTGCCAGTTCTGTTTCATGCTCTTCGACTTGAGCCAAAATGCAGATGGAAGCAGATCTAGCGCTAAGGAGGGGCAACATCTGGCAAAATGGAGCAAGCTGGCTGATTGAGAGAATCCCGCTCTCTGCACCTGAAGAGCGAGGTCGGACCATGCTCCTCGTACCTGTCCCAGTTTCATAGCGCTCCGTGGTGACAGTGGTTGCGGGAAAGCCGATTTGGTCACAAGAGTCTGTTTGGTGCGGCCTGGTTTCGACCTCCTCTGGCTGCTTTCCACAGAAGACGCACATGCCCGGCTCCACCTGTTGCAAGCGCTGCAGCTAGAGTCAGCTCGAGGCACCAACAAAAGCTGCCCTTTGTTGAGAAATCAGAACTCTGGCAAGCAAAGACATACATCGGCCTCGTGCACACAAGTCCACCAGTCCTGAAGAGGATCGTTCTCTTGCCTTGGGCAAGCGAGGAGCTTGGGAACCAAAACGCTGGCGACTCAGCGTTGTCTTTTCCTTCTGTAATTCTATGGGCCCCCTTTTGGGCATGTCCCACATTAGGGGAACCCTACTGTACCCCAAATAGAATAGGATCCCCTTAAATGGCCCCCCCCAAAAGGTATTTTCGGAAGACCCCCTTTTGGGGGGCTCCCTGTGCTCTTAGGGCTGCGGCTCGACGACCTTCGGTGGGGTGCGGCCGCTCCAGGCGCAGTACCCGGCAAGAAGGGCCAGGCCAGCTGCTAGCAACGTGCCTCGGCTTCCAGGGGACTCCAGGGCTTGTCAGCTGGACAAGGCAATGCTACCTTCGCAAGGACATCCGGAAAACAGGCACCGGAACACGTGGGGCTTAAGCCAGGGGGCAGGAGGCAGAGCAGGGATTAAGAGATGGACGAAGGTGCGGAAGGGAGCGGTTCAATGCAGGAGAAGAGATCTGGCTCGTAGCGAGCAGCCCTCAAAGCTGGTGGCGGTGGATAGACTGCCCCTGAGCGCCCTTGCTATGAACAACTCAGGACAAGGACGCCCCAAGCCGAGACATTCAGCCCCCACACCACATGGGAGTTTAGGAAAATAGGGCCCCAACTAGTAGGATTCCCATATTCATAAGGACCCCAATAAGGTACCCCTGATATCGTAAACCACGACATGAGCAAACTGGAGAGTCACACACTGCCAGCACTGCCAGGTGACTTGGCACACTTGCGATGATGATGCCCATGTCAACCGTGACGCCTCAAATGCTGCTGATCGCTCAACTCATTCAAGAATGTTTCTTGTGCAGCGAAGCAGTTGGCAACTCCCATGCTCCTGTCTTGGGCACCACAATTCCTACATCAGAAACTACTATGATCCCTAAATCTGCACCTGGTTCGCAGCCGAACGTGGAGGGAGAGAACTGGCCGCGAATGCACTGAAGGCTGTTCTCGCTCGGCAGGTAGCCATCCTCCAAAACTGAGATCCCTGAATCCTACACCCAAATTACTCGGGCCCCGAACTCGAGTGCAGTTGAGTTGTTGCTGTATCTTGTGGCAGTTGCTCCTGGCTATCGCATTTCCTGGAGGCTTTGGAGTTGCCAAATTAGGGTTTCGGGTTTAGCAGAACTTGCCGGTTTGTCGAGGAACCGGTCGCAACCTCCCTCATCAAGAGCAAGGCGATGATGACGAACCTCCTACTTGGAGGTTCATGGTACTTATTAACCACTTGTAGCTGTACTTATAACTGTACTTATAACCATGTAAGGGCACTTAAGGGGCTTATAAGTGGGGTATAAATACAGTTGCATTTGGTTAAGAAGTACCATGAACCTCCAAGCAGGACCTAGCCATGTTGATTCTTCCCTAAACCCTAAACCCTAAACACTAGACCCTGAACCCTAAACCCTAAACCCTTGATTCTTGCAACCTGGGCCGTCCTGGCATTGTGGGGTGCAGGTACTTCGAGAGGTGACTCGCAAGAGGCCGCTGCAGGACGGGCCTTGAGTCTTGAGGTGGGCTTAGGGTTTAGGGTTTAGGGTTTAGGGTTTAGGGATTAGGGTTTAGGATTTAGGGTTTAGGGTTTAGGGTTTAGGGTTTAGGGTTTAGGGTTTAGGGTTTAGGGTTTAGGGTTTAGGGTTTAGGGTTTAGGGTTACATTGAGGTAAACAGCAGCACCAAGCCTGCATCGCTGAACCTTCAAACCTCCACCTGAGCCCCTAAGCCCTAAGCCTTAAGCCCTAACTAAGCCCCCAACCCCAAACCCCAAACCCCAAACCCTAAACCCTAAACCCTAGCCCTAAACCTAGCCCTAAACCCTAAACCCTAAACCCTACCCCCAAACCCGAAACCCAAGCTTGGTCTGCGAACAAACGGCTGGCGGCGTAGAGCACGTCGCTCGGTGCCTCACAGGCTGCCTCCTCACACCAGAAGGCCGGCGGACTCAGGCTGCCTGCTGCGCTGAGGTAGGGTTTAGGGTTTAGGGCGTACACCCGTGTAGGGTGTAGGGTTTAGGGTTTAGGGTTTAGGGCTTAGGGCTTAGGGCCGAGGGTTTCAGGGCGTAGGGTTTAGGGTTTAGGGTTTAGGGTAGAGGGTGTAGGGTTTGGGGTTTAGGGGCTTTGCGGGTTCTTGGGGTGTTGGGGTTTTGTTGGGCTTTTTTGATCTTTAAAGGTTGTAGTAGAAGGCCAGATGGCTCTTCGGGTTTTGGGAAATGTGTATTTTTTTGGGACGAGGAAAAGGGGTTCAGGGTTTGGGGAAAACTGGATAAAAACCCAAAAACTCCGAAAGCACCAGGCTCCCAGCCTCGTGCGCAGCTCAGGAGGGCCTCTGAGGGCACGTAGCCCCCTTCACAGGCCGGGGTGCAGCGGCCCCCTGGGTCTCTTTTGCAGCATGGAAGAAGGGCAGAGGTTGGGGGGGCCTGGGGTTGTGGCCTACCAGGGACCCCAAAACAGAGACCCCTAGTCTCGTTCCCTGTTTCGCTAAGAAGAGCAAGTTTGGGATTTTGGGGTCAGCTACCATCTGGAGGAACCCCATCAATGTCTGGGAACATAGCTGATCCAGCGTAGCCGCTGGCAGCATTGCGGTCGCAGGGGGGGCGCTTCTCCCACTCTCATGGTGGTTCGAATTGGTACGCAACACAGCTGATTTATTCTCGAAGGTCAGGCGCCTGGAGACACCGTGCCGCCCTCCAAGCAGGCAGGCTCGGCAGCATAGCTGACCTAGATTCTCAGGAACACTTCACGCGCCAGGCGCGCACCAAGACTCCTATCAGCCACAAGCCACGCTCATCACCCTGCTCTCATGGGGAATTTAAAAGGGACCGGGGCTAAATGCCCCGGGCCACTCATGACTCTTCGCTTCTTCTGAGCCAAGCTGCGTTGAAAGGAGCTTCGCAAGCCAGCTCAAGGCACACGAACTGCAAGGGGGCCAGGATGCCATCGTGACACTGCAGTGTGGCCACAGAGGGCTGGTAGCCTGCAGGGCCAGAGGACGTTCGCGGGCTTTTTCACGTTTTTATCGTTTTTGGAGGATCATGAGGATGCCTCTGGTCTCGAGGAGTCTGAGCTACACCAGTCGAAACACTGCCCATGCTTCGCTGGACTTGTGCGTGTTTTGAAGATGTGCCCCACCTGGCTGACAGCTGGCCGTGCAATTCTCCCCACTTTCGATCATCTGCCCGCTGCTGCAACTTGGAGCCCTCGCTTCGCAGGGACTTTTCATTTGACAGCATGTGAAGCTGGGATCAAAAAAAAGTCCAAAGCGACGAAGCCTTGTGCCTCAAGACGGAAACAGCGTCAGCCAATCTGTGCCGCTGAGGTGCAGCGCAAAGGCCACGCCCACGGGAGCCGCGCACTGCGCGCCCACGCTGAGCGCGGCAGGCGCCGAGGACGGCAGACCCGGACCTTTCGCGGCGTGAGCGCTCGATACTTTTTGGTCGTCGTATCTGCACCCTGTCTGCACATGCCTGCACCGCTTGTAGGCCACAGCAAAGGCGATGCCATGACATCTGCTGACCCTCCATGGAATCAGACCGTGTGTGGCCCGATGGAAGCTTCATCCAGGCGCAGCTGATGGAACCGCCAGCTGACAAGTTTTTTCGACAAGGTGCTAGAAACGGCAGCCCACAAGCTCCAGCGAGCGCTGCTTGGAATCTCTGTTTCCAGTGCTTCTGCAGCTTGCCAGACGCAGAACCTCGGCCAGATGGTGCACATCACCAGACCGACACCTGATTTCCCTCATGCTCAGCAAGGGGCTGTTGTTGCGCTTCCTGTGGCGAATCGGCACCAACAGTGCACAGAGCTGCATCCACGCCTTAGACTCCCACACTCAGCAGCTTCAATCGACGGAGATCGGAGATGCTTTCAATTAATGATTTTGGTCCTGGTTCGGAGCAGAAAGTCGGGATAAAATACTCTGATGAGGTATAATAAAACATAAAACATGTGTTTTAATATGATATAACATAAAATATGTGCCTCTGACCGGCCTTGATGTAGTGCGGCCTCCGGCGCCAGCACGAAGGCATCGGCCAGAGCCGTCGCGCCCTGAGGCTTTGGGTGTTATTTCGGTTGAAGGCCCTTTTGGTTCCCCAAACCCTAAACGAGCGTATGGTCTACTAAAACCCCTGCTAGACTTGGTTTGGGAATTCAGGTCTCTGCTGTTGGGTTTTTAACTCAGAAGCCCACCCCGTTGTGGGCTTCTGAGCCTCATGGAGGTTGCGATAAAACAGCAAGCAGAGGCTGACCCCACACCTCACATCCCATACCCACCCCTACTCGTTCACTTCTCAACCCGCATACCAAAATAACCCTGCCAAGCCCGGAAAACAAAAAACAACACAATCCAAACCAAAACCCACCAAATCCCACGCCGAATTCCAAATGCAATTCAAACCAAAGCTCACAACACAGCGCCAAACGCCAAGCACAAAACAAAACCCGAACCACCGCCCTTACTCCAGACCTCACACTCAATACCCCCCCCCCTTCGATTTCACCCCATTTCTTAATGAAGCAACCATTAAAACCCGCAATACACAAAGCACGCCCAACAATCCAAACAATAATCTCCATAACACAGTCCAAAGCAAGACCATCCCCCAAAAGTAACACACAGATCCAAACACAATCCCAAAACACAACGCACCTAAACAATCCTTAACATCACCCATTCTAGAACCAATATTCTAGTGAGGTCTGGGGTCAGCGACCCTCACAGAAGACTCCCCCAAAGACCATAACCCTGTCCTTCGCATGCCATGACATAGGATAATAAATACCACGAAGAAGAATGATGATTGCATGGTACATAAACCGTAGTCGTACAATTGTTTTCAATATGTTCGCACACCAGTTAAGGCGCCCATAACTTCACCTTTTCTCAAGTTGAGGTCAGTATTGATTTGATTTATTTCCTGCTTCTTTGTATATCCAGAAGCTTCTGCCATTAATGATGAATTCTCAATTCTGCAAATGGTTCTTGGAAAGTATGGTGTTTGTAAAATACAATATGTAATATGCTCTCGTTTGGTCGTTGTATTTAATCTCATAGTATTCTGATGTACCTTTTTTCGGAAACTGAAGATGACTTTCTTTATCCATTGGTTTATGAACTGGTTTAGGTCAAGTGTTTTAACTAATGCATCAATCTTTTTCTCAATGAGTTCTAACACTCTAAAATGTTTTGACTACGCGTGTGCGCTCGGTTGGTTTAACAACAACACCATCTACACCACTCATACTCTATGCAAGTTTTAGAATATATTCTTACACCAAAAGTTCGTAAAAAAACTTTGCGTTTGAAACCTTTATATAGACTTGAACTTTCTTTGTACGAGGCAGAGCTTCCTGGAAAAACCTCCGGTTTTGTAGTGGTCCATACTATCTAGGCATCTCCTACAAAAACTCTTGAATAGTTCTATGTTTCAAACATAACTTACAATTTGGACAGTATCTTATATCATTATTCCACAACCACTAACCATTTTCATCAGTCATAAAGAATGACACCTTGCATTTTTATTAACATAAATATACTTTACTTAGAACCCAATATAGTTTTATATATAAAGGCACACTTTCAAGCTACTTACACACGTTCTTATGAAGTGCAAGTGAATGTGTCTCCCAATATATTCCCTTTCTTGCGTCCATTCAATAACCAGGATATTGGGACACTGATTTTTTCCAGACGGGGCACTTGTTCCTGTTTCAACTTCTGGGAGTTCAAAACTGTCAATATTGTAAAAAAAATGCCGGAGTTATGCTGTGAGGGGCGCTGACCCTAGACCTCATTAGGATATTCGTTACAGAATGGATAAGGCTAAGGATTGTTTTGGTGCTTTGCGCTTTGGGATTCCGTGGTGAGTTGCTTTGTTTAGAGGTTGTGTTCTGGATCTTTGTGTAGGTTGTTGGGTGTGCTTTGTGTATTGTGGATGTGGAGGTTTGATTTAGTATGCGGGTTGCGAAATGGGGTATAGGATGTGAGGTGTGGGGTCAGCCTCTGCTTGCTAAAAACGTCCCAAAAACAACGCGGCTGTAAGTTCAAACCTAGGCTTCTAACAGTCCTTCTTGGGGATTATAATGGGGGGGGGTACTTTAATCCCCATTAAAGAACTGTTAGTATAAGGGGGGAAGATACCGAGGCCTGGGGCCGATAGTAGCGACACAAGCTTTGCCAGGGGGCGGTCTGCAGACGAACGAGGTCCCCTCCTGAGCGTCAAGGTCACGCTCGTCCTCCGGTTATTGCTTGCAAACTCCACCCGAAACCTTAGAAACCCCTAAACCCTAAACCCTAAACCCTAAACCCTGAACCCCAAACCCCCGAAGGCCAGAAATGCCCTCCTGTTTACAGCAAGCGAGGAGCCGAAAGTGGAGGAAGCTGCCCCGCTGAGCCACTTGAAGTAAATCGTACCTCGGCATATCTTGGACTGGCTGGTTCTTCGTAGGGAATGAAGGGAATGAGGTACCCTATATGATGCTAAGAATCAGGGGGAGAAATTAGGCGGTCGACCCTTGTGGTGGTCCCTGCTGCTTACTTACAGCCGGGATTCTGGGGTCTCACAGGGCACCCAGCGACTTAGAGCGGGTTTAGGGTTTAGGGTTTAGGGTTTAGGGTTTAGGGTTTAAGGTTTAGGGTTTAGGGTTTAGGGTTAGGGTTTAGGGTTTAGGGTTACTGGGAATATTACCGGCGAACAACGAAAAAGTCATCATGACAACGAAAGACAAGATGTGACCTATGGATGCCCGCCGGTTCCCGTTCGATGTCCGCCAGTTGGTTTTCGATGTCCGCCGACGGGACGGGACGGGACGGGACGGGACGGGACGGGACGGGACGGGACGGGACGGGACGGGACGGGACGGGACGGGACGGGACGGGACGGGACGGGACGGGACGGGACGGGACGGGACGGGACGGGACGGGACGGGACGGGACGGGACGGGACGGGACGGGACGGGACGGGACGGGACGGGACGGGACGGGACGGGACGGGACGGGACGGGACGGGACGGGACGGGACGGGACGGGACGGGACGGGACGGGACGGGACGGGACGGGACGGGACGGGACGGGACGGGACGGGACGGGACGGGACGGGACGGGACGGGACGGGACGGGACGGGACGGGACGGGGGACGGGACGGGACGGGACGGGACGGGACGGGACGGGACGGGACGGGACGGGACGGGACGGGACGGGACGGGACGGGACGGGACGGGACGGGACGGGACGGGACGGGACGGGACGGGACGGGACGGGACGGGACGGGACGGGACGGGACGGGGGGCGGGACGGGACGGGACGGGACGGGACGGGACGGGACGGGACGGGACGGGACGGGACGGGACGGGACGGGACGGGACGGGACGGGACGGGACGGGACGGGACCGGACGGGACGGGACGGGACGGGACGGGACGGGACGGGACGGGACGGGACGGGACGGGACGGGACGGGACGGGACGGGACGGGACGGACGCGGGGACGGACCCCCTGTTCAAGCCTTGACGTTGGGACTTGCTTGACCCCATGTAACCCTCAACTCTAAGAAATCTCGAGTCCAACAAGCGCTAAAAGAAACACCATCCCAACAGCATTCTTTGACCACGTCCCATGTGGGGGCGGTCGTTTGTTTTTTGTTCTTTTGTTTTTTTTTTTGGGGGGGGGGTTGTGTGGGCGGGGGCGGTGGGGGGGGGTCAAGCGGTTCTCTATGTTTCCATAGGAAAACCTACATTTTGCTATTATTTACGTAGGAAAACAATTATTTTCACTATTGTTACGTAGGAAAACCATGATTTTCTTATATTTACACAGGGAAACCTCTATTTTGTGAATATTTACATAGGACAACAAACCTCCATTGTCTCTATCTGTCCATAGCAAGACCTTTATTTTGTCTATATATGTAAAGAAGGATTCATATGATTTGAATCAAGCTTGCACGGCTTTAAAAAAGCGGGGCGGGGTGGGGGGGCGGGGGGCGCGACCCTCAACCCTAAACCCTTTTTAACACGGACCTCTGAAGCCCCTAAACCCTAAACCAGGGAGTATAGGGGCGGTCTTTGGTGTGTCCGAAGGGCTTTGGGGTTAGCGTCGAGGGTTTTTAGAGTTGAGGGTTTTCGGATCTGGGGTTGAGGGTTCGAGTTCAGAGGGTTAGGGTTTATAGACTTGAGGTTCAATTTCGGTTCTAAGAAAAAAGCGAGGGGGGGAGGGGGGCTAAAAAGACTCATATGCTTTGAAGCAAGCTTGCACTGCTCAAAACAAGCCCCCTTTTGCAGACACAATGATCGCATGATGGGTTTCAAAAAGATTCAAACTTTTCTGCAAGCAAGCTTGCACGGCTTAAAAAAAAAGGCGGGGGGGCCCCCCACCATTTGCAAACACGATGATCGCATGATGGGTTGGAAAAAGACTCATCTGATTTGAAGCAAGCTTGCACGGCTGAAAAAAGCGGGGGGGTTGGGGGGGGGGGCGCAGCCCCCCCCCCATTTGCAAACACAATGATCGCATGATGGTTTATCATATGATTTGAAGCAAGCTTGCACGGCTTAAAAAGCGGGGGGTTGGGGGGAGCGCAGCCCCCCCCCCCCCCAATTGCAAACACAATGATCGCATGATGGGTTAAAAAAGCTTCATATGCTTTGGAGCAAGCAGCAAGCTTGCACAGCTTAAAAAAGTGGTGGGGTTGGGGGGGGGGTGGCAGCACCCCCTATTTGCAAAAAAAAGATTCATCTGATTTGAAGCAAGCTTGCACGGCTTAAATATGCTTTGAATCAAGCTTGCACGGCTTAAAAAAGTGTCGATGGTCTTCCTACAAAGGTTCCAGAGTTTGAGATGCTTGGCCAAAAGGTGTTTCGATGCTCGGCGGAGGGTTTTTCGATGCTGGGCGGCAGGTTTTCGATGCTCGGCAGAAGGGTTTTTCGTTGCTCGCCGGAAGGGGATGGTTGCCGCCGGACCTGGATCGATGCTGGTGGGCCGTTTACGTTGTTATCTTTCGTTGTTGTGAGACATCTTTCGTTGTCCGCCGGTAGTTTTTCGTTGTTCGCCGGTACCCACCCTACTGGGAACCAGCTGAGTTCATGGGAGACTCCTGGCATCTCCTTGCAGCTTGGCGTCTGTTGGCCCTGGAAGCCTGCACACGCAGCTGTCGGGCGGCAGCACGAGAAACAGACACGGCGGGCTGCTGGCCTGGAAAGTGGGTCAAGTGTGTCGTGTTGTAGTATTCTACGATTGTTGCCACATATTAGTATATTGGTGTGTCACTATATTGTTCTGAGTTTGTATACGTAAAAACTCTTCTACTAACATATTCATGCATTATTGTTGTTGTACTAGCATATTTTGATACTTTCTCATCAACATTTTTGTGTGATTGCATGATTATGCTGTGAGATTGCTATACTACGATGTCTTACTATGTTACTAGATTATCAATGTATAGTTGGGACCGCTCGGGGCTTTTGCAGCATCCTTGCCTACAAGGAGGATGGCCACGCTCCGCGTCTCTGCACTCCAACGATTGACACCTGCCAAAAAGCTGGGGTTTAGGGTTTAGGGTTTAGGGTTCAGGGTTCAGGGTTCAGGGTTCAGGGTTTAGGGTTTAGGGTTTAGGGTGACTCCTTCCCCATATTCTCAAGACATGTTAAGGTGGTCTGCTTGGGAGTCTCGCTGGTGCCTGATGCTTAAGGGGGAGTGGAGAACTGGGTCCATGTAATATAAGAACTCCTGGCATAAGCCTGGCACGACCTCGTAGCAGACGAGTGGACGTGGATGCTCGCTTTTGGGTGTATTGAGTGGTTGTGCCACCAAGAATACGAGGAAAGGCATTGCCTGTCAGCAGGCGCACGTCCACCACAAAGAGGATGTGATCCTTGGAAAGTGGCTGTCGGTCAGCAGTGCATGATACATGTGAGCCATGTGGGCCATGTGGGCCATGTGGGCCTGCGCACACCTCCAACAGACAAGATCAAATACATTCTGCTCTCACCACCCTTCCATCTCTGTAACTGGCCCCGTTGATTCTCAAAGCACTCCAAGGCCTAACCCCTTTCCCCATTACCCCAAGTAGACCGCAGTCTTCAGGCACTGCTTCACGAGCAGAAGAATCCAAGAAGAAGAATCCATGCCCAGTGCATGCATCTTCCGTCACCCCTTCCTCCGCTACACCTCAGAAGACTTGGCGAAAATCCCACGGTGTTCAACCCGCTTCACCCTTTGTTGGTCTCCTCTCGCACTCTCTCTCCCTGTATTATGTGCAGGGATGTAGGGGTTAGGGCAAGGTGGAAACTCAACCCCCGGCTCTCCCAGCCTGAGCCCTGAAACCCTCTAGGCCAAGGCTCGCTCAACTGACGAGTGGGCCAAGGCAGCACAGGAGGGGCCGCGGCGAGCCCCAGATCCCTCCACTCAGAGAGCCTGGGAGATGGGAGAAGGCTTTGGGCTTTTCAATAGTCTAGGGCTACTGTAGGGTTCAGGGTTTTTGTGGTTTGGGGCGCGACATATCTTGGGCAGCTACGAGTTGTGGCTTTGGGATTTTGGGCAGCACAGGTTTCGAGGGGGGGAGACTGCCATTGCAAACCAGGGAGCGACAGGCTGGACGTCAAAGACTCCTGCCACGGGTGACACAGCTGATTCAGAACCAAAACCAAGCAGGCACTGTGACTAGACGACAGCGACAAGCAGAACACAGCAAGGCAAGTGAAGGTTTCGGTTCGCTAGAATTGCGAAATTCGAATTATCTTCCATCATGTAGAGGACCGTGGGACATTTCATCATTTCATGAAGCTCCGAGTCATGCCCCCGACCCGATGCCGCTCGAACCCCACCCTTTGGGCTCCTGGGTGAGCCCTGGCTGCAGGAAGACGCGCGCGTCGAGCGCCACCTGGCTATAGGCACAGAGGCGTGAAACCCGGTTCTGCGGGAGTCTGCGAGCACTCCTCGAAGCTCGAGGCCCCGGCAGACCCGAAGCGGTACTGCAGCGGGTGGCTTCGCTCCAGAAACAGCGGGAAGACTTCGGCCACCGCGCTCAGCCTCTTCAGGATGCGGGGCACCTTCAGCACACCTCACTTCCGCGATCTCCAGAGTGCGCTCCGCCAGCCTCCGGGCACTGGAGGCATCGGCACCTGCATTTGCTGAAGGCAGAGGGGGGCCACTTTTCCTCTCTGAACAAGCCCTCAGGGGAGAGGTGACGCTCTGGAAGCGGGGAGCCTGTCGGGATCTGCAGGAGCTGGGCGCGGAGCGCGGTGTCCGAGCCCACCTGCAGGCTAAACCCTAATCCCTAAACCCTAAACCCTAAACCCGAAACCCCACAGGGCGGCTTCCGTGCTCCGCTCCCTCGCTTCCTCTCTATTCGGCATGCGAACTGTTCCGTCGCCTTTGGGTGTGCCTTGGTGTTTTGTCCACGGCAGTCGACGGCTTCGCGTAAAAGGGTTTTGTCTTACATGTCTTGCAGCTATAGAGGATATATTTCGGTAGAGTACCAGATTCGAGTGTGCGAGCACGCGCTCATCACAAGTCGCCTTGTGCACGATTTCTGGACGTTGTTCACATGGCTTCCGCGAAGTCCACGCGCTGTCTAACATGCGGTGCCATAGTAGTTGCGAAGGCTAGAAGTCAAAGAACTGAATCTGACCCAAACAGGTTTGTGAACAAGTGCTACCATTTGCACATTCGAGTTGATCGGCCTTAGCAGCATGCAGTAGCACAGGTGCCATGCCTCCTCCGGCACGGCCACGTCCGGGTCGAGAGCGGCGACTTGCGCTGCGGTCGCCGCCTGTGGCACCTAGGACGGACCCATCTTCCATCCGCATTTCGGCCCTTGAAACATTCCGATCCTTCGCCCACTCCACTCCACTGAGGCCATGGCAAAGGAGGCCTGGATCACCTCAGTGGTTCCCAGAGGCCCCATGAGCTTGCCTCGGTCTCCGATATCACAGATGTGGAAGGGCAGGTCTGTATACACATGCTGCACGCACGCTACACGCGCGCATGAGAAGAAGGAGAATGAGCGCATGGCCTTACGCCTACAAAACGGCCATATCAGCATATATGACGTACATACACATGAATATTTATACACATATATATATATATATATGTGTATACACATATATATATATATACATATATGCATACAACTAGGAACATGTTGCCTCACAACTCCGAGATGAAGTACGTAACGACATGAAACAAAACCATTGCAAATGCATGAAACTGCAGGCCCCCGGGGAGACTCGCGCAGCTCGACTCCTTTCCAACACCGGCCCGGCGCTTCGCTTGCGCTAGGTCACGCTGAATTCAGAGGCGCTTCTGTTCACCTCAAGACAGTGAGATACACGAGCAACAAAGCCAGCATGGATCTGGCGACGAGCAGCTGGGGGCCGCCCCGGCACGTGAAGTTGCTTTGGAGCTCCCGCACGCCGGGAAGGCGCGGTGAGCTTCGGGGAATGCACTTGGAGTCCTTCGAGCTGTAGGCATCCTTCCACGTCTCATTCCACACGGACTGCACCCTGTCGATGAAGGCCTCTGCCGTTTCGGTCTCTGAGGGGTAGAGCGGCGCCGAGATCGAGGTGACGCAGCACGTGCCACAACCGACATAGCAGGATTTCTCGGAAACAAGCCATTCCTTGTTGCTGGTAATGACGACCTGCACTGGCCAACCCAGCTGGAATATGGACACGAGGCCTCCCGGTTTCAGAGGCAGGCCCTGGGGTTCGAAGCTTCTCGTGCCCTCGGGGTAGAGCACGACTCCCTTGTCAGGGAAGGCACGGTAGCTGCTCTCCCAAAACTTGGCTGTCCAAGCCACCGTGCCCTCCGAATGCTTCTGTCCACGATGGAAGAACCAGACCCAACCACGCAGATAGCCCCAGGCTGCCTTAGTAGCCCAGTAAGCATATTGTAACAAGGGCGCCCTCTTTTTGGGTTGGTTACTTTATAAGGGAACCTTGAACCCAAAAAGATGGTAAAGGGTACCACTGGGCTACTGAGCGGCAGTCATGGGAATCCCGAGAGCCACGAGCCATCGAGACACAAAAGAGGGACTACCAAGCAAGGCAGCGTCCAAGAGGAAGTCGCCCCAACTCCGGTGGTTGCAGAGGAACACGACGGGGCTCTGAGTGTCATCGATGACCGCGTGCGAGTTTGCGGCTGTCGCGAAACGGGCTCCCAGTAAGCCCAAGACGTGGTCACCACCCGTGTGAGGACACACACGAATCCCCAACAAGAGCAGAAGGGTGCAGAGTCCATGCATGAGCTGTCCGTACAGAATCGTCACTAGAAACAGAGGCACGCGGAGCAGATTGCAAGGAGGGCGCTGCCTGGCATCCGATGGCTTCTCTTCGATGGAAAGCGCATTTCCCGGCGCCACCATGGGCGTATCCTCCTCGCCGCTCATGGCGCGGGCTGCGTTTGGTTTGCTCCTGCTGATAACTGCGGGATATGTTTTTGCTTTGGGTGACCCTTGCATCGTTAGGTTGATTGATACATTGAACAAGCTGCAGACTTTCGAGCCACAGCGCCACCGTGTGAGTTAAGATTTCCCCGAAGCCCTAAACCCTAAACCCTCAACCCTTCACCATCAACCCTAAACCCTAAACCCTAGCTTTCGCCTCGAACTTGCCCCGAACCAACTTAGGGTCTTCGTCACTCTCCTCCTTCGGAAAAGTTCTGAGCTCGCGGGCAGCTGGGAGGAGACTCGAGGTATCCAGGCCACAGCGCCCAGGCACAAAGCCTGCACAAGAGAGAGGTGGTTGGGTTTAGGGTTAAGAGTTGAGGGTTTAGGGTCCATTCCTTTGAAGTCCAAAAGATCGGCTGGCTTTCTTTTTGGGGTTGAGGGTCGAGGGTTGGGGATCTAGAAGTCTTTTTGGGGTTGAGGGTTTAGGGAACTAAACCCTAAACCCTAAACCCTAAACTCCTGGGTTCTTCATTTGCCGAAGTCCTAAGCTGCTGAGCTTCCGGCCGCGAGTAGCCCGAGGGCACGTGAACCAATTCCGCGGGCAGCGTTCCATTCAGAGGAAGCTCGCAGACCTGAGGTGTCGGATGGATTGGGGTTTAGGGTTTAGGGTTTATTGTTTAGGGTTTAGGGCTTAGGGCTCAGGGCCTAGGGCTTAGGGCTTAGGGCTTAGGGCTTAGGGCTTCGGGCTTAGGGTTAAGCCGCTGAGGATACCGATGCCGTCCGATAGCTGAGCAGGCCTTCTGACATTTTTTCACCCACACTGCCGCCAAACATGCAGCACGGAAAACTCACGCAAGCTACAACGTGAACAAGTCTGCTGCTCCACTGCAACCCACTCCCAGACCATGCTTTGGACTACCACACTTGGGACAAGGCAGCTGGCCATGCACAAAAGTCCACGTTTGTCCTGCAGGGAGCAGGGTTGAGGCTTTAGGGTTCAAACCCTAAGCCTAAGCCTTTCAAGCCCTAAACCCTAATGATCCTAGAGAATGGCGCCCGTGCCCCCGCCAGCTCCCCACCGTGGCCTCCAGCTGCTGGCTTCGTGCACGCCCTCCGCGCGGGTGGTGGGCCGGAAGGCTTCCAGGAAAGTAGCGACGCTCGCGGTGAGGGAGGGCACCTGCGAGCGGAGCCAACGAAAAGACTCCGGGGAGAAGCGAGGGCCGTTAGGCCGTGAGGCCGTTAGCTTCAAATGTGCCTCAACGAGGAAGGGGGCAGGCACCTGGCTCTCTTGCTGAGCGCTCTGAATCAGACTTCTCCAGGCGCTTATGAGCTGGCCACGAAGTGCGACTGAGCCCGCAGCATCGGACTGGCGCAAGGACTCGTAGTGCAAGGTGAAGTAGCACTTCGCATTGCTGGCCGCCTCACCTCCCTCCTTCGTCTTGAGATACGAGTAAGGATACACATGCGTCAGGTCAGGGCACTCTCTTCCACTCCCCAAAGGCAGTGCAGCACAAGATCAACAATCTTCGGTCTACGGCCTGCAGCCACACCATGGCCGCAGGGGCAGCAGCCCCTGGCTCTAAAACCTCTGCAGGCCCAAACAACCACACAAAGATAGCACGTGCTGGAGGGCATAGCGGTAGTGGGGCAGATCACTGCAGTCCCCCGGGCCATGCCAAATGCCCCTGCCTGTACAACCTGCGGTGCTGGAGTGCGCTCCCGCAGCCAGAAAAAGGTGCTTGCCGTTGGGAAAGACCAGAGGTATCCCGCGCGCCTGACAGCAACCCGCGCGGAGTCTCAAGCTGCGACACCCCACATTCAAGACAATGCGGCCTTACCGTTGTCAGGATCGTAACATTGAGTGTCACATCAGCGTCCGTGGCCAATCCCGCCTGTCCAAGGATTCCAAGGTTGAAATCCGACGTTGCATGAAAGTCGAGAGCTGTTCGAGTGAGTGGCGAAGATGCTGCAGGCTCAACTGTGCACACGACTGCGCAAATTTGCCCAAAACTGCGCAACAATGGGCCTGCCTGGTTCATCAGGTTGTCCAGGTAGAGCTTGCGTGGGCCATTGTACGGAAGCCAGCTGCAATCCAAAATGGACTTAGACGTCCAGTTCATGCCAGCAGGCGACACCGATCCAGCATAGCCTCAGACTCTCTGGATTCACCGGTTTAGGGTCTAGGGTTTAGGGTTTGGGGTTTTAGGTTATAGGGTTTAGGGTTTCAGGGTTTAGGGTTCAACATTCGGGGCTCACTGCAGAGAGAGCATCGAGCACGCCCTCATACAACCATCGTCCAACCCCTGGGTGCATTGCCCACTCCCCGCTGCCCGTCCCTTCGGTCTGGCCAGGAGGCCGAAGGGAGCTGCCAGCACGCAACTCTGCCGCTCTGCACTTGACTGCCCGACCTTTGGCACAGAGGCACCGCAACAACCACTGACATCCGTATCCGAACTCTTCAACACCACGAAGAGCGCAAGCGCACGAGAGTTATGAATGACGGCTCTGCCAAGGGGCTGTTACAATCAGAGACGTGGAGGTGGACGGCAGGGCTTTCAGGCCACCCTCTTGGATGCTCAGGACATGGCCCGTTGCCTCAATCGATTCATGCAACTGCTTGTTTATCTTCTGTAGGACCCAGGACTCACCCTCAATCTTTGATCCTTTTAACCCAATACCGGACCACAACTCGCAATGAAATTACTACTCAAAAACGTCCCCCCGATGTTCCGAACATCTCCAAACCCAAGTCGAGATCGTGCGCCTCCGCCGGCGCCTGGAACGTCAGATCGTCCGGGCTGGGCTCTGCCTCCCATCGCAAGGCATGCCGTCTAAACAACCAGCGCCAGCAGAGCTCGCGTACACGCACGAAGGAAGAAGGCGAATGGATCCCGAGCCTCCTTTGGCACCAAGAAGATGCTCGGCAAGCTCTCGAGCTGGCCTGCGAGGACAAGCAGCCTTCACCCAACCCCGAATCCCCAAACATCCCCCAAGCATCCTGAGGCTTCTGCTCCCCAAACATACCAGGACACCGGCACCGGGGGAAGCCCTACGCAAAACAAAACACAAGGGGGTTTACGAAACTCAGGGACCCCCGAAGAGAGGCCCCAAATAGCAGGATTCCCTGAGAACATGGACCCCAACAAGGTACCCCTAGTTTCGGAAACCCCCTGAAAGGGTTTCCCTATACCATAAACCCGAAAACCTAAACCCTAATTTCGGAAATTCGGAAACCCCCACATCCCTGAAAAAGCCTAAAAACCGTGCGCTCACGGTGCGTCGGCCAGAGAGAGGGGCCTGCGATGATGGCATAGGCCGTGACGACTGCGCCACCGAGGACCTGCTCTGGTTTTGGGTTTTGGGGTTCAGGGTTTAGGGTTCAGGGTTTAGGGTTTGGGGTTCTGGGGGTTCAGGGTATAGGGTCCGGGGTTTAGGGTTTAGGGTTTAGGGTTTAGGGTTTAGGGTTTAGGGTTTAGGGTTTAGGGTTTAGGGTTTAGGGTTTAGGGTTTAGGGTTTAGGGTTTAGGGTTTAGGGTTAGGGTTTGGGGCTTGAGAATTCTTGCGGATTCGATTTAGGGCCTCGGGTTTAGGCTTTAGGTGTCGCCGGAAACTATCGAGAACGCCGTTTCTGGCCATGTGCCTGGAACTGCCCGAGGTAGTCGCACAGCTTGGGCACTTCAGCAGCCCTCAGTTCTCTGGCTTTGCCAACCCTAAAAATTCCTGCAAGCTCCCCAAAAAATCCCTGAACATCCCTAAACCTCGCACCCTCAATCTGCACGACCTTCTGCTTCTATACTCCCCTTAGAACCATACTTGCAAAAGTATACTCAATAATATTTCCTTGGGGCTTTGTAGAAACAAAAACAAAACATGATTCCTAAGGAAACCATCTATCGTCTGAAGGAAGACCAACGTTCCAAGCAGCTGGATGAGGGCCACCCCACTGCACTCGCTCGGGAAAGCCTGCTTCGGAGAATATGATGCAGTTCTTACGAGGTCTCGGCACAACGCATCGTGCCTCAACCCCTGAACCCTACACCCCAATCCCTACACCCCAACTTTCTAAACCACCACTCAGCAGCCGGGAAGGCACCTCAGGCGTGAGCCCCACGGAAGGCGCCGCCGAACGGAAGCGCTCCACGAAGGCTGTCAGCGGAAGATTGGGCTTTGGGGTTTTGGGTCAGGAGGCTTTGGGGCTTAAGGCTTTGAGCCCCGATTCATGGTTCTTGTCTTAGGGTATCGGGGTCCTGGGCTCGCGGATGACGAGCATTTGTGGGCTCTGGGCTTGGGGGGCTTCGGGGCTTCTGAGCCTTGAGGGACTTGTTGGGTTCTTAAAAGCTCTTGAAACAAAGAAGCCTCAAACACTCAACTTCTGTACGGCATCAGACCATGCCGCGGCTGTACAGATCACATGTCGGGTTTTATCGGCTTGCTGGCCCCACCTGTTCTCAGTGCCGACACGTTGTTGGAGTTGACTTCCAGAAGAGACAGGGCGACGTCCTTCCAGCAGGGGCACGCCACGGCTTTGCCCAAGACTGATTCGTCACAGAAACCGGGCTGGTAGGGACAAGACCGTCCCTAAAGCATGTGTATCACCGACACACTGCAGGCCTGCCACTGGCATTTGCCCAGTCACTGTCAACATTCTCTAGCATGGATTCGCTCTTCCATTGACTTTTGACATGCATGTTCAGAAGCTTGAGCGCAGGTGCAAAGGGCAAGCAACGATTGCTTCGTTTCCGGGCCATTGGGAATTATGGGGTTCATCGTGTAAGGATGATAGGCTGAAGACCCACTGCGCCACGACTCGAGCCTCCATCTGCCCAAGCTCGGCCCGCACCGAGAAGAGCACGCGAGCAGATGAGCTCCTGGGAAACACTGCTGCCCAACCCGTGCGCGTCAACAGTGTGAAGGTTGTGAGATCTTGTACATGTACATGACTTTGTACCCTTATTCACGAACCCCTCAAAAGCACACCAATATGTACCCTCACCATAAGCAGTTCCTATGGAAAATGGCTTTTCCTGTCAAAAAAGCATGAAACCCTAAACACAACACCCTAAACCCTAAGTGCTGGATCATGCGCATGCAGGTTCACGTCCCCTTCCAGAAGGGCGATACAAAAAGTACATTCTATGCTCCTGTGACGCGGGTTTGCTTCCGAGCGACGGCTGAATCAACTGGATTCGGTGCACCTGACGCATGGCTCCTTGGCACAGTCCATCATCCAGCAGGCTGCGCCAAGAGATGTTGTATGCAACCAGCTTGAAACCAAAGCACACCTGCTTGCTTGCTTTCCTATGGCCTCACTGAGATGGCGAGCACGCAGGCTTAGGCTTGGCCAGCTGACCAACGCTTCAACAGCATTCCACTGCTGAAGGGGCTCGTTCACGTCTTGTCCCAGGAAACCTCATCATCATCAAACAACTCATCCGAAGAAACAGACAACCACAACAAGTTCGGCAATAACTTCCACAAACTGCAACCAAGAGGCCAGGAGTCACCCAGGCTCCAAGGCTCCACCGGTTCTGCTTGGACAGTCGGGACCTGCGGCACTCTATCGCATTCGTCGGCATACCATGCCTTGTGGTTAATTAAACACTGAATGATTAGCGCTGATGGCTAAACATGGCTAAACCACGTAGTCGTAACCGTGCCTCAGGCGCGCGGCATGCTCAGATCATTCGTCCAGTGCTATTTGTGGGCTTAAACTGTCGACACGCTGGCCGCCTCAGTTCGCGTCGCCGCGAAAAGAACACGAAGTTGGCCAGGGACCGTCCAAACATACCCAGGTTCCTCCAGATTCCAACATCGAAGAATCTAGGCAGTGCTGCGCTGAAAACTCAACACGGTCTCCCCTCCTTGGCCCGCCATTCTATCTGGAGCAGCGTGGTCTTGTTGGGTGCCTGCACAAGCTTGGATTGCTGAAAACGTCATAGCTGCCTCATGAGTCACGCATAGTCACGCGGCCTCCAGGTTGTCGGCAACTCTCAGAGCAAGTCCTAGCCCGGAACGGGCCCAAGCAACTCTGAGCCGCTTGCATTGAGTCTCGCAGGATTTCCTTCCCTGTGCAGTCTCCTCTGTTTGGAGGAAGCTCCTCCCAAGACGAGAAGCCCAATGCTCCACGTTCCAAGCGATATTGAAGCTGCAGCCTCCATGACTCAGAGCAACCCATCAGTGAAAGGCAATGTGCTGGGCCCATTTTTTCCGCTCTGGCGAGCCCTGGCCACCGTTGATCGAGCCAAGGCACCCGGGAGTGTTGTCTGGGACGCCACTGACAGCGAGCACGAAGCTCAACTCCTCCATTCCTCGAGGAGCCTCAGATGCATGGAGCAGAGCTGCCTCTACAGCATGATCATGACTGCGGTCCCCCCTTCCCCCCTTCTCCCAAGGAAGATGGTGGAAACAGCGACGCTTGCATCCAAAATGTTCATTAGACACAATAGACACAGACCAACGCCTCGGTGGTTCTTCGGGCAGGATTGCCAGTTGTCGCCCGGCCACGAGCCAGGCATTCTCCTCGGCTGCAAAGCCTTCCAGCGGGCTGTCAGCAAGCGCCGGCCACTGCAGCGCGAGGCCGACCCGCGCCTGCACTGCCAAGTCTGAAGGGGGAATGTAGTCTGTCGTTCAGTGCATCTAGGCTGCGTCGCGTCACAAAATGGACATATATGTATATATATATATATATATATATGGTACCCCCCCCCCCCATGGACCTACCTTTTTTTTGAAACCTCGGCTTGACCGATGTTTCAAAAAAGGGTGGCTTCTCCAAAACATTGGTTTTACCAATGTTTTTGAACCCCTACCTTCAAAAAACATTGGTTTTACCGATGTTTTTGGAACCCATGCTCACGAAACATCGCAAAAACCAGTAAAAACCATAAAAACCATGATTTTCCAAACTACTCGGAGACCCAAGCTTCTCCAAAACATTGGTTTTACCAATGTTTTTGAACCCCTACCTTCAAAAAACATTGGTTTTACCGATGTTTTTGGAGCCCATGCTCACGAAACATCGCAAAAACCAATAAAAACCATAAAAACCATGATTTTCCAAACTATAGGCTTGGGGTCTCCGAGTAGTTTGAAAATTCATGGTTTTTATGGTTTTTATTGGTTTTTGCGATGTTTCTTGAGCAGGGGCTCCAAAAACATTGGTTTTACCGATGTTTTTTGAAGGTGGCCTCTCCAAAACATTGGTTTTACCAATGTTTTTGAACCCCTACCTTCAAAAAACATTGGTTTTACCGATGTTTTTTGAGCCCATGCTCACGAAACATCGCAAAAACCAATAAAAACCATAAAAACCATGATTTTCCAAACTATAGGCTTGGGGTCTCCGAGTAGTTTGAAAATTCATGGTTTTTATGGTTTTTATTGGTTTTTGCGATGTTTCCTGAGCAGGGGCTCCAAAAACATTGGTTTTACCGATGTTTTTTGAAGGTGGCCTCTCCAAAACATTGGTTTTACCAATGTTTTTGAACCCCTACCGTCAAAAAACATTGGTTTTACCGATGTTTTTTGAGCCCATGCTCACGAAACATCGCAAAAACCAATAAAAACCATAAAAACCATGATTTTCCAAACTATAGGCTTGGGGTCTCCGAGTAGTTTGAAAATTCATGGTTTTTATGGTTTTTATTGGTTTTTGCGATGTTTCCTGAGCAGGGGCTCCAAAAACATTGGTTTTGCCGATGTTTTTTGAAGGTGGCCTCTCCAAAACATTGGTTTTACCAATGTTTCTTGAAGGTGGCCTCTCCAAAACATTGGTTTTACCCAAGTTTTGGAACCCCTACCCATGTTTTATATAAATTTTCTTGATCTAGAGCCATAGTCATATATAATGTCGCACACCATGTGATCTGCACGTGCCACCTTTTGGTACCCAAGGCCAATCGATCTCACTGAGCCGCCATGTAGGTTTCGGAGACTTCATCGATCCACAAAAAAAATGGAATCCTGCAGAGCCGTCATGCGCGTACTTTCTGCTTTCGCTCTGTGCAGTGAGCTGCAAGCTGCAAGACTATGACACGGAGCTTCACTCAGCTCAAATTTCTGTAGTTCGTTTCCCTGATACGATAAGAGTCACCATGGCTGAGCGTGATGGTGACACCGCAGTGAGCACCGGGCTCGATGCCACTCGAGGCATGCATCTCTCGAAGCAACTGCCCTACCCAATATGGTCTGATCAGGCCCTAGGCGGCATCTCCATCATGGATCTTCCTATGACGGAGCTGGGCAATACCAACACTCTTCTCAAACACTTCGTGGATGTGATCACGAATGTGCCGCCCCCCGACAAAAATGCCATTGAGTCCTTGATTAATGCTGGCAAATGGAATGAGCTTCCTCCGCCTTCTGTCCCAAGCAGAAGCTGGACGTCAAGCTTGTCCTTCAATTTGCCGTGCTCCCACTCACAAACGGGAATGTCTGCATAGTGAAGCATGTTCAGTCACCTGATCTCAAGCTGACAAAGTCTGTCGTGGACACCCTCTGCCACGGCACGCCCCATGTGCTGAATTGGCATGGTCGCAACGCTTACGATTTCAAGAAAGCATGGCAATGGTTCTTTGAACAGCTGGGAGGGTGGCAGTGTCGCTGCTACTCCCTTTCTGCAGTTGTTCCCCATCAAGAAAAGGCTTCCAAACAAGGCTACTATCTCTCTACCCTCTCGGAGGAGGATGTGGACAAGGGCTTTGCCTTCATCGAACAAGAAGCCGGCAACCTCGCAAGTGAGTGGAAGCGAGTGCAGTGGATCACTAAAAACCTCCACGTGAACCAGGACTCGCCTATTTTTCAGTGGCCCATCTCCACTGTCGAGAAGTCCATTCGTGCCATCCAAACCGATGGTGTCCTCGCACTTCCCGTAGAAAACTTCTTCTTCACCCTGGCAGACTTGGACTACCAGATTTTGAAGTTTGGCGTCAACCCCATTCTCAAAACCATGACCACACATGCCGTGGGGGTAGTTGGAGGTCCGGGAAGTGGAAAAACGCCACTCGCCAGAATCATAGCCCTGTGTGCCTCCCGTTTTTGGAAACGTGAACAAGGCATCACATCTCCACCTTCGTATCGCGAGGCCTCCGAGTTCGACTTTTTCCGGGGTCACCCAGGTCGCAAAGACCGTCCTGACATTCATGATGATGGGCGGCTTGCTGAGGAACCCATCAGAAAAATGAAAGGTTTCACCGACGTTGGTTGTACTATGTTGACCAAAGAGCGGTGGGGCGCGGCTAAGTTCGTCCAAGGGCAAATGAGAGTCTTTGTCTGCAACGACTACGACTCCACTGAATGGATTGAGAAGCATCAAAACATTCGGGCCGGCACGGTTCTGCAGATGCCCCATGAGCAATTCCTCGAAGTCGTTTCCCCAGTCTTTCCTAAGGATACCAAGCTACCACACATCATGGCAGTCTTGAAGCGTGCCAATGTCTTGGTCAACGCGGGAAACCTGGTGATCTTCAGACGTGCCAGTCAGGAAGAGAACCGGGTCCCTTGTCTTGTCTTGCAAACTCCCGTGGACTACCTGAAAACAGAGGCACAGCAGAGGTACATGCTGTATCGCGAGAACAAGCTTGTCAAACCAGCTTCCTTCGAAGATGACGTCGCTTGGGAGGCCCGCTATCTGGACGCAGTCCTTCATGACAAGGTCCTTCCACTCCCCAACCCGACTATCATCAATGATGCCCAGCATCGTCTCTTTCATGATGAACCTCGCCCACCTGCTCACAGAGACATAGAAGCCGCGGCTCCTTCCTCACTGCCTGCAGTGCCCTCGGTTCCCAAAGCGGTTGCCGTCAAGAAAGAGTCTGTGACTTTCCGAAGGGCTCTTTCCAGTTTGCAGGGACATGTCATCGATCTTGACTCGCCTCCAAAGAAGGCCTTGCGTGCCGGATATGCAGACGTGAAGACTGAGATCTCGGATGCTGCAAATGAGCCTGCCAGCCCAACATCTTTGATGGCTGCACCCGTCCCCCCCTCGAAGCCTTCCTCACCGGGCTCGATGGCTGCACCCATCTCTCCCTTGAAGCCTCCCTCGCAAGGCTCGTCTATGGACATTCATGACCCAATGGATGACCTCTCACATGAAGAAGGCCTCGAAAATCTCTCCCAGGAGCTGGCCGATATCATCGACCAACAGGAGACCGACTGAAAGGAAGCCAACATCTGAGTCTGTCTTTCGGCACTTTAGCTCATGGCATTCCCCGTGTCACTCACATATCTTTTTTTATATGTGCATTCTTTATATACATAGTAACACATAGTGCACACATTTCAACATATCATGCATATATATGTATATATATATATGGTCATATATATATACCGGGGGGAATTTTGATGCCATGATGCTCTGCAGCTAGTAAGAGAAGGAGAAAACGCGTCTCACACGACATGGCCCTGCGCCCTAAACCTTCGTCTGACGTGTGTGGCAAAGCAAATGAAGGTCGTTCAACGAAAAGGTCTTTTGCAAGCAATGTTCCTGTAAATCTGGCATGCTGACAGCAGCGGTTTCGAAATCTGCATGGTTATATTTTTGAAGCAGTTTTTTTGAGATCAAGCCAGATTTCCTATAGCCAGTTGCAGTTATGGGCAAGCGCTACAACCTCTTCCCTGATCCCAAGAAGGGCAAAGGACGGATGGTCCTGAAGAAGCCTGCAGGGGTCAAGTCAGCCTCGTGGTCCAAGGTGCCTTACCAGCGTCACAAACTAGGAGGAGGTTTTCTTCGCAAGGATCAGACGAAGTGGCGTCGTAACATCCAACAACTCCTAAAGGCAACCGACAACCAAATCTTGGACATGCTCATGAAGGACAAGTTCCTGCCGAACTGGGAGGGTTGTGTATGTCCTTTCTGCAACAAAGGTGTGCTGGGTCCATTGTCTGATAGGCCTTCAAGGGACACCAAGGCCTACAGGTGCAACAAGAAGAACTGCCAGAAGTACGTCTCTCCGGCTCATCTGCATCCCCTCTTCACAGTCCTTCGTGGTCCAGAAGGGCACAGCCTCCAAGTGCAAGCTACTGCACTCCTCCTTCGCCTCGCTGGAGTTCCTCTGGCCACCATCCATCTGCTCACGAACATAAATCACAAAGCAATTGAGAGGCTCAACAGCAATCTCAATTTCCTCCGGAGTGGCCACGTCACACAGGTTGAGAAAACCATCAAGTTTGGGGGCGCCCCCAAGGCTTGGAGAGACGTGGAGGTGGATGAGGCTTGCTTCGACAAGCGGACTCTGAAGCCGTGGGAGCAAACAGAGAAGGATGCCCAGCAAGGCAAGAACACTGAGTGGGAACAGTGGGGAGGGTTAGTCCAGCGAGGATGTCCCAAGAGCTTGGTCCTATTCAAACTTCGCCCTGCCATCACAGTACCCAGAGCACCGGGGCCAGGTGCTATTCGCAAGGTAGACTGGACTCCAGTGGCCCAGAAGTGGCTCAAGAACAGGCGTGTCATCTTGCACTCGGATTCGGCCCGGTCATATCGCAGCAAGGTGGATGGAATGCTGCACGATGCAGTCGTCCACAAGAAACGCAGGGTCAAAAAGGGCAACAAATGGGTTTGGGTCAAGCCTGTGTATGTGAAGATTTCCACTCACAAGCTTCCGGATGGCACCGTCATCAAGACCAAGGGGGGCACCCAAATCATCGACCGTGCCTGGCGTTTTATCAAAGACCGTCTCCGATTAAACCAGCATGGCAAGGCATCCTCCAAGCAGCTGGCAGCCCAGATCCGTAGTGCACAGTACGAGTACTGGCACCGCAACGAGGATCTGTGGGTATGCACAGGCCAGCTCTTGGATGAGTACATGCGAAGCATTGTCACCAAGCCTGAGTGCTAGAGGATCAGCAAGACTGGGGTCGCTGCTTCTAGCATACGAACACCGCCTCGCCTGAAACCAAGACCATCTGATGTTTGCTAAGCACTCCCACGTCTCTGTGGAGCTTCGCCCTCGCTGTAAAACAGATCTGCCGTCACATGTTTTGCATGCTTTGCTCACAGCATCCAATTCCCAAGTCATCTCTCTGCCCGGGGCATCTGGCTCAGACACATGCCACACACACACCAACAAAATTCGGACACCTGCCAAACACACACCAGCAAAACAAAGGAAATTGGTAGGTCCATGGGGGGGGGGGTAGCATATATATATACATACATATTTGTATATATGTTCTATATACTGTCAGAACGGTACTTATGGCATGGCGTAGTGGCGTACGTGCTGTTTCACGACAGGTCGTCTCATCAAACTGTGGCATCGTGCACTCCTCGCTACTATTATTGACCTTGTGCGGTAATTTTCGGCGGCAAAAAGAATTCCAACTAGGCATCCGGGGGCCATCGGGTACTGGAGAACAGGACTAGTCCGGAATTGCAAGCCGTCGAAGGCAAGTGCTGAGGAGATCTGGGAAGGCAGGTTTACCGTGACCGCGCGGAAGTTCTCCCCACGTTGAAGCAAGGCCAAAAGGCGGGCAAGGGGAGGGTCCTCAGGTCGGGGGGGGGGGGGGGGGGGGTCTCTTTTTTTATGTGACCTTGAATTACATTCCAGGAAGATCAGGAAGAAGGTCACCTCAAGTCGCTTTTGGCCCAACACATGAAGGTTGTTAAACAAAAACTTCCGCTCCAAGGAGATAGCTTTCGTGTCTTTTTACTTTCTGCCAACGGATTCGTTTGCGCGTTGTTTGCTACTGTGACCCGAACTGATTGCATGGGCCGATCTGGCTAGAGCTCATGAATGGCACGCCCTCTTCTGACTTTGATGAAACATAAATTACCGCTGCCACGACTACCAGCGCTAGCGAGACGACCGCTCCTGCCGTTGTTCTTAACTGTTGCCGTCCCGGGTGCCGCTACTCTAGACGAGCATGCAAAACTTTGGCAGACATTTACTCTGAACCAAACCTGCACCCTGCGTGCTTGCCACGCTGCTTCTACAGCATCATTGCGAAAAATATGTCCTGCCCCTACGTCTCTATGAAGCACTGTTGATCAGACTCTAGTTTGGCACCGACCTTTATGTTCGCAGTGCATATATGCCTGCACACAAGCAACCATCAACCGCATGGAAACAGCTGGCAACTTGTACGCATTGAGGTACAGAACAACAGAATGCCCCTGGCTCACTGCATCAGGGCCTGACCATCGATCTCATAAGCACAGCTGGTGCGCGTACTTGGGTCGAATCCCAGCTTCTCAGCCCATGCAGTGACCGTCACCTGAACATATTGACGTTTCATTGAAGGTAGTGGTCGACAGTGCCACAGGCAACATGTGTGGAGTTCCTCGCATACTTATGCTTACATGAGCTGCCCGCTGAAACTCGCAACTCTAGATGGCACATCAAGCTAGGCTCAAGGCAGACACTTTGCACCTCTTGTCCAAACCGAAAAAACGATTGACTGAAACTCCTTTCAAACAAGATTCCACGCCCGGTGTGTTCAGAACCAGCGGAGCCACGAAGGTCGTGTGACCGCTGCTCCTCGTTTCATGGAGGGTGCAGCAGCTGTGCAATACACGAGGCAGTTCACGACCTTTCCATTTGTCGGCAAACGTGCAAAATCACCCTCATAATTCGCAGGTAAGATACCCCTGGATCTCATAGAAGATGGTTGCATCTGGTTGTTGGTCGAGACGTAGGTCGACCTACCAGAGGCGTGGCCAACATTGTAACTGAGCAACTGGCACAACAACTGTGTGCAGCTGAGGCATCCTGCCTCCACCTGCAATGCGTACGCAGTGTCGGTGGAGAGGTCTCCGCTGACAACAACCTCACGCTCAACAGCTGTCCGGCCGAGCAGTGGGCACGTGGACGCTAAGTAGTCGCCAGAGGAGTGTACGGTGTACGTGCAAAGCTGACGTGCAGTCTTTCCTGACTCATGCCGCTGTGGAGCACACCGAGGCGGATTCATTTGGTCATTGCCATAGAGCTCGACCCGACTCTCCAGGGACATCGTCCACATTGGATGACAAAGGACCGCCCGGACGGTTACAGCCTCCTGGCGCCTTTGCAGAAAGCTGGCGCTTGCGGTATATTTGCACGCTGACTTTTCTGCTGATCCTCTCAATTGATTCCACTAGCTAACGTGCTGAGCCTGATGATATCGAGGCCCGGATCTGGAACGTTGGCAGGCTCCTGCCAGCGCAAGCGGAGAAATGGCGAGCCCTCCAGTGGTCACTCTTCAAGAACATTGCCTGTGAAGAGAGAAAGAGAGCGAGGCAGAGAGACAGAGAGAGACACACACAGACGAGTCGTGCTCGTCTAGGTGCAGCCGAGATAAAACGATGATGACAGACAGGAGCTGCCCTTCACCGTTTGGCGTCCTCGTATTGTAGTGATGTCTCACATGTTGGTGCCTGCGGCGCACTGCCATACCTCACAAGACATCATCAACGTGCAGGCTTCAGCCGAAAGGGAGGGCAAGAAAACTTGGAAACATCTGGTGTTCGTGGTGAAGTCCCTTCTGGATCGCAGAGACACTTCTTGCTGTAGGTGCGTGAAAACAACATCCAGGGAGTATAGTGCTCCTGTACTTCCATGAAGAGCTCCGGACTTGTGTTCTTCACTTCGCTGTCCGTATAGATCAGCTAACACGACGAGTTATGGAACAAAGGCTACTCAACGACCAAGGAAGACTTCACCGTGTTCTGTTCTTTGCTGTTTGCATTGCATCGCCTTCCCGGTCACCCTTCTCAAGCCTTGACCCAACCGTGCCCCGAGGCGCTCGTAGTGGATTGTCAGAAGCCATGGAGCTTCAACGTCCTTGCAGGATGCTATGAGAGTCAAAGGCCTTCAAGCTGCTGGCCACCCGAACAAGAGACCGAAAAGACGCTGAACTTGCCAAGTGGCCAGCCCAGGAGGGAAGGAGAGACGGACGCGAGTACCCGCCGTATGGTAGGTTCCATTGCCCAAGTTGATCACCGGCGACTGCAGCGGCCCACCCAGGGGGACGCACTTGCCCAGAAGGTTCGGCCCATAACCGTCTGCACAGCGACAAGACATCGCATCCTGCACCGAGACCAGTGGCATCAGCCGCAGTCTGCAGCTGTCAATGGCTAAGTCGAGACTACCAACACCGCATATGACCGCCAACTTGCAAGACCCTCGCGTAGCCTGACGCGGAAGCACGGATCTCGGGGCCTCCGATGCAGGTGTTCTACTCTCTGTTTGCCGAACGCAAGAGGCCTTCAGAAGCACTCAGGATCCGGATTCCGGGTTAACTCATGCGCCGCGTGAGAAGCCCAAAGCTAAAACCCTCTACATTCTATTCACTCCGCCTCCCCAGAGCAGCGCGAACAGCTTAGCGAAGGGTCGGCATAGGTGACGACACGGCGGTGGTGCAGCAAAGTCGGCCGATCGCCCTGACGGAGGTATCATGGCCACCGCCATTGCAGTCTCTATAGCAGCTGACATATTCGGACACGTACACCAGTTCTGGCCTGCAGCGCTACGTCGTGAAGCCTCATACCCCAGAGCTGTGCTGGCAGAGTCTCATATCGCAACTCTCGGTAGCAAAGCATGACCACCACTCTGTGGTATGCTGGTAAATCAGCGAACAGGTTCAAGTCTCCTAGCAATTGCCTCCAGCTCCTGCCTCCTTGCTGCTTAGATGCGAAGCCACAGGAAGACGCTGACTGGAGGGCGAGGGCGTCTCCACCTCCAAAGATGCTTTCTCATGCAGTCCCTCCTCGCGGCTCATACCGGCGCGCCTCCAGCGACACATAGCTGGCCGAGGAACCCCCCCAAACCTCCACCACGGCTACCTGGGCAAGCACTTCGGGGCCAGAGCCGGCGTTCAACACTGCAGGCCCGCGACGGTCACGTGTGAAAGCATCTTGACGAACTACCAAACAGAAGTACAGCAAAATACTAAATATATATATATATATAGACTACATGCTATATTATATATATATATATATACATATATAATACTGTTGGTTCTGCTTTGCAGCTTCGGAGCCTGCGATGGGTTCGGTGAGATGGCGATGCGCTGCGGCAATGTCGCGAAGCCAAGGGAGCCCAGTATGTTGTGCTCCGCATCGTAAACTGTGGCATTCCTGACGTGAACACCACGAGTACATTGCGTTGGTCTACGAAAACGAAAACTAAGCGACTTGCAGGCAGAAGTGAAGGTACATCCGTCCTGACGTCGCCAGATCCAGTAAGGTGGATGGCGCCTACAAGCCATGTCCTGAAGGTACGGCTGGCTGCTACTGCACACGCATAGTGTGTAGACTCAACAGCATCAGAATGCCAGCTACCCGAGGTGCAGACTGGAAGTAGGTTGGCGGACAATCGCAGGAGCAGTCGGCCTGACGCAGCAAAGTGCCTGGCGACAGTGCCAGGTTCGTCAAGCGACATGGATGTGACTCATCAAGGACTGAAGCGCAGCGGTCTATCTCGCAAGAATTGGGGGGGGACTCCTGACATTGGCACTGCGTGCATCTGCCCATCTTTGCGGGGGAGCCTGGGCAGGTTTCCACGCATATGCCGGGCAGCGCCCCGCAAAGCTCGTAGCCCGTGCGGCACTCCGATTGCTCGGAGCTGGTGTTGGGAGGCGTGAGCCTGGCAGCGTGCCCAGACATAAGCAATCGAAGGGGGCACACCCCGGGACTTGAAAGTTGCAGCACGTGCAAAGTGGATTGAGATGGGGTTTGTTTTACGCTAGGGTCCCCTTCTGGCTTGCAAAAAACAATCCCGAAAGGGAGTCTCATAAAGGAAAGGTTTGAGTTGACGGTTATCGGCTTCAGGATGGCGAGCAAAGTGGCTCTGAGCGAAGAGAGGAAGCGCCTCAAAACAGAAGGAAAAATCTAGAGCAAGAGAAAGGCAGGCTAGAGAACTCGCTGGGCCTGGGGGTGATGAACAGTCATCCTACTTTGCACTATGCACCTATTCAGACCCTGAAGCTTGCTCTCAAGTACCCGATGTCGTTGCGCCGCCTGGGCAACGATTGGCAGGCGGAACCCTCGAGCTGCTCGAAGGGCCTAAGCACACGGCCACATTGACCGTTTAGGGCTTGGCGCTTAGCGCGGCTTAGCTTTCAGAGACTGCACGAAACATGGGTGCTGAGTATCGAAGTCCTGCACTCAGATAGAAAACCCACTTCTCAAAACACCTTCGAAGTTTGCCTGTGCTTCTGGGGCCACGGGACGGGTTGCAGGCTGCGCGCCGCCGCAGCTCCGAGATCTGTGACCCGAGCGTCAGCCCATCCAAGGCCTCGTGGTGCACGCGCCTCAGCTCGTCTGCTTGGGTCTCCGGCAAGGGAGAGGCTCGTAGAAGATTTTGGGTTATGCCTTGTAGGCGTAGAGGGGGGGGGTATATGGGTGGTTGTCAAAATTATGGTCCCTTCTTGGTCCCTATTATAATGCGGCACCTCATATTTTGGGTACCCCAAAAGGGATCATAATCTTGACAGCCACCCATATATGGGGGGGGGATGGGACCTTGTGGCTTTCAGGTTCTGCCAAGGGCTGACAAATCCAAGCTGAGCAGTCCACACTTCATCAAGCTGGCCCGCGTACAGCGGCAGGTCGTAGTAAGGTCTCCCAGCAGCCAGGAATTCGGGAAAACCTGGCCGACATGCGTCTCAGCTACTCAATGGTTACCTCGCCGTTCAGCGCCGAAATCGAACTTCCCCCAAACCCGGAGAGTCCAGTTTTAGCTTGCCGGCAAGAAGCGCTGCACATTGACGGGCCCAACATGAAAGACATCCCGGTGTTCTGGGATGATGTACGGGGCTTCCAGGATGTCGATCACAGAAACCGCGCGATACCCGGATGACACCAGCTCACCATCCTCAACCAGGGATGGCTTCAAACATGCTGCCAGCTTCTGGGCTGCGACCCGTTCCTATCAAAGCAGCCAGCTTCCTACTGCAAAAGAAAGGGGACTAAAGCCGAGGATCCACATAAAAGAAGACGTTATGCATTGTTGCCAGGTTTGGAACGACCACTACTGCCACATGTCGCCAAGCTTGTCGGCTGTTGTCCCAGGTGAAAGGGTTCGAGGCGATGACGCTGTCCTGCACAAGTCTCGTCCGCCAACCAGTGTCCAATGAGACGGCTCAGTTTCGGGATAGTTTGGGGTCTTTCTCCGTAAGCCCGCAGGGTAGAGGGTGTAGGGCTCAGAGTGTTCATCGCATCTACATGTGAGGCTGCTAAGCCAGCGTCGCGAGTGCCTCCGCGCTCAAGTGAGAAGCCAGTGTGATGCGGCTGTGGTAGAAGAGGAGCCTCAGTGACCCGGGAAGGGTGAAGGCAGGCTGCAAGCAGGAAGTTGGGTTAGGGGTCCGTTCGAATCTGAGTCCTTCCCCTTGCATCTTCGCCTGGTACCACTTCACCGCATCACCATCCCTCCCCTTTCTTTCCGTCTGGGGCTGAGAGGCCTTCGTCTGGGCAACACGGGTGTGGGGCCGAGATTGTTGTTTCTCAGATGGGTTTGCCATGGCATCAAATTGGGCGCCCATCGTGCTGATTAGGCATCATCGCGACTTCACCTGTATCCTGCTTTTCCCTCTTGTGACTGGTGTAGTCCCACCCGAGAGCTCCCTCTCACGACGCCTCCTGCTGGCATGACTCTGGTCTAACCGGGATGCAGGTGACCCTCCTTACACAAACTACTTCACCCCAAACCTTGCTGATGCTGCCATCGGCAGAATGTTTCCGTCACATCTGCAACATCTGCAAGACTTTGCATAGCAATGCAACGCTTGGGCCCGCACTGCGCCTGTCCAGCAGAGCTTCGGCGCAAAGCCAGGAACCTTCTTTTTCTTCTATTCTGCGCAAGCGGCAGCCATCTTCAAGGCAATTCGAGGCGCTTATTTCTGTGGAACCAGGCCACCAGGTGGGGAAGCTGCCGACAAGCACCGCCATGCTGCTCGAGCTGGTGCTGCCTGCCAGGAAGCCCTGTGGCATAAGACAGGCACGAGCAAGTTCACGGCCCCCCGGGCCTACGGGTATGGCGTCCAGGGATATATTTGCAAACAACTCCACCGTGAAGGGGGGCGTCAGTGCCGCAGCTGTGTAGCCTGGTTGGCACGTCGCATCAGCAAGCAGGGCAACATGGAAACGAGGGGCTGCAAAGAGGAAGCAGGGGAAGAAGCATCTCGTGACTGTCGCTGTGAAATGCTCCTACAGTTCACGATGAGCGTCCGATTGAAGCTGGCATGGCCATGGGGAATGCCAGCGTGATCTCACAGCCATCAGGCACACCGCGCCCGGCAGTGGAGAAGTTGGCCACGGCATTGAAAAGGATGTCCTCCGATAACTGACAAAGTGCGAAAGAACAAACACTGGGGTGAAGAACGGTAGAACAACAGTCGAGTTCGGGCATTCCGAGCTAGAGCTGCCGAACTTGGTATGGCTACGACAAAAGGGGACTCTTGCCGGGTCGAGTGTCGGACACACCCTCGGGGCCGGAGCAAGCTCCCCAAGTGCTGTTGCCTCAGCTTGAAGCCATCAAGCATCATATACGAAAACATCCTCGAGCCTGCTGGACTGGATGCCTGAGGCCATCACACACTGGGGAAAAGTAGCCATCACCCACTGGAACGCATGCTCGGCTCGAAGACGAAGAACGCTCGTCTGCCTAACATGCTCAGGCAGGCGCTGCTGGTTGGTGCTGCGTGCGCAACCAGAGGCCATTGACAACTCAACGACGCCAATGTCTACCATGTCTGCACCTTCTCGCATATGAACGGGCAAGAACTGTTTGGCCAGCCGAAGACGTAGAACACACCGTTTCCAGTGACAGGATCACAGTCCTCACAAGCAACACAACGATCTTTTGGTATCTTTTGGTGTCACTTGCAGCAAAAGCCTGGCCTTGACCTGCCTGGGATTCCAAGCAACCAGTGCAAATCCAGCCTGCATCACCTCGTCGTCAGCCCAGAACCCAGGGACAGCTTGATCACACAGCCGGAACCTGCAGTCCTGCGCCCTTAGTACATTGTCCGGTACATGTGTGGAAACATCGCCATCAGAGCTGCATACCCAGCTAAAGCAGCGCAGGGATCGTAGGGTGCGTTGTTCAGATCGAGGCGTAAATCTGCCGACAGTTGCCATTTTGGGGGTTTACGAAATTCGGGGTACCTATTGGGGTCCGTATTTGAAGCCCCTATTGATGTTCGTAAACCCCATTTGGGGTGAAAGAACAACCCACCAACTTATTTGCCCTCCCTGTCCATAGTGCGCCATAGGGCCCCACCCGGGCCATTACGGACCTCCCTATGGACCCCTCCCTCCACATGCACACCTATGGATTCTTATGGACCTCCTGACCCCAGCCTGGACCCTCGTATGACCGGGTTTGCTATGGACGCCCCTCTCTCGCACCCCTCCGCATCCCCTTGATGGGCTGCTATGGACCGAACCTTTCTCTGCGGCTTTTCTTTGAACGCTGAACCTGCTTTTCGGGAGCCAGGATATCCTACTTACTTGAGTTTGGCTGTTGATCTAAGGCATGCAGCTTCGTACTTGCTGACAGTGGCTGTGGGCCCAGGAAAAGCGTAGGGTCCATGCTTGGCTACTGGGGCCTCCTCTGCAGCTCTGCACCTACCCATGGACCTTCTATGGACTCCACCTCTGAACATGCAGGGAGTGCCGCGGAGGGGCGTTACCTTAAAAGGGTTTACGAACGTAAGGGACCCCTAAAGAGTTCCCCAAAGAGTAGGATTCCCTTATAATACGGACCCCAATTAATTTCGGAAATTCCCATACTAGAACAACCCCTAATCGCAGCCCGTAGGTGGTTTTGAGTTCGTGCGGCCAAGCCGCCGATAGCAGCCGGCTTGGCAAGTCTCTTCGCAGGTGGCGTACGGGCAGGTCTGGCGGTCAGGGGAGGCTTGTCGTCCTATCTTGGGATGCCTTTGGCCATGTGCCAAATCGCGCTGTTCGAGGGATTTTGGACCAAAACTCTTGGTACAACTACCGGCAGATCGTTCAGATGCACCTGTCGGCTTTCGCTTTCCATCTCGAAGATCTGCTGGCTGGTGCACCCGTTCGCTGATTCCTGGCCAGGTCGGCCCATGCACTGCAGTTCCTGAAAATCCTGGAGTCTAGCGCTTCTAGGGCCCTTAAGAGCTTTGCGTCTCTCATCCCGAAAAGTCCTCAAGAGTTCAAACACATCGGGCGTCAAGGGCCCCGAAAGTGAAGCCGCAGGCGCCTCCACTTCGGGCGCCGGGCTGCGGAGCGTCCTCTCCTGAACGGCTTGCAGCTGGACGACCTGAAGCCCATGCTTTGGAATCCTACGCTAGGGTTTAGGGTTTAGGGTTTAGGGTTTAGGGTGTGGGGTTTAGTGTGTAGGGTTTCGGGTTTAGGGTTTAGGGTCTACGGCTTAGGGTTTAGGGTTTAGGGTTTAGGGGTTTAGGGTTTAGGGTTTAGGGTTTAGGGTTTAGGGTTTAGGGTTTAGGGTTTAGGGTTTAGGGTTTAGGGTTTAGGGTTTAGGGTTTAGAGTTTTGGGTTTTGGGATTCAGGAATCATGGTTTAAGTGTCGGGGTTCAGGTTCTCGGGTCGGCCCAAAACAAGGCGCCTGGCCTGGTCACCCGATGTGAACGCAGAGGTTGCGGTGCCCGTTCGCGTGGCGTAGCTCGCGAATGGGCCGACGAACGCAAGACCTGCAGGATTCGTTTGAGAAGTTAAGGCTTACAGAGTTCAAGGACTCAGGGATTTCGGAGTTTCGGGATATCCCTGACTGTTCGGCCCTGACTGCTGCATGCATTATGTTTTTTCTGCAGCCCTGGCCAAGAAAACTGCCAGCCATTGCTGGCCAAGCGTCTTTTGGATGCATCCGACTGCCTCAGCATCCCCAATCTCCAAGGAATTGACCACAGAAGTTCAGCCTAGTCCAGCTCTTGTTGCACCAAGACGCATGTGCCGTTGCTCTCCGCTGACTGCAAAGAGCTCTGTTGCCGATATGAAGGCAGTATCTCCAGAATATGGCCTTGGCTTGCGTGGCTGTTCACTTCTCTCTCACCTCATCGCACCTGTCTCTGGACACTGGGCCAGTGACACAGCGGAGAGTACTTCGCGCGCAGTGGCATTGAAGAGGCGACCTGGCAACAGCAAGAGAATTTCGGAACAAATGCCACACTTCTGGCGCCAACCAATAGCCGCTAAGGAGCCGCAAAAGTCCAGCGACAAAAGCGACCGGGAACCGAGTACCAGCGGCGTCGACGCCTCGAACGTGTGAAGACGGCCAGGCTGAGAACTCCGTAGCAAAAAGGCACACTGACACCCCTGGCCTGTGGCAACCTGTCTCTCGCATCCTCCCGGGCAGACAAACAGTGGACCGTCGCACTTGTTGATGCAGACCATGTGTTGCAAAGAAGCTGCCAACCGAGTACTGCGATCAATGTTGGTGCCCAAACAAACACTAAGCAAGCCGTCTCCTGGAGGCGGTCGTTGAGGCAGCGCCGCAGCGGCGTCGAGGCTGAGGAGTCGCTGGGCGGCGGAAGCGCGTCCAGGAGCTTCGTGAGGACGCCTCTGATCAGGTTTGGGGTTAGGGCTTAGGGCTTAGGGTTTAGGGTTTAGGGTTTAGGGTTTGGGGTTTGGGGTTTAGGGTTTAGGGTTTGGGGTTTGGGGTTTAAGGTTTAGGGTTTAGGGTTCAGCCTCCCCGTCTCCCCCCACACTTCTCCACTGAAGGTGCTTGGGTGCTTCTGGCGGCGGCTTGAGAGACTTGGGATGCCGCGTGATGAGCCGCGCTTTGGGGTATGTTCGGATCGGGCTGCCGCAGCTTCAGGGGCAGTCGGACGACTCACGCGCCGCGGATCTAGTAGAAATAAAGTAGCAGTAGTAGTAGCATTAGTAGTAGTAGTAGTAGTAGTAGTAGTAGTAGTAGTAGTAGTAGTAGTAGTAGTAGTTGCCGTAGTAGTAGGAGGAGGAGGAGTAGGAGCAGGAGCAGGAGCAGGAGCAGGAGCAGGAGCAGGAGCAGGAGCAGCAGCAGCAGCAGCAGCAGCAGGAGGAGGAGGAGGAGGAGGAGGAGAGGAGGAGTAGTAGTAGTAGTAGTAGTAGTAGTAGTAGTAGTATCTGCACGAGAACTGAAAAAAGCCCTCTGCATCCTGCAACTTTAGGCTGAGGGGCCGTTCGCCGCGTCCTGCACAGCATCCACTGCAGAGACGGCGGCTGTGCGAGGCGAGAACTTCATCTCGCAGTTCAGCTCGGCAATGGACGCCAAGGCCGCCGCCTGGCCGGGCGGTCGAAGCCGGACACAACATGATGCCCTGGACATCGATACGCATCTGTGACTGCCAGTGGAAAGGTTCTCAAGTTCTCCCTTGAGGACCTCCGAGCCTTGAAAGGATCACCCTTTGGGCCTTTGGGCGCGTCACAAGGGTCACGGGGCGAGGCCTGGAGCGCCAGGGAAGCCCCGACAGCCAAGGCTTCCACCGCCCGGCGCAGGAAGTCGAACTGCGAAAGGTCCATGACTTGGCCTCGGAAGAGGCAAGAAAAGGAACATGACCCAAGAGCCTGCTGAAAGCCCCCTCGAAACCCTCGAAACCCTCAAAACCCTCAACGTCCTCAAAACCCAAGCTTACAGCCCTAGCCTGAGATTGGGTTTGCGCGAGTCGGGGCTCTTGAATACAAAGAGCCAGCTGCGGCTGCCCCTAATAGCTCCGGCTGCAGCCCGTGCTGCGCTTATTTGCCAACCCTTCGCTTAGGTCCTGGCTGGCATCGATACCCGCAATGACATCATCCTCCCATGATCTCCCATGCACATCTGATGTTCCCAAACAATGCACTCGAGGAGCGCTTGTGGGGCGACGGAAAACGGTGATGGTGAGCTCTTTTGGGCAGCAAAATCTGTGGCGTGTGTCTTTTGACTCTTGGATTTGGCTGAAGCTGCTGAAGCTGAATCTCTGGAATCGCCACAGGTCTTGGAGGCTGGGCTTTCGGCACTGAAACTTGGGGCCTGAACCTGCAGGCGGGACTGTCTCATGGTGCATGACCCAGACGTTGCGTAACAGGGCCAAGCGGGGCTGGAGCCTAATTTCTTTCGTTTCGGAACCGGCGGATCGACGAGGCCTCACACGTGGCACCCGCCACAGCTACAGTATGCGAGTATGCGGTTTCTGGCATCCATGGGTCCTGCCCATCGAGCTGCGTGGCGACGTCCTGCAGCAAGATTTGCTGGTATGCAGTTGAATGTGCTGCTACGACCATTGGAATTGAAAGCACCGCAAGTGAACGTTAGGCCGTGCATGGCGTGAGTTGAACAGTGCCCCTGCGCCATTCGGACAGAAGCCATGAACAATGATACCGACAGATGCGTGAAGAAGCAAGGCTCACATAACGTTACCGCAAGAACAACAGGCAACGTGATGTTGCCCCACTCATCCGCCTATGTCCACTCACCCAAACATGACTCAACGGAAGTCCTGCGCTTTGCTTTGCCACCCACTGCCACAGCTTGAGCTTCCAAGAGAAGGAATCGAGCCCGCAAGGTCCTCCACTTCACGGTGTGATGGGTGGGCAACCATGACAGGAACGGACCTTCCCGCTTCTACATGCCTCAATGCCTCCAGTATGATTTGTCACCTCGGTCACTCAAACCAACTACCCCCTTGTAAACTCTGAACCCGTAACCATCCGTAACGCATCCGTAAATTGCTCTCCTCGAGGCGACTGGCCAAAGCCAGCAAGGACGTTGGCAGGGGCGCAGCACCTCGCCATCGCCACAGGGGGACTTCGTGTTCCTTTAAAGCGCACTGTGTTGAGGTTTGCGTGTGGCCCCAAGCCTGCCACTGGAACGGGCCCAGTGTCTGCGTTCACGAACCGGCTGTAGCTCGATCGACGCTCCTCACCGCGTGCGTGCAAGATGCCCCCCCCTACCCTGCTCCTTACAGGACGTTGCCAGTGCCCGTGATTTTCCTCTCCAACCATCGTTGCGCTTGGAAACCGCACCAGCCTGGTGGCGACCAACCTGACCTAAACTATGGGCCCCTCGTCTGATATCGCACGCAAACATCGCCACTGGCATATCAGTCCTCCAAAATTGATTGCATGCCCCCAATTCCAACACCAGCATCACCTCGAAATGTCAGCGTATGTCAATCAAGCCTTGAAGCTAGAAGAAGCACTCGTGTGCGAAAAATCACTTGGCTCTCAAGTCCCGCTTTATCCCAAAACTACCCCGGCCTAATGCACAGCCGAGCACAGACGCTCCGATTCGTTACGGAAGGGTGTTCGAGGTATCCACTTCCCCACCTTTGGACCACATCCATGTCACCCTTCCCGACAACGAAACCCTCACAAAGTTAGGGTACCTTTCGGGCTACACCGTCACAATAAGCGGAGCCTTCAAACTATAATTGAAAACCCAAAAGGGTATGGGGTTTGGGGTTTTGGAGTATAGCCCTAAACCCTAAACCCTAAGCCCTAAACCCTAAACCCCTAAACCCCTAAACCCCTAAACCCCTAAACCCCTAAACCCCTAAACCCCTAAACCCTAAACCCTAAACCCTAAACCCGAAACCCCACACTAAACTCTAACTCCCAGGTGGGGCCGGCTGAGCCGACGGCGCGCGGCCACCTCCAGGTCGTCGCGGAGTCTCTGGGCCAAGTCGGAAGAGTCGTCTGCCTAAGGATTCAGGAGGGGTTTTAGGGAGTTTACAGTAGGGAGTTTGGGGAGTTTAGGGAGTTCAGGGTTTAAGGTTTAGGGAGTTTAGGGTTTTGGAGGAGCTCAGCGGGCGGTAAACTACGCAGCACTCTTTTCTGGGGTTTGGGCTCAAGGCGCCTGCGGTGAACAACAAGTGAGAACCACTAGCTGAAGTAGAAAAATAACAGGAGATACGACCTTAGTGTTTAGCAGGTCTGATCCAGGGTGAATTTCACAAGGGTTTAGGGTGTAGGGTTTAGGGTTTAGGGAGTTTCGGGTTAAAGTTTGGGGTTTAGGGAGCTTAGGGAGCCTAGGGAGCTTAGGGAGCTTAGGGAGCTTAGGGAGTTTAGGGTTCACGGTTCGGAGTGTGGAGGCTCTTCGGAACCCGCCAAACATGTGAGAATATGTATATGTATATATATATATATATGAGCCTGAGACCTTTCGGGTTCTTTTTGCTTAGGTTTCATGTGTGCAATTAAAAAAACTAATACAAATATTAAAAGCATTATATAATAAAGTTATAATAGTTTAGCCCGAAATGTATAAGCCTAACTTAGTCATATACCCTAAGCCCTAATCGGTCCAGATTTGTTTTCATTTTTGTCGCCTGGCAAATCCCTAAACCCTGAAACCTAAACCAAGAGTTTAAGGGTATCTGAATCTAAAAGGGTTTAGGGCTAAGATTTAGAGGTGTCATATTGGGGTTTATAAGGGTTTACGATCTCCAGATTTTTTATTTGAGTTTATAAGGATTCGGAATGTAGGGTAAAAACCTAAACCGTAACCATGCTCTGGCGGCAGATTTAATTAGGGTTTAGGGCTGCGGTGCGACTGCATTTTTCGCTCCCACGGCTGCGGCTTCGTGCTCGCAATCTCATCCATGTGATGAGTTCTGCAAAATAAAAAAGTGTAGGGTTAAAGGTTTAGGGTTTAGGATTTCACCCTAAACTCCAAACTCTTATAAACCGAAATATAAAATCCCTAACCCCAAACCCTAAGCCCTCTTAACCCCCAAATTTGAGTACTTGATATAAGATCTACAACTCCAACATCCTAAACTTGTGAAATCCTTTCAATCGATGTATTGCATGCCTTACATACCTCTGTCGCGCAGTGAGCCCCCGGGAGCTTATTACAAGCTTGGCCTTTGAGCCGCGGCCATAGGTGTTAGGAGGTATAGAGATTAAGGTTAGGAGGGTTAAGGGTTCAGGGTTTAGGGTTTAGGGGTTTAGGGGTTGAGGGGTTAGGGTTAAGGGTTTAGGATTTAGGGTTTAGGGTTTAAGGTGTCGGGTTTATGGTTTAGGGTTTAGGGTTTAAGGTTTAAGGTTTAGGGATCATTAATGTTATTTTTTCTTTGTATATAGCTATACTCAGACTATATGTAAGTTGAAACGTGTATGCCTGAGAGATTTTTTAATGTAAAAAACACTTTATTAAGAGTAGCCCTAATGGTTAGCAATAGTTTTTGCGGATTTGCTAATATATATATTGCATCTAGCCTTACTCATAATCCAATAGAGATAACGATCCAGTACATTTCCTGCAGGTTATTATACTGATCTTTGTAGGCGCCCGCTCACTCCAACCGGCGTCTCCTGAACGCACATCCAAAACAATCAAACACATAAGGTTTAAACTAAAAAGGTTTAAAAAATATTAAACTCAGCTTGAGACTTGGCAGAGTCCGGGATTGATTTGCCCTTCGGCGCCACTCGTCGGGCCTTAAAGGTCCGGACGATCTCTTCCACCTGCCAAGCAAGAGTATGCAAGATCTATAAGACTAAAAGAATGCATCCGCTATAATTAAATAAAAAAACACGACAATGTCAATATCACATAGTTTGCACGTGTACATCTGTATGTTTACATTTAAATAACATTTGAAGTTAACTACTTAAATTTGTCATACATTTTAAACATTTGCCGCCATGTATTATCATTTTAACTAGCATAGCCATATGAATCATATCATTTACAAAAAAAAGAAGAACAAAGTCTTAAGCAAGGTCTATATATGCTGGCGCCTGTTCTTCGGCAGGAGGGAGGTTCTGGTCACCGGCGATCAAGAAGCCTCGTCGAAACAATACTATATCCAATTACACGCAAAGTAGACGCGAATCTAAGAATCTGACCGTTGTCGCCCGGCACCTGATGTACACTTAACGTGGAACATTTGCAAATAAAGAATAAGAAAAACCTCTTGACTCCTTAACACATAATGCTTGAAGCAGATGATGCTAACAATGCTATTGCTTAACATCTTTGCCGAAGTCCGTTTGCAACTAAAATTTCTGCACGCCTGCAACAATACAATAACATGAAGTTTACTTAGCTTACATTAGATGTGTGAAAAAAAAGATGTCCGGCCTGGTCGTCGATCCAGAATTGAAGGACCTAAATTGCAAGACAGAAACAAAAACACCCAAAACATCTTTCATCGAGCGCACAAGACGGGTATCTCAAAAAAAATCGGCCTCGGCTTCTATGAATCTGCCGAAGTCATCAAAGTTCGGAGGCGCACCTGATCTGAAAATTTTTATATTCAGCTGAAGCTCCAAGAACAACTAAATCTGAGTTTCCGGCCGGTATCGATCCAAACCTGCTGGAAGCTTAGCATCATTACATGCAAAATAAAAAATACATGATCACGTCTAAGAGCACGACCTCGTCCTCCATCAGCAGTTCGTTAATCTGAGCAGCATAAACGACAAAGCTTGACAACATAATGTAAAGCTGTAAAAGTCAAATGTGCTATTTTGCATTTGCATTAGGCTGTCCGGCGTCTTGCGCGTCTGCGGGATCGGCTTGATGACCTTGTCAAGAG